TGAGTGTGCAGACACTTTTTTCACATTTAGATTTTATTTTTTAGCTCCAAGACCTCAGCTAAGTCTGATACCGGACGAGCTCTGTTTTTCTCCTTGATGTTTACGTTTTATTTCACCTGCCTTCTGGGTCTGTAGATGCCCTCATGTATAATGGGCTTAAAACTTTTGCCTTTTCACAAGCAGATGCTGAACGGATACTGTGCGTTATAGATACTCAATTTCCCACTGAAACACATCAGATTAATCACCATTCTGATACCACCACGGTCGCAAGCAACCCCCTTACTGATTCTGACTTCTCTTGGAGTTATCGGCATTCACTAGGGAGACAAGATCAGTCAAAAAACGGCCAAAGAGGAAGAGACAGGGGAAGACAAGTTATGGGAGGAAGAATTCTGGTCACCAGGAGCAGACCTAATACCCGCCAAAAGGCGGAAGCCCAGAAATTAAACTCTCAAACAAGGTATTCACTACATATCAACTCTATGCCTTATCTAAGAGACTGAGTTTTGTTCCCACATGTACTGTTTCAAAGTCCAAACAGATTTATTCTGCTTTGGCATTGTGCATTTTGATTTTAGGCTTGTATGTAGCTGCTCAGCCATGGAAATCCATTCTGTGAACCTCCTAATGCGCTGTTGCTGATGTTGCTTCCAGAGGCGCTTTGGAACTCTTTAGTGAGTGATTTAACAGAGGATATGCCCTGTGCATTTCAGCACTCGGCGGCCCCAATCTGTGAGTTTGCATGGTCTACCGCTTCATGGCTAAGCTGTTGTTGTTCCTAGGCTCTTCCATTTCACAATAATAGCACTTACAGTTGACAAGGGCAGATCTAGCAGGACAGAAATTTTAATTTGGCAAAGGTGGCCTCCTATGACAGTGCCATGTTTAAAGTCACTGAGCTCATCAGTACGACCCATTCTGTTGCCAGTTTTTGTCTATAAAGACATGCATCCACCTGTTAGCACTGAGTGTGTCTGAAACACCTAAACTCAATAATTAGGAGGGGTGTCCCAATACTTTTGTCCATATAGGGTATACCTGGACATACTATATTTGTCACTTTAGATGTGGAAAGACTTTATACAAACATATTTCATGAGAAAGGATTAGATGCTCTAGGCTTTATCTCCAAGAGTGCGCTGGCCTCCCTCCCAGCAAATTAATTTGTGAATTAACAGTGTTTTTTCAAGGGGGAGTGTTCAACTTAATGTGTAGAGTAAGCCTATCATAATGATCTCTCTAAGCCTAGATGTGACCCATTGAAAAAAGTGTTAAAAAGAAAAAGAAAAACGTTACTCAGTTTCTTGAATTACTACTTACACTCCTCAGGCCTACATAGAACTATTGGCATGTCCTGACCACAGATCCAGCCCAAGGACCCCCCAATTTTTCAAGAAGCCACCTCTTTGTTTACATAAAAGGACCTAACTTGCCCAACCCTGCACATAATAGGTTTAGTGGAGGCACATTTTTAAGGAAAAGTTAGTTCTTGAAAACAACAGTCTTTTGGAACACTTCTTTCATTTGTAACTAATAAAACAGCCCTTTCCTTTACTACACTGTGTCTGTTCTAAATGAACATAAGCCTAATCTTGTGCAAATAAGTCTATTTGATGAGGTTAATGAAAGGGAAATGAGAAATGACTCAGCAGTGAGGTCAGAGTGTGGTCCTGGTTAGCTATTTCTGTTGGAAGGGTGAAATGCACCAAAAGCAGACTCTACTCTTCTGAAAAGGATTTACACTAGATGTAAGTTTGAGGATTTAATTGCATTCAGCCTCAAGAGCATGAGTAAGGTTAGATACTGATGTTAGATAATTAGTTATGGGTCACAAACACTCCAACTCCAAGTCATCCCAAAGGTATTGAATGGTGCTTTATACCCATCTAGCTAACACTTGGCTTGTTCATGGTGACCTTAGGCTTGTGTGTAGCTGCTCCACAGCATCCCATTCCATTGGCATCACTTTTCTATGGAGATTTTTCTGCACATAGTTGAACATCTCTGTCAGCAATAGGTGCACCTTAACAATTAATTTTAAAATGAACTTAATTAGACAAATGTCATCCTGAAGCACGTTTAAACTAGTTTTTAGTTATATTTAGCAGCTGTAATTTTTTTTACTAAAACACTTCATTTTTTCCTTGTGGGGAGCAGCTAAATGCCCCCACAGCTTCAAGATGTCAAAACGTTCTGGGGACAACTGGGCCCCACAGATGAATCAACAGTCTTTAAATCTTGAATCTAGTTTCTGTTCCTGGATTTTGCAGCCACAGGTAGGTATCACTACAGTCAGTTACATCAACAGTTCAGTTAATACAAATACAGTATCAGAAACTTGATTCAAGGTCTGGATGTAAAGACCTCTGATACAGACATCATACACCAGCTGGACTTTTTGAGACCTCTCCCTTGTATCTCAACCTTTCTGGTGTACACTTAGAGACTGTAGCCCATTTGTTGATGCAGTTTGTTTTAGTCATCTCCACTAGACATTCACCACTTCCTGCTTTGCCACGGCAGGCACTTAACTGGGTATTTTTGGTTGGTGGGCAATACCTAACCCACTAGTAATACAGACATTCTGAAAAACCCCAGCAACACTGCTATGACTGATACATTCTTACCAGCACCACCTACACTGCCATGTCAGTGTCACTGCTGTGCTGAGAATGGTACATCCAACAAATAATATCTGGTCAGAGGTGGTCCTATGGAGGTCCATTTCCACTGAGGGACAGGATAGAAGGGGGCTGATAAATTGTGCAGATGATCTACAGTCAGTACCTGTACACCTACAAAGAGCACCTATATGGCAGGTGTTTCTGATAAAATGGCCACTCAGTATAGAATTAATCCTAGTTAAATTACTCAAAGTATCCGCATACAGAAGGCAAGATCTTTTACCCTCTAATACAAATGTGCATAGCACAGAATAGGTAGCATGCAGAAAGAATATAGTGGGAACTGCCTAGTTGTTTATAAAAATAGAATGGGCCACTTTGTTCTGTTATGTCTCTCTCTCTCTCTCCCTCAGTGCTGGGAGTCATACCAAACAAGGCCACAGGATATATGTAAGCCAGAGCGTGTTCATTCTGTCCTTGCCAAATAATAATGGCATCACAAATCTACTCATGTCACAATGGTTGCCTTTTGCTTCCTTAGTTTCCGAGACAAACATTTTTTTTTAATATTGCCAAATTTTAGAGTGTTTGGAAGCCTTTTTACAAGAAGCACTTCAGCAAACAATGTGTGGGGAAATGAAGGAAGTGAGCTCCCTTCATTACCATTGCTCCCCTGGAGAAAGAATCAGATCTTTTGAAATGATTCTTTTTAATAACATTGGTCAAGCTGACTCAGTCCAGATGAATCTAACTTTTTTGGTCAAATTCGAACAATAATCAAACTGAGATGAGAAACGGCAACAGTTACGCTAAAGGCTCACTTATTTATTCTGTAGTCTCTTTTTTTGTCAGTGTTTATTGCTATTGCTATTTACAACTTACAGACTTCAGGTGATTTGTTAGCCTTACATCAAAGAAATTGTAACTACAACTGAAACTATAAGATTCCTTCAGTGAAATATAGCACTTCTATAATCTGTAATACTTTCACTTCTGTATATTCCTGTTTTATTGTTTAATAGTAATCTATACTGTAGTGTGTCCAAGAAATGTTTTGGTTTTGAAAGAGAGACAGGAGTCCTGTAGAAATTCGTGTAGTATTACTGTACATCTAAATACAAGAAATGTCTTAAAGTTATACAGTAAGCATGATGAAAGTATTCAACAGCACGGATCGTTTTTGAAACACTGTGGTTATGATCTTTTATATCATTTAATTCAGGTCAGTTTAGCCCCACCTTCCTGACACACATTCACAAATGACCATTATTGATTACCAAATAATGTTTTTCCTTTGCTATGTAAAGACAATTCGATGGTAAGGCTAATGCCGTAGGTATGCTTTCTTTCCTATTCCTCCTAAGTACATACATACATACATACATCTTCTAAACCGCTTTTCCTTCTGGGTCGCGGTGGGGTGCTGGAGCCTATCCCAGCTGTCATTGGGCGGAAGGCCGGATACACCCTGGACAGGTCGCCAGTCCATCGCAGGGCAGACAGCACAGTCACACACACACACACTCACACCTAGGGGCAAAGTAGCATGTCCAATCAGCCTGACTGCGTGTTTTTGGACTGTGGGAGGAAACCGGAGTACCCGGAGGAAACCCACGCAGACACGGGGAGAACAGGCAAACTCCACACAGAAATGACCCTGGTCGCCCAGCCGGGAATCGAACCCAGGCCATTTTTGCTGTGAGGCGACAGCGCTACCCACTGCGCCACCGTGCCGCCCTCCTCCTAAGTAGCTTCAGTTAAAAATGCTGAGTGACACCTGCCCCTCTAATGAATTCTAAAGATCAAAATTTAATATCGACAAAGATAATTGCAAAATTTGTAATTGTACCTCCTGGAATGATGTCCTCGCCGCATGTTGACTTAGTAACTTTGGACCTTTATATGATCAAATGTGGTATTAGTGAAAGTGAATGTTAAGATTTATTTTTTGGTAAGTATTGCCATTATTTTGGTATAATATTTTCTACATAAATATAGAATATTAAAGCCCCCTCCGCTGTTTTTGTTTTTTAAAAGGGAACTTGAGTAAGATAAAAGCTTTTATTAATCAGGAAATATGGCCTATTCTGAACAATATATTACCAAACATTTCTTTTTTGTGTGCATGTATTTATTAATGTTATTTAATTTGAGAACCCCTTGTGTTGCACTCATACTGCTGAACCTATGAAATGTTTAGGTTTTTTTCTTTTAACGTTTATATGTGATATCTATCAATGTGGTCCTTGAATGTGTGGTATGAAAAAAAGGAAAAAACCCGTCAGTGACGCACAAAAAAAGCACAGCATCTCTCACAGGCCAACACCCGCGGGCCCAGCCAATAGCCAGAAGGCTGAGATCTGATGTAAACGGAAGTGCCTTAAATTTCTCTGCGAGAGGAATTTCTGACCAGTCCCCAAAAGACGAAGCGTGGGTCAAGTTAACCTTATTCAGCACTGCGTTTATTTACTGAGGAGACACTCCTGTCCATTTTGGGCCTTTTCAGCTTAACAGAAAAGCCAACAATGTTCCCGGATTCAGCCTCAGGGTAAGTCTGAGCAGCTTTTCTAAAATGTAACGTTATTCTAACTAACTACAGTGTCAGAAAACATACGTAGAGTAACGTTAGTGTATGTAGATGAAGCTAGAAGTTAGCCTCCCGATGCTTTTTCCTTTCCACCTTAAATGTTGTAGGCGCCTATAGCGTTTAAGGTGGAACGGAAAATTCTAATGAGAAGCCCGCGAATAGGAAGCTAACATCAGCCTCGCTCTAGCTACGTAGCCTGTAGCAGGTGGTGTTCTGTCCTCAAACGTGATGATAAAGAAGGAGAAAATGTGATGATATGTCGGTATTTTAGGTGTTTAACGGTAAATAAAATGCCCTCGAATTACAGTGAGTCATTTTATATTTGTCTGAAATAGCAATGAGCTGTGAAGGCTTCTCTGGCGTGGATGGATGATGCAACGTCAGCCCTGTAGACGCTCTGCTAGACCGAGGAGCTTTACATAATATGTAAATTAAGTTATATAATATAATAACGATAATAATATAATAATATGCAGTCTATATAAGTCTATATGGCAAAAACGGAAGGACATTTTAGTCAAATGTACTGCTTAGACGTTCTATTAATTAATTAATGTTCGTGGCGATTCTATAAATATTTTTTTTTTGTCATGAAATTCATTATTATCCGCATGGTAAGAAGCAGAGCAAGTTATAGGTGGAGATTGTACTTTACTGTGAGATGCTTTTTGTCAGTGAAAGGGACCACATGTGACAAAGTGTGGTCCTGATGCCGTTACTCACGTGTGACGTAACGGTTCGTAGACGTGATTTCCACCACGTTTCTGAGAAAGCCTCTAGGGAGGGGGGGAGGGCGTTCACCACTCTCATCAGCATCTCAGACCACTAAAAATATGCTAGCCCCCCACTTTCACACAGGAAAAATTGTAATGTATAAAATTTACTTGATTAAAAACATAGTACATTAGCATGATTATTGACAAAACTGAGTAAACTCACTGTCCAGTGTTGTCTATAGTTTTTCCACTTATATAAGTTTTACTGTTATGTCATTATCTATAATACTCATAATACTCAAAGCCGTAGAGGTAAATTCAACACTGTACGGATCAATTCAACACTGGAGACATTGTTGTGTACTTGATCTCGACTAACACGGTGTTCCACTGGAGCCCCTTGTTCATGTAGTTCTCCAATTTCGCCACCGTGAATAGCCATAATCATTATTTTAGTAATGAGTAGAATCATTTTAATACCTGATGAGTAAACTAAACATTCTATGAAAGTATTCAAAACATTGGCATAGGCTCATAGACAAGGTTGGCTAGCATTCAGGTGGTAAGCGATGGCTTTATTTTCCCATTATCTGTCAGAGTTTACAGTAAACATTAGTCATAAAAGCTAAAATACTGATTAGACTTTCATGACGTTAGGAATGATAATGGCAATGACGTTTGTGAATGTGAGAGGCCAAAATCGACATCTTTAAAAATACAACTCTTCCAGGATAGTAAACCATTCTCTTTTTAGTGTCTTGAACTAGTGTAAATCCATTAGCCTAACTGTAATTGTTTACGAACTGCCTAACTTGTAATTGGTTACAAACTATCTATTTATTTATTTCATCTGCATCAGAGTACATATGTGATATAGTGATAAATACATATATATATATATATATATATATGTATATATATATATATATATATATATGTGTGTGTGTGTATATATATAGATAGATAGATAAACATATATAGATATATATAGGGAAATTATACTATACAAATTACAATAAAATCAATACACCAGTGCACTAGTTTGGTCATCATTTGTCATGTTGATCTTTCTACAACCTTACAGAGACATTGTGCTTTCCTTTATCATGTCATATGACTCAAACAAACATCTTTTTTCTACTGATATGTTGAAATGATCTCGTTCACCATCAGCCTGTCTTTATTTCCTCATGACACACCTTGTGTTTGTAGACTCACGCCGCTGGTTTTACAGTACAATGTGTTAACCTCTATCTCCATTTCCTCCCTGCGCTTCAGATATGGTTATGAGGAGTGCAAGGCCACCGCTGACTGGCTCCTGGAGCAGGCTCCGGTGCGCCCACTGGTGGGCATTGTGTGCGGCTCAGGCCTGGGTGGCTTGGCTGACATGCTGAAGGACCAGAAGGTTTTTAAATACAGCGACATTCCAAATTTCCCCCAAAGCACAGGTGAGATAGCACATGTCTGTAAAGTGACCACTAATAGGTGGCCTTATATGGATATAAGAATATGGTGGATATGGGGTCTTGCACTACATCTAATCTGCATGCTTGTTGATTGTGGTATGTATTAGGGCTGTACTTACAGAATATTGGCAATGCAAGTATATTTCTGCATTTTGCATTTGCTGGCAATGTGTTAAAAAAAGCATTGGTCAATTTGGATTACTTTTGCTGGATTAAATCAACACTTAATTCTTCAAAACAACCATGACAACACTCATCCGGTACTGTCATTGGTCAAAATGCTCCCATCACAAAAATCATGTAAAATGCATTATGATTTGGTTAGAGGGCTCCCCTCTACTGTCTTCTGTGAGACCAATATTGCAGAGGCCAGTATTGCAATGACAATTAACAAACGTTATGTTATGCAGCCCTAATATGTAACAGTAACCTTATTAGTCTCAACCAGTTGCAATGACCTTTAACCCTCACTTATTATGATGTTTGATTGCTTAATGAGTGTTATGTCACTGCTCTAATCGTTTGCTGTGTGTTCCTTAGTGCATGGTCATGCTGGCCAGTTGGTGTTTGGTACTCTTAAAGGAAAACCATGTGTTTGCATGCGGGGAAGGTTCCACCTCTATGAAGGATATCCTATCCAAAAGGTGAACATCAGGATCCAAAACCTTTTGCCACAAAAGAACCACATTACCCACAGTTTAATATGCCAAACACAAAAAATGTGCCAAAATGAGCTCTTCATAGACTCACTTTTGGTTCTATAATAAATGTTTCAGTGGATCTGCAAGTGTGAAGAACCTTTTTCTAGGTTCTGTACCAATCAGAGTTTTTTCATAGAACCATACGTCTAAGCCAAGAACCATTTACAAACCTTTATTTTAAAGTACTTCAGGCACACTCACTAACCGTGTGGAAAACAGTTCTGCCTGCTACTGATTCCATTGTACTCTCTAACACATTTATAGCATCTTAATTACTTAAGCATTGGCTCAGGGCCCTCACCTTTGTCACATTGACTTTATTCATCCCAGTTTACTTTCAGTTTACCTCTCATGAACTAGCTCTAAACAGAGCAGTGTGGCATTTACTAACTACACAAAGTCACCATGCTCTGACACAGCATTCACTCACCTTTGTATTAGATACAAGGACTTGCCACTTCTCCATCTCAGTGGCTATTTTAGCAGAACTACAGAGAGGACACTGTTGCTCCACTGTCTGTCACTGTGTGAGTCATTTGACCCTGTAGCGTTGGTAAAATGTAAATGCTGTGTCCTAGATTACATTGGTAGTTCGCTAGATTGCATTGCTGTAGATTACATTTTAGTACAAAAACATTCATCTCAAGTGAGAAAAGATTCTATCAGACTTAGATACTAGCTATTTTACCCTAACTGGCCACTTGATTGATTACACTTGTATGTACACTCACTGTACATTTTACAAGTCCATTTATCACACAGGGGCACTTTATAGTTCTACAATTACATTTCTCTTTCTGTGCATAATTATTTAGGCTTTCTTTACCCTGTTCATCAATGGTCTGAATGCCCTGAGAACCACCATTGAGCAGGTATTATTTGGGTAATGGATCGTTCTCTGCACTGCAGCAACACTGACATGGTAGTAGGGGTGTGCTGCACTGAATGCCCAGAAACTGACCACTGATGAAGGACTAGAGGATGACTAAGATAAACTGTGCAGCATCAGATGAGCTATCATCTCTGATTCTGCATCTACAAGGTGAACCAACAATGTGTCTAATAGATTGGACAGCAAGTGTACGTGAAGAAAATGATCCTCCCCAAATAATACCTGCTCTGTGGTGGTCCTGATTACTGATGAAAAAGGTAAAGGAGGGGCTAACAAATTATGCAGACAAACAGATGGACTACAATTTCTAATTGTAGAACTACAAATCTACATGGTGAGTGGAGCTGATAAAATTGATAGTGATTGTAGATATATGTGATTGTACCTAATAGAGTGGCCAGTGAGTGTATATCAGTAGTCCCTGGCACAGCAAACATAAAAATACTCAATTAAAACAATACAAATGCAGACATAATCACAAAACATAACATTATCCGTATATACACACATACAGACAGACAAATGTGTAATCAGCTATACAATGTGTAAGAACTTGAAAATGAATGCAGACATCAGTGATAACTTAAAATCAATTTATTGGGAATTCTTTCTGTATCTGGTTTATTAGATCACCATGCCCATGCGCATCTTCAAGCTGATGGGCGTTGAGACGGTCATCTTGACGAATGCTGCAGGTGGGCTGAACCAGGACTACAAGGTTGGAGATGTTATGATCATGAAAGACCACATCAACATGCCAGGGTTTGCTGGAAACAATCCCTTATGTGGACCTAATGAGGACAGGTGAGGAAACAAAGACAGTGGGTATATATGCGCTTTCTTTTCTACATGGTATCAAGGAGTCCTAAATTACATTTTTTAAATGAAAAGCCTCAGTATGTATAAAAGTGTCTTACATATGAATTTATGTTCCTCAGAGAACCTAAATCTGTGTTTTCTTTCTAAGTAGGTTAATCTTGCTCTTGTGGGCTAACAATATACATGTGCAAAGTATGTCCTACAAATAACTTTTCAGTGCCCACTATGGGTGTGAGTTACTTTGAATTATGTTTTCATACCTGATAAAGTGTCACTGCAAATGTGGTTTGACTCGACTACAGACAGCCTGTTTATAGTGTATGAATATGTGAGCAATTGTGTGTAATCTTGATTGACTGCTTGAGTGATATGGATGTGTCTGTTTGCATTGGATACAAGGGCTTGGCCCATATTTGACAATGTTTTTACAAGCTGGCTCATGTTAAGCTAGTAATTGTAGAGTGTGCCATCTGTGAAATGTTTTACCGATGTCTATGAAGTCTGTCGTAACGCCCATTTTTCTCTCTCTCTCACTCTCTCTCTTTCTCTCTCTCTCTGTGTAGGTTTGGAACTCGTTTTCCATGCATGTCGGACGCGTATGACAGGAAGCTGCAGCAACTAGCTCAAGAGGTGGGGGCAGAGCTTGGCTACTCTGACTTCCTGAGGGAGGGTGTGTACTGTGTGCTCGGGGGGCCATCCTTCGAGACAATTGCTGAGTGCAGAATGCTTAACCGCTTAGGCGCCGATGCTGTTGGTGAGTTGTGGGGACAGCTTGTGTAATTTTAACCTTTAATTGCAGGCTTGAAGGCAAGTTTAAGATAATCAGTGATACTGTATATTATTTGGTAACTATGAAGTTCAGCATTCCACCCTTTTTGGGTTTTTAAACTAGTCAGACTTCAGATTTAGTGCAGCATTGGTAAAAATTGGTCAAAATCTTTAGTTTTTGTTTTATGTATTGAGTTTTGTCTACTTTAGCTACTAAAATGTAGGCTTCTAAACATGGATTGCTTTCTTAAGTGTAAGTTAAATAGAAAAATACTGCTCTTAATTGCTCAAGTCATCCTACCACAGTGTAACATCACCTATGCCAGTCATTTAAATGCAGTGAATCACATTGTCATAGGGGGCTTATAAATATGAATATGAAAACAAATAATAACACTGGGAATGCCAGATATTTGGAATTTTGTTTTTTTTAAATACACGATTTTGTGTAGAAACTAAAAAAAACTTTGTCATATAATTTTACTTCTGAAATGGGCAGATGATGGTGGCACAGCACCTTTACCTCCTTAAATCCTAATCTTATTATTCAGTTATTAATCTTTAGGGCTGGGATGATAAGCGTTTAGAAAAATTGATAAGTCAATAAAAATTGATAAATATTTTCAATGTTTTCGTTATTTAAAACTCACAGGTATTTTTCACTAATAGTAAGTCAATAGCGAAATAACTTTTCTACCCAGTGTCTGCGGCTTAGAGACACATGGGCTAAAAGAAAATTGACAACTTTGTCGCAGATACTGCATGATGAATCCATTTCTTCTTCCTGTGAGTTTTACATAAAAAGTGCTTTGGAGCAAAAGTTTCAGTGTATTAAAAATTTAATCTGTCATCATCATCATCATCATCATCATGATGATGATGATGAAAAATTTAATCTGTCATGAATCAAATGTGTGAAAAGTCCTGATGATGACTAAACATTTCACTATAATTAAGAATGAAAAATACTGTATCCGGTGGCATTTTTCCTGTGCAAGATTAGCGAATCATTATGCTCATGCATACAAAATGGGAAGGAAAGAAGCTAAATTCTATCAATCATGGCCCTTACTGATAATTACTGATAAACAAGTAATAGTGGTCCCAGCACTATTAAGACTTATTTATTAGTAACTACTAAGCAATGACACTAATGTGTAAGTTCTGTAGTTATGAGAATGAGGAACTGAATTGTAAGCTTAAGATTTTAAAATATACATATTACTATAAAGCTTCTGTTCCCTTCTTTCAGGCATGAGCACAGTCCATGAGGTGATAGTAGCTCGTCACTGTGGAATGAGAGTCTTTGCCCTTTCCCTGATCACCAACAAGGCCGTGATGGACTACAGCAGTGAAGAGAAGGCCAACCATGAGGAGGTTCTGCAGACAGGACAGCAGCGGTCCCAGCAACTGGTCAAGCTGGTGTCCACAATGGTTCCTCGCATTGATTTTGGTGACAACTACAAAAATGGCGAGGCACACCATTGTGAGCACTAATCAATGCCTCCATATACCACCTATATATATTATCAGAGTAACAGACACATCTTGCTAGAACCACCTACATGTTGCACTGCTAGTTCTTGCACTTCAAATAGCGAGCCTTTTAGAGGTCCTTAAAGATTAGTTCTGTTTTAATAGGTTGCTCACTCTTTGGACCTTCCTTATACTGTATTCTTAAATGTTTACATTCCTGAGGGAAACTTTATACGATGTCTTAAACCAATCCCAAAGCCAGCAGTTACAGTAATAGGCATTCCAATGTATATACAGAAAGGGCTTTGGTAAATAATAAATGAGAGCTGTTTTAATGTTATTAACTTAACAGATCCCTTGCACCAAACTATTTATTAAATGTTTTAAATGTCTGATCTGCTCCAAATGTAACTGAATACGACAAAGTTGAGCAATAATGAAGAATGTTCATTAGAGCTGTAACCTCCTAATTTTATTTATTTATTATTTTTCTTGAACAGCAAAAGACATATTATTGAGTTCACTTTTGGATATCTATTAGTGCTGTCGCTTTAAGAAATATTTAAGTAGTGTATTTATATGAACTTTTTTAGACAGGGTATTCTTTGAGTGTTTTAAAAAGAGGTATTTTTGTGTCTGATACTTCATAATGGGATCAGAGGGTGCTGGGGGCCCCCTGTTAATTCACAAATAATCTGAAAAGAATTGCTCAATGTATAAAACTTTGTAACGTTCTCATTATCAAAGGGGAACTTCACAGATTTCTCTAAATTTCTACATACTTCAGCCATTATGACATAAAGAAAGTAATTAAAAAATTTGATGTCTACAACACAAATATAGCTATTTTATTTACAATAAAAATCCACCAGTGACCTGGCATGTGTCGTCTGAGTTTTTATACTGTTTTTTTTTGTACTGATAAGTGTAAAACAGTACTAAATTAACAAAAATAAAAAACCTTTCCTTTGGTTACTAGTTTGTACATATGTATACCAATTATATAAATATACCAATGTACAAAACCACACCACTGTGAATAGACTTTAAAAAAGTACATTTAAGGCCAAAAGCTTATCTCAGAACTATTATAGAACAATGTCTCAAACATCAGAGAGCATTTTCATAATCACTTCATGTAATGATGTAATCAGTGTGAAAGCTTTTAGAGGTATTCAACTCTTTAGATGTCTCGTTCCTCTCACCATCACTGAATAATTCTGACTCTAGAACGGAACATTTCACATCATACCACTCTGAATGGCTTTGTTAACATCTTAAACATTTAATCATACTTGTAATTATAAATTAAAATCATATTACAAGGATTATACATTACATAATTGAATTCATACTGAATTAAATCTGCTGACTGCACATGGCTGTGCTGGTCCAATATCAGAACACGTTTCTATTTGGATGACAACGTGCTCTATGAACTATGCCGTTATAGAGAGCTGGAGCACTGTTGTTTAAACAGTGTGTTGAATTAATGTGTTGGTTCGATATTAAAGTCACTATTTTAATTATAGAATAAAAGAATCAAAACTGAAAAAATCCCCCACTTTACTTTGTTATACATTACAGTAGGGGGCTACTGTCACGTATAATAAAGTGGGTTTGTTTTTTTTTAATTTTTTTTTTTTTTGCAATTTTTTTTTGCAAGTGGGGCTTTCATTCATATGTTCCAGGCATACCATACTTAAGCAATAGAACACCAGAGGGAGTGTGTTATTGTGATTTGGTCGCAGTAGATCATCACAGCCGTGATGTTATAGCGATAACACACGACCTCGAGTGTTCTGTTGCTTTTATACAACAGTTAAATAAATAAAGTAAGAAATAAATTAATTGGGCTGCGAACGTGGCATTTAATATGTTTTAATCTTCGCAGTTCCTTCCGCCAAATATAGTTCCTTAACAAGCAGCTCGTTGCTACGTCAGAGTAACGAACTCCGCTCACTCGCTGCACAGCCAGCGGTTCGTTCTCCAGCTCCTTGCTGTCATCACCACTGAGCAAACTTTTTTGTTTTTTTTTATTGAGGCAGTTTTATGGCTCAGTCCGATTTGGTCAGACTCTGAAGATGAGACTACACGTTTGGCGAATGGAACTGAAAAGCTTGCTCAGTGGTGATGACCGTTTGGGAATTTAGTGTAGTCTCATCTTCAGAGTCTGACCAAATCGGCTGTCGGTCAAATGTAATCTTAAAAGTATCCATTTTCTGTTTGTGTGCAAAGTAATAAGTAAAAACGTTCAAATGGCTTGAGCGACTCCTACAGCTGTCAAAGTCGTTGCTTAGCAACAGCGTCTTAGCGGAGTGTTACAGTGTTTGTGAAAAAACCGTGATGTTATGGCCAGAGCCATGTAGAGAGAACACCATATTTTACACGGCTCTGGTTATGGCGAAATAACAGCACAGTTTGAACGCTTCTCAACCAATTAGCTTGCGTGGCAGGTGTTGTGCCGAATTCGGCACCCTGCCGCGAGATGCACCCCCTCACGGGAAGTCTTTTGCTCGAAAGCGGAGGGCATCCCCTTTTACTTTACATATATCGATTTGAAGAACTTGCAAAACATCACCTTCGTTTTGATCAACAACACAATAAATCGCTGTTTTACAGAATGGAAATACCCCAGATGTTCTTCTAAAGTACAGTGACTCGTAAATAGTAATACAAAAGTATAATGTAGCCTACATACACCACTGCTTACTTATTCTACGACATAGCAGTCTGCATTGACTTCGTATGTAGCAAAGAACTTGTTGCTTGTTGCTATTTGTCAACAAAATATACATATGAATTTCACCTACTTATCGTGTCATGTTTCTCACCAGTCTGGATCAGGTTCTTTAGATTTTACACTCTAAAGGCAGTGACTTGTAAAAAACTCTCAGGAGATGCAACCCATTATAAATCAGGATACACTCTTATTGCTGCCATGTAACTTGCATGGATACATACTGTTTACAAATACATATTGTATAGCAGAACACTGGCCAGAAAATGCCAGTTTTTGCTGAATTGGTGTTGCATCCCTGAAAATTTATTGCAGAAAACACATGTTGGCCCTAAGTGTATATTACTAATATATTTCATAGTTCTATTCATAAACAACATTACAAGAGAATGCTTTTCAAGTGAGTCCACCTGTGAGGAAAAGGACCCTCTGTTAGATCTGGCTGGGAGGTTGTTGTATCTATGATACTTGTATAGGTTTCACATGTTGGTCACAATTATGTGAACATATTATAGTTGTGTCAACAGAAAGAAAGTTATAGGGGGGTGCCTTTTAAGGCAGTCCACCTGCCAGGAAATGCACATCCTCTTAAAGCTACATGGTTATTGCATCCATGAAACTAATAGAAGTGTTACATATTGGTCTAAAATATGTGTGATTAAAAACATATCATAGTTGTGTGAAAAGAAAAAAAGTTATAGGGGGGAGCCTTTTAATCCACCTGCCGGAATATGCAACCCTCTTTAATCTCACTACATTATAATTAGATCTACAAAACTTATACAGGTATCACATGTTGGTCCCAAATATGTATTAATAAATGTATCATAGTTTTCGTCAACAGAAAGAAAGTTATAGAGGGGTGCCTTTTAAGGCAGTCCACCTGCCAAGAAATCCACCCCTTCTAAAATCTGGCTACATTATTATTACATCCATGATACTTATACAGGTGTCACATATTGGTCTAAAATATGTGTGATTAAAAACATATTATAGTTGTGCCAACAGAAAGAAAGTTATAGGGGGGTGCCTTTTAAGGCAGTCCACCTGCCAGGAAATGCACCCCCTCTAAAATCTGGCTACATGATACTTATACAGGTGTCACATTTTGGTCCCAAATATGCATTACTAAAAATGTTTCATAGTAGTATCAACAAACCTGCAAACCCAGATAATGTAGCCAGATTTGAGAAGCAGTGCATTTCCCAGCAGGTTAGTTGATACTACTATTGATACTACTATATTTTGTTGACAAATAGCAACAAGCAACAAGTTTTGCTACATACAAAGTCAGTGCAGACTGCTATGTCGTAAAATAAGTAAGCAGCGGTGTATGTAGGCTACAGTATACTTTTGTATTACTATTTACTAGTCACTGTACTTTAGAAGAACATCTGGGGTATTTCCAAATCTGTAAAACAGCGATTTATTGTGTTGTTGATCAAAACGAAGGTGATGTTTTGCAAGTTCTTCAAATCGATATATGTAAAGTAAAAGGGGATGCCCTCCGCTTTCGAGCAAAAGACTTTGAGCGCGCGCTCCTGTGAGGGGGTGCATCTCGCGGCAGGGTGCCGAATTCGGCACAACACCGGAACTAACTGTTGTATAAATTATAATATCCCAACTAACGCAAATGAAAGCTGAATAGTCAGAAAATATTTTCTGGAATTTAATACAATCACTAGATGTTATATAAGTACAATGTGAAATAGTATGTTTGTGACTACATACTAAATACTATGTTTGCGCTACACTTAGGGAGGCTGGATTTGAGCCAATAAAGCCCACCAACGTCAGGACACAACTCTAAATTTACTTCATGTTAGCTGGATAGCATTATCCTTGTTTTCGCATCCCAAGATGTAGGTGATGTACATATACTTTCATGTTTCTCAGGGGCACCTCTTTACCACATAAAAGTTAAAAGTTATCCCCACCTTAACATTTACAACCTTCAGAGCTCTTAACAGAATAGATGAATGCTGATGAAGAGAATTAAGTTTTATGTTAGGCTTCATCTTTGTGAGAGTTTCCTCGACTGATCCAGAAGTAGTGCTAACAAACCCCGCTCTTCCTCACAGCAAACACTGTGGTTGTTGGGCAATGTTTTTTTTTCCTGAGGCGGAGTTAACAGAAAAAATACCTTAAATTCAGCTCTGACGTTCAAATAATACAAAAGCCTTCGAAAAATACTCTAAACATATTTTCGCCCCTCTGTCGGGGCTGAGCCTATCTTGGGAAAGTTTCGTTTTCCGAGGAAAACTCAGTGCTAAGGACACCGCCACTTCACCAGCAACTTTCATCCGTTACAGGCTTTCTGTTGGGCTTAATGGACTCGACTTTTAAAGGTACGAATCAGTTTTTTAAATATTGTAAAAAAAAAAACAATAATAATAATAACTAAGTTATATTTGTTATTATTCTACTTCTGTTTAGAAGTGTGTGGACCTCACTGTAAACCCCAATGTTAAAATTCATTGTTTAGATTGTGTGAAACCTAAAATATATTCAACAGTTATACTCATGGACGCGGGAGGTGGGGGGGCTGAGGGTCCTTCATCATCCCCTGATTTCAGGACTGCCATTTTAAAAAATAATAGTAATAATAAAAGTACTGAGCTTTATAATAATTTGAGCGTAGTAGAGACCCATGTGTGCTTGCTTTAGAATGGAGGTTGTATTTTTATATTTTCATAGCCCTGCTTTGTTTAAGAGAACACCATATTTTTATTACAGTGATTTAGAGCGAAAACTGGCTGCTTTGGGGGCACCTCCCCAAACACACACAGGTTAAGGTCCAAAGAGAGACTGATAACTGTCTGAGAGCAGTCCTGTAACTCTGAATATATTTTCTCTGTTTGAACCTCAACCTGCCTGTGTTTCAGCAACACGCCCAAAGCGGCCTTCGGTAGCCTATATTGTTTTTTTAAACTTTAAAATAACCATCTATCGATATAATAACGTTTTAACAAGCGTTGTATCTCCCGCTCTGTGTGCGTTTCAGTGTTAAATGTCACTGCGTGCCTGTGGGCGTGACACAAGATTACGCTCCACATATCAACAATCTGATTGGTCGCCGCTCAGTTAATTTGCATACAGTTCGCCCAGAGCCAGAGCCGTATAGAGAGAGAGTTGCGTCAACTCCGTTCACTCCAACGGACCGTTTTTTACAATAAGGGCGGATCGTGGAGCTCCTCAATAGTTCCCGGAAGTTAGCAGCAAATACTAGCAGCGCGGCCGAGTTGCAGCAGAATAGACCGGTTGTGATGCACTTTTAAAGGGTAAAACAATTAAAGAATCAGTTTGTACATAATAAGCACATCTGAATCAAATTAACATGTATATTAAAGTATGTCAGTGGATTATCCCCGACTAAATTAGTAGATTTAAGGAACATTAACAGAGGACATTAGGCTAGGGTACTGAGTAAAGTTAGGAACCCATAATGTTAACCATAAACAGCCTAGTGATTGTAAAATCCCTGCTCTTAAAGTCATTTCATCCACCGTTGTTGAATCTTAGAAAAGGCTTCTAAACGTGATTTTTCACGGGGTGGGTGGGAGTTAAATATTAGTTAAATATAACATTCGGGCACGAGCTTGTAGAGTGGAGGAGATAAAATGAGAATATCGTTATCCATTTTTAAAACATTAAGCTTCCCAGTGGTGTGGCTTTTGTTTGTGAAACGTATGCAGTGTGACGTTGTTGTTGTTGTTGTAATCTTTAGTGATGGTAAATAATTTAGCAATTGCTCCTGCCGACTTGAGCCAGCCGTTTTTTCTTCTCTCCGTGTCAGTGGAGAAACCAAACATTTTCACTCCTTTCTCCGATGAAGCATCTCCATGCAGCAGAGCAAACCATGGTGGGGACTATATGCAAGGACAACATGGAGAAAAGGGCACAGACAAACTGCCTGCCAGGCTATTCATGTTTGAGTTCGTTATAGCTTTATTTAATGAATCCATCGCAGTAAATATGTGCATAGTAAAAAGACAAGATATATAAAATATGTTTATATGTGTACAAACAAATATAAATAGATGTGTTTATTATGTCCTGTCCTGTCCGGATGTGATGTATTTTAATGTACGCTTTTTAATACAGATTTTTTCATATGCAAGCCAAACAAATTTCTTTGGCTCCTTCTCCTTCTGTCCTTTCAGAAAGTCATAGAGTTTACTGTAGTCATCAAATGATTAAAATGATCTAGGTCTTGGGATTACTGATACAACCATTAATTAAAGATGTATTTATGTTAATTATATTTATTTATGTTTAAAATTAATCTGATCTCAATTTTGAAACGTTCCTTCCCTTCTCCTCCCTCTAAGTATATAAATAAACATTAGGATATGACTGATCTTAACTACCATACAAGTTTAAGAACATAATATCTATAATACTGAAAAGTCAAAGCAATGAAACAACGAAAACACACTTTGAAACCATGATTACATTAACCTAACGTGTCAACAAGGCAGGTAACGATAGCTGTTTAATCCTCAAATAGTAGCGAATTTGACTTTAAAATAGATCATATTGTTGTAACTATATATACATGTTGGTTTTCTATATAAATATTGTAAATCAGTGCATTTATTGATTTAAAGTACCAAAAGACGCGGTTCTGTCGCTCGGTGTTTATGGGCTTAAATTGCCTGCAAAGAACTTCCTGGAACTATCTGAAATCTACGTGAATCACGTGACCATCAAGCATTTTGAACTTTTGACGCAACTCTCTCTCTATACGGCTCTGCCCAGAACGAGAGAGCAGAGGGAGGATGTGCGTCAGCGATTTGATGTGCCAGTTAGGCTGTATTTATATATTGTCATCTCTGGCCTCACTGTAGCACTATATTACACATTCTGTGTGACAAACTAGCAAAATAAATAAATGAATAAATGCTAATCATTTGTGTAGCGTCATCGGCACGTCACATACGCTGCTTAAAACACCTTCCCTCGTTATACGAAGGTTAACATACTGTGTTCAACAGTTTCTCCTTTCTGAGTGAGTGAAACTGGTTACTTCTGATTTAGTGGAGTCCTATTTGCAGGTTTTAATAACTGGCCTTGGTTGACTCACCTATGAGTTTAAACGTATTAGCAGACATGAATCCAGCTGTAAGGCGGAGCTTCCCAGCACCCATAGCGGTTTGTTATTAACTAGCTCTTTCTTTTCTTATGTTTCATCAGTTATAATCACATAAAGTTACATTTAGGTTTGGGTTCACTGTACTAACCATGACTGTTTGTGTTGGATTTTACAAATTTTGGTTTCAGGGGTTCAGGGTGGTTGGAAAAAAAATCAACATGAATGTGAATTAAGAGTAATTTAATTTACAGCATACATTAAACTCTCTTATTAAGAAAGACAGTGTAATCATGTTTCAGAGGAAACCAAGGCAGCCAACAATAGTAGCTTAATTGCCAAATCAGGGATTTGAACCCACTCTCTAAAGCTGCTTTTTCACTGCATGGTACCGGCTCAACTTAGTCTGACTCTATTCGCTTTTTTTGGTTTTCTTGAAGGTTACTTGACCTTGACCAGATTTTGACATACAATAATCAATGTACTGTGTGATACAAATAAAATACACTTATACTAACACTGCTAAATGATTTATGATTTTAGATGCAAAGCACCTAATAGACCTGGCTTGTAACTAGACAGACTAACTAACTAACTCACTCATTCACGTTTGGCAGGCTTTAGTGTCCTTTAGTGTTATGATTTTATGTGTGTACAGCTGTTCAAAACTGTGTTTGCTAGTCATGTACTGGTTAGCATTTTTATGTTCAAAATTACCTTGAAATTGTCACTACCAAAACAGTAGGTTTTCCATATATAACTTTTTCCTTATTGGTTATGCATGATCTATGTATTACATTATTTTTCATCAGGTAAAGGGCATATTCGGAGGTGCCAAAAACCAGGGAGTTCCAGAAACCAACCTCAGACAGGGACTTCAGTGCCATCTAACAAGAGAGTTCCTTCACAGCATCCAGAGACGACTGTTTCTCAGCCTGAGAATTTCTCCACGGTACATTCAAGGAGGAATACCACTACAATTGAGCATTTGTCTGCCCAGATTGGCCCTCACCAAACCATTGAATCAGCAATGAGCTCATGCAGCCTAGCTGGCTCTGCCCAATCCCCTCCAAACTCAGCTGTGCCAACTCAGCTGCGGTTGGTGCTGGTGGGCAGGACAGGGGCAGGGAAGAGTTCTACAGGAAACACCATCTTGGGTGAAGAACGTTTCAAATCTCAACTGAGCATGAGCTCAGTGACGAAGGAATGCAAGAAAGAAAGTGCCGTAGTCCAGGGGCAAAGTCTTGCACTTATTGACACCCCTGGCTGGTTTGACACCTCCCTAACGCAAAAGGAAGTAGAAGCGGAAGTAATAAGGTGCCTGGCCATGTGTTCACCTGGACCCCATGCATTTCTGCTAATCATACCAATCACTCGCTTCACAGATGAACAGCAGCGGACTGTTGACATGATTCAGGGAGCTTTCAAGGAGAACATGGCTGACCACACTATCATCATATTCACCCATGCAGATCTGCTGAAAAAGGAAGAGAAGTCATTTGAGCAGTTCATATCAGAGCAGGACGAGAGAATCCAGAAACTTGTTAAACAATTTGGTAGCCGCTTCTTGGCCTTCAACAATGATGACCCACGTGACCAAGACCAGGTCACACAGCTTCTGAAGAAGCTGCATGAATTGCTAGAACAGAACGAGTACCGTCACTTCACCAACCAGCGAATGCAGATTGTGAATAAGGCAATGGCAGCTCTTAAGCTGAAACAAGAGGAAGTGACAGCTGAATCAATTAAGAGAGCCAAGCAAGCAGTAAGGAAGATGGAAGAAGATCGCAGGGAGAACATCATTAAAGCCTTAGAGAAGGACAGGCAGGAAATAGAAAGACGCAGGCTGCACATCCAAGCCAAGATCAGTCAGATAATAGAGGAGGTAGTAAAAGAACACGAAAGCCCAAATTCAGATCCACGCAGACTGAAACGTCTCGAAGAATCTCTTCAGCAAGAAAATGAAAACTTCGTAAATCTGGATGAAGAAGAAGAAAAGAGGATAATGGAAGCTGAAGAAGAGGGGAAGGAACTGGATGTGTGGATCCAAGAGGAAGAGAAGAGAGTAGAGGAAGCGGAGAAGGAAAAGGCTTCAAAGGATGATGGAAGCAGATGGTATCAAGATCCCTTTTACTTCAGCATCCTGAAGTACCTTGTTGTTTTTATTGGAGGGGCTGGGTTTGGGTTTGCACCTATGCTTTTGGGTTTTATGGCCCCCGCAGCACCTGTAGGACTAGCAGCAGAGTTAGCCGCATTGGTTGGGCCTGAGCTTGCAGGTGTCCTGACAGCTGCAGTTGGAAAGGCAGCTCCTTTGATTGCTAGCCAGTGCTCCATTCAGTAACCCACAAATCAGATCTCTCAACAGTTAAAAGAATTCTCCAATATCGTAACCATCAATACTACACTTACAGATGATGCTGTGCAGTTGAATTCCATCAGCAAAAATATGTGCAGGTCATTTCGTATCAGTGTAGTGGTGTGGGTGGAGTTTTTACAGGTTCTTGCTTGATTGCCACAATTTTTTTAAAAACTTTAGTGATAAAATGTTGGATAAAACTTTGATACGACATTCTCCCTGTCTTTCTCACCCTAAAACCTGTATTGTTACACCGAATGTAGATTTGAAGTTGCATCATTATGGTCACGTATTCTGTATTACTCTTATTAACAATATTTAGCTACTCCGCAATAGCTTTTAATATAAACGAGTTTTGAATCAACAGGAATTTCAGTAGTAAACAGCACAATACAGATGCAGCAAATCAAGATCAGGTTGAAAAATACCAGAGTATTCCTTTAAGGTATGGGGAATCTGTAATCAGTCTTATTTGGCAACCACATACAATACAATACTTGAACGAATTGCCAATTAGATAATAAAACACCTTTTTTAAAATTGTAATATCAAACGCACTGTATTTGAGCTCCACAGAGGGGTGTTTTACATAAGACAGTTAACAAAAGTAAAAGAGGTCAGAAAAGCAAATCCATCATCACCTCATAACACATCTTTTCTTTGTTTACAGCATATGTTAACAACCTTTTACTTATGTAAAAAACCTTTTACTGCAAACATAAACAATATCCTAATAAGAAATATATTTCTGAAAACTACATTTTCTTATTATGTACTCATTCAAATAATCAGGTTCGCCTGTTTCTTTGTATTTGCATTTAACAAACAAGTACGTTGCTAGTAGATATAAGTTCAAACAAAGTTTATGCATTCTTTATAAATACAAAAAAGTCCAATAAATGGATTATTGAACTGCATGTTTTTCCTGTTTTATTTATTTAGTTACAGATCACTCTTCATTATATATAATTATTTCTGTTGTCAATGACATAACAAAACCTTGTATCTCCAAAATGGCATCTTTTAAGGGGAAGGAACAAACATTCCTGTCTGTATTGGGTGTCAATGTATGGTATAATGAGTTGCAAGGTTTTGACATGACAATGTCAATGTGTTTCTGGGCCTTTGATAACATACTATCAGCTGAACGAACTTCCTTTTTCCTAAAGCTCAAACACTAACATGGTCAGACTCTGAGTTCAGATAGCACGCTAAACATGCTAACAACACATTTCATCACTGTCACTCTTCTAGCGCTGGTGCAGTCAACAAAGTGATGGACTGAATTTACAGTGTGTACCTCATTTCCACATGAAGAAAAAACAGTTGTATGCAATAGTTGGGGCACCCCCAGTCAAATGACGGTTTGTTGATTTTCTAAGTGAAAATAAGTTAACATATCCTCTACAGAGAACAACACAAGTACTGTTATTTGTATATGTGGCCTGTGCGAAAAGAATGGCACATTTTATATTTTACGTTTCATTTTTTCCTAATAGACCACTGAACTCGTGTTGTCATTCTGTAGTCGGTGTCATGCCCATATTAGCAGGTCTAAGTTGGATTTCTCTATGACAAAATGAATAAGACTTTTGAAAATCGCCTTTTCCCCTGAATGTTATTGGATCCTCTTAATTACATGGTTGTTAAGGAGTTGAAATATGAACTTTGCTGCAATACTGCAGTGCAATAAATTCATCATAAGATAGACAGCCTCACTAAAATACCCCATACAAACCAATAAGCTTTGTCAAGAATGCTGGAGTTTTGCTTGTAGTAGAGTGCATTAAGATTAGCTAGTGCTGATATTTATTAGTGTTGAAATTTAATAGACTTATTTTTATGTGACATCATTTCAACATTATCATGAATGATTTTTTCAATTTCATCTCCTTAACAACCCCATTATTCATAGGACCCCGTGATATTCAGAGGAAAAATGAACACAGGACAAAACATATCAGGTTTGGATCCTTTTCGTGTATGACAGAATGTAAGAACAGTGATTTTCAAAAGTCCCATTCATATTTGCTGTAGAGAAATCCAGCTTAGACCCAGTTGCTAATATCGGCACGATATCAGAGGCCTATACATTAAACTCAGCAAACAAATGGAAATTGTTCAGTAAAAGTAGCAGAAAAATGACATGTTTGTTTCCTGTAGAGGATGTGTTAACTTATTTTCACTTATTTTCACAAAACATGTCATTTGACCAGGCGTATTCAAATTTCTGCATACAACATAACACAAACGGCCACTTCATTAGGTACACCTTCTTGTATCTACACTAATTGTTCTGCTGGGGTTTTTGAACACCTCAGTGTCACTGCTGGACAAAGAATATTCTACCAACCAAGAATATCCAGCCTACAACTGCCTGTGGGCAGTGCCCTGTGACCACTGATGAAGGACTAGAGGATGACCAGCACAAACTGGGCAGCAACAGATGGGCTGTTGTCTCTGATATATTTTATTATTGTGGAATTTATGTATACACTTCAATGCAGCAAAGTCAATGCATGACTTTTTTCAGTGTGACTTTTGAAAGTTGACATTTGGTGTGATGGGCGAAACCTGGAGTGGAGCCAAAAAAGGATTCCTTGGAGTGATGCCACAAAACCCTGGTCAATAAGATCAACCTTCCTGCAGATTCTAGTCCCAACACAATTTGCCATATCTGCTCCAGCTAATTAACTTCTTTAGAAGTCCATGATTGGCTGGATCATTACTGTTATTTAAAGGGGGAATGTAGGGAGGGGTGGATGCAGGTTGGAACTAACTTAAAAGTAGATCTTCAGGAGGAGCACTGGAGATCTCTGCCACAGAACCACTTCTGGATCCTCACAGAACCTTTCAATTGATGGTTCTTCACAGAAACTGAAATGTGTGAGTGCAAAGAACCTTTTAAATTTAAACAAAATCTTTACATAATGCAAAGGTTTTGTCCCAATTTAAGGTTTTAACTAGAACTGTACATCCAAGCCAAGAACCATTTAGGAACCTTTAGTAGAACAGACCTTTGCAGTTATACAGAGAACATGGATCCCAAATATGACTGTAATCACTGGGTAGGGCCATGTTGACCATGCAGAGTCATGTGTCTTTTGAAAGGGTAATGCCAAGCGAACGTTTTCCCGCACAGCGAGCAGCAGAAAGGCTTTTCTCCAGTGTGGACACGCTGATGGGCGGTCAGGTTGGAGCCATGAGCAAAGCTTTTCCCGCACTGCTGGCACGTAAAGGGTTTGCTGCCGCTGTGGGCTCTCTCGTGGGTGATGAGGTTTCCTCGGAGGGCGAAGCGCTTTCCACACACGGCACAGCCGAAGGGCTTCTCACCTGTGTGGATGCGCTGATGTCTCTTTAGATCAGAAGCATTGTAGAAGCTTTTAGGACAAAAAGAACAAGGCAACGGCTTGTGTCTGTTCGTTTTTGGCATAGTCTTCACCTTTGTCAGCATTGTGGACCAGGTGGCTGCGTTCTGTTTGAAGGTTTTAGCTTGAATTCGCTCTTGGATCTTTCTTGCTTTTGCCTGCTTTGTCTGGGGCTCACCTGAATGCTTAACACTGCAAGAGGGTAATATCTCACTGGTCCCAGCCAGGTGAAACAGCTGGGGGTCTGTGTGGGAAGCATATAAAGTCTGCTGTAGCTTAGAAGAACTGCCTTGTGTCTCAAAGTTCATTGTGGTCAAAAAGGGTCGTGGTAGAGCATCACTGTCCGTCACCTCACATGGTGCCATTTCATTTGCCCTCTCTGCTATAGACTCCTCCTCCGGCTCAGTCTTAAACTCCAGCCTACAAAGGCTCCCTTCCCCGTTCAGTGGCTCTATGAGATGTTTAAACAGTCTATCATAATTACAATCATATGCCTCTTCAGAGTGATGGGACTGTATGGAGTACTGAGACTGGGGATGAAAATCTTCTGTACTGCCAAAGTGGTTGTTGCCATCTCCTAAAAACATAAGGTGTGGGTAATATATGTATAATTGAGCACGAGAAAGGAATGTAGTGCTAAAAACAAGCATGCTGGCAGTCACCTGGTTCATCTGTAAAGATAGAGCTCAATCTAATCATCGTTGATACAGCTACATCAACTTGTGCAACTTTGATGTGCACTTTTAATATTGATATATTACTTAAAACTACTTACTCAGTAATGACAACATACTTAGAACAATACTAGTCCCACGTGGTCAGACAACATCTCGCCTAAGGACATCCATGATAGATTTTGGGCTAAATGTGGATGGGAACGTAGACTTTAAGTGTGAAATTTCTAAAAAAAAACCAACACCTTTTGAAGGTACAGTACAAAATAGGTGGCGACAGTACACTCATCAACATTGTCTGATAGACAAGGCTGTCATTAGCGCATGGATGTAACTGAGGTTAGCATGGCTAAAAAGTCTCCCCAAAATAAAATTTTAAATAAGCACGCAGATGAGTGCATATGAAAAACAGTTCCATTAGGTAATGACAGTGTTTCGTTAGCTAGCTTGTTTTGTTTGTTATTAATTTTGCTGCGGACATTAAAAGAGCACAAACTAGAGGAATTTGGGGGCAGCATTTAGAGGGATGAACCCTTGTTAGTGGCAATTTTCACAGCAATCCAGCATCAAATGTTTAACAAGTTGTCTCTTGTTAAAGGTGCATTCTCATTATGAGATTAAGACCAGACTAGTACATGCAGGCATTCCGACAGATCGCAATACACTATGAAAGCAGTTGGATATCACAGTGCGTAACACCACAACCCAACACACGGAAGACTGTAAGGCAGGAAAGCCACTACTGTACCAATAAGAATCTATGGCCAAGATGGTTTTTCAGTGTTTCTTTAACACTGTAAAATACCTTAATATTTGCTGTTCTTATTAAAGGTGCACTTTCATATATATTTTTCATTGCTGTCAGGACACGAACTTGTATCTCTAAAAAGATAACTTTACATGAGAAGGAAAAGCCTCATTATCTTTAAATGAAAGTTAACAGAACAAGATCTTATTCTAAGTCATTTTGGACCATTTCTATTTGCCCATTCATCATGAAATTTTGACGCAATGTAAAAAGCGACTGACATTTAACAATCATGAAAAAAATGAAAACCAACAAAAATGGAGAATAAAGGTTTTGTTCCAACAGTCATGTCATTTACCTATTTGTTTGGCCTGCTACATAGTTCTGTAGCTCTGCCACAATTGTCGTTATGCTATTTTTCAAGAAAAAAATAAAATGTGAATGAGGTGTCAAATACAGGTTTCTTGTGCCATTATTTACAATTTATATTCTACTGAAACAGGAATACTCTCATTAGTCGATTAACTGAATGAATGGCCAATAGCATACGTGTATTGCAATCTGTCTCATATAGTACAAGTACAAGCATTATAAAGCAATTTTTGAAAACTAAATGATGTGCTGATGCTTCCACATCAACATTTTTCCACAGTCGAAACTGTGAACAACAACCTTTAACCTTAATTACTTCACCTCGCTATGGTCACAATCTTGTGGGACAGTGCAAGACAGAATGAGCTCCTTACCCATCATTTGGCCTTGTGAGTTTGTGCAGCCCTCGAAAAGACACTCTCCTATGGACACAGACTGACTATCGGACTCCACTTTTACAGCCGCAGTGCCGAGTCCTCCAGAATCTGCTTTATTTCCAGTGATCAGTGAGTTATTAAGAATCTGGGACTGTCTAAACTGAGCATCTTTCTCACTAAGTGGAAAAACACTCCGCGTCTGTTCACTCTCACAGCTCAGAAGAGAATTTCGACTTCCTTGGTTGGCATCCTCCTGTAAGTTGTTCATCAGTCCTGTGTAGCTGGTCTTATTATCTTCCTCTTCCTCCCCACAGTCAGCCTCTTGGAGATCATCAGCTTTTGTTTCTACACAAAAGATGTCATAACAAAACAAGAAGGCACTGAAATAAAATAATCTATTACAATATTAATACAAGTAGAATTAGTGAGGTAGGAACAAGGAACAAACGCAACAGCATAAAGTTGTACACAAGTGTTTTAACACACTCAGTTAAATTAGTGGTTTGTTTATTTTTCTAAGTGAAAGTAGATTAACACGTCTTCTACAGACGATATGAGGATAAATATGGCATTTTCCTGCATAATTTCTATTTATTTGCTGAAAAATATAAATAAAGCATTAAATATAAAATGTGCTAGAACTTTTGATCAGGACACATTTTGTCTGTTTTTTATGTGCTTAGTTCAGAAAATAAACAGTAAGTGTGCTTTGAAATGTGCAGAAGTGTGTTCTCTGTATTAGATGTGTTTATTTACTTTCACTTGGAAAATCAGCAAAACATGTCATTCAGCCAGGGGTGTCCAAACTTTGGCATATGACTGTATATACTGTAGAAAAAAATCTTAAAATATTAAAGGAATGGATAACAGAAAAATGAAATACCTCTAATGTAGAGCTGCCTATATGTTTAGACTTAGGAATGTGGTTACAAGTGAGATTGTGATTTTATTGTATAGTTGGGCAAAAGTTTGGGCACCAATGGACAAATTATGTATTTTGTTGATTTCTGAAGTGAAAAGAATTAAACATCTGCAGCCAAGTATTTTTAAGACTAACATTTTTTCTGCAATTGTTATCATGCAGTTAGTTGTATATGATTAACTTAAAAAATAGAAATTGATAGTAGTTGTGCCTTGATATTTTCATGTTACACACTTAAAAAAAAAGATGGTTCTCAAGGTTTCTTTAGTAAAGGCATGGTTCTATTTAGAACCTTAAATAGAACCATGCAAAGAACCTAAGGTTTGTATGCTTAGATGGTTCTTTGCATGGTAAAATGGTTCTTCCGACTGACAGAAAAATGTGTTGTATATGACTCTGTATAGAACTTTTTTCTGAAAATGGTTCTATATAGCACCAAAAATGGTTCTTCTATTGTTAAAAGCTTGACATCGTAACAATAGAAAAACCCTTTTTGGTGCCATATAGAACCATTTTCAAAACACATTCTGCATCCATCAATCTGAAGAACCACTTCACCATGCAAAGAACCATTTAGGCATGAATTGGTTCTATATAGTACACTCTTAAAATAGATGGTTCTTCAAGGTTTCTTTTACTAAAAACTATGAAAATCCACTAAGAACTATTTGCATGGTGAAATGTCCCTTTCGACTGGTTCTTCAGAAAATGTGTTGTATATGGTTCAATACAGAACCTTTTTGAAAATGGTTCTATACAGCAACAAAAAGGGCTCTGCTGTACAAGCTTGATGTTATAACAGTAGCAGAACCCTTTTTGGTGCTATACAGAACCAAATACAACACAATCTCCATCAATCTGAAGAAACATTTCACCATGAAATGGTTCTATATAGAACTCATGCTTCTAAACAGAACCATTGCCTTTACTAAAGAACCCTTTGGAGGACCATCTTTTTTAAATGTACAGGAACGATTCTCAGCATCATAAGTACCGATACTCCAGTATCGATTCGCCCATCCCTACACGCCTCTAAAAGGTCTAAAAGGCAGTGAGCGGCTGTACCTCTCTCATGCTCGCCAAACTGACTGCCGAGCGAGTGAGGAAGGACTGGAGAAGCTGTAGAGAAAGAATTATTTCTCAAAGTTTTCTTCAGGTCCCGTAGTTTCCCCTTCAGTGACTCGATCTCGGTCTGGCCCCTGCGGATTTCTAAGCGCATCTCCACAGACTCGGAGTCTATCAGTTTACAGATCTCAGCCACGGCTGCTTTGGCCAGGCTCTCCATCACCGACCAAATCTGAGCCTCCAGAGCCAGATGTGCTGCTGGCATCTTTTAGTCCTGACTCTAATTTGCACTCGTTTAGTCCACAAAACAAATGTTTCAGTCCATACAGATGTCCTGTTTTCTTTTAGGCTGTATTTACAGCTACGGACATCACTGCACCACTCACTGATTTCCTTCCGCTTTACTTTGTCTGGTGGCACGTGACCGGGCCGAAATTACCGTAATACACCGCAGGGCTGTGGAGCGGCTCCCTTTTTGCCCTGTTCAAACGATATTTAGTAACAAGATGCTGAAATGCAGTTGTTCTGACGGATTGTGCTACTTTGTCGAAATGTCCTACTGTAACGCATATTTTTAGATAGCGCTCTACAGAAACCTGTCGGTAGGATATTTTGATGGCCTAAATTGCCCTGTCAGAAAATGCTACCAGCACTGAAACGTATAGGTAGAATAATTTTATAGCCAAAATCTCTTTATCAGAAAAAGTTGCCAGCATTAAAAGAATTATTAGGATATTTTGATCGCATAAATCACCTTAGCAGAAAGTAGGTAATAATATTAAACTGAGTCTGTACTGAATTAACATTAAAAACAATAAAACGTTTGAAAAATTAAGTTACTTCGCTATAGTAATGATATGCGATATATTTAAGTCACACAAGCTAAATCAATTCAATAATGACACTAGAGGGCGCTGTCAATGAAACCCAAAATTAATGGGTTGCTATGGAGTTTTCGTGCAAAATTGTAGTTTGTAAATTCTTAATCATTTTTATACCGTAAAATGCTCTTGTTTTCTCAAAATAGATATCACAAAATTGTATTTGAATTTTTTTTTCAAAACGCTCAAAATATATATATATATATATATATATATATATATATATATATATATATATATATATATATATAATATATATATTGTGGCATACGCCATGTGGAACTCAAAACTGTTTTGCAAGTAAGTTGACTTACTTTTTCAAGTTTAAGTGTTTTAAGTTATTTTTTTACAGTGTGCCCTTCTACACATTTAGGTTTGTGTTTATTCTCTGCCAAATCTTGCTTATATCTCAAAACATTTCTGAAATGTTTCCTATTGTTCTGTTTGGAAAATAAATTACACCTTAAGAATGCTTTGAAGAAACTTTATTGAAAAAAAATGCTTTATAAATGATAAAAATATAATTTATGAGATTTTGTTGAAAGTTTCAGGTGTCCAGGTAGAAGATGCCACGTTCTCAGTCCAACTAAGTGAGTTGTCCAGTCTTTATTGCTAAAGGACTGTCTGAGAGCTTAACTGTCCATACAGCCAGAACAGTTAGAATCTTCATCATCAGAGACCTGATCCACACCATGTTTTTCAGCTTGGGTTTTCTTCTGGTATCTCGTCAGGTTTCAAAGTTTCACTGATGGTTCACCACTTATTCATATTGACCCTCTGGAAGAACTCTAAGCTCTAAGGAGCTCTAAGGAACCCAGCACACCTTGTCTGAGACATACGCTTCTGTGGTTTGGGTTCAGCAGGAGGAGTTGGCTGAATGTTTGGAGAAGCATCTCTCTTATTTGGAGCCACACCTTTAATCATGATGTCTAGCGAGCTCTCTGGTTTTGGGTGAACAGGAGCTGCAGCTTGGGACAATGTGGACCTCCTAACCCACCTGGAGACGGACTTTGGTGGCTGGGTCTTCTTAGAAACACCCTTATTTACATGGGAGATAATGTTCTGGTTGCGTAAGTAGGTTGTCTTGATTTTGTCTTGTTTTTTTTTTCATGATATCTTCTGTCTTTCCTTTCTCGCTGCTGTGACCAGCACTTCTTAACTCACTTTAACAGCTTCTTTGGACCAACTTTTGGAACTCTGACAAATCCATTATTTTTTCCATTTTGGCTGAGGTTCCAACCACTGTAACAAAATGTGTGGTTGAGCTGCTGGTCCTTGTCAGGCCTCGTCTGATGAAGGAACGTCCAATACTGTCAATGGCTGGAAACCTAAAAGGAGCACTAGTTCCTGAACACCTTGATTTCTTCTCCTGTCCAGTTCTTCTCTCCCGAAGCATCAGTGGGATGCTTCCTTATATAGACGCGTGATCCAGCTTTTGTGTTGTGTTTTGGTTTGGTTTAATTCAGGTTAGTGATGCATGACTCCTGGTTTTACTGTGGAATCAATGGAGTCGACTCCTCGAATCCACTTTAAGGAGTCCGTGATAAGCGGATACAGCAGATATTAAACCGTCTTAAACGTTGTCTACCCATTTTGTGTGTAGCTACAGATAATATAGTAATATGATAATAAATTCGTAGATTCCAAATTTCAGGCATCTTGACAGATGGTGATTACTGTTTCAACACATCTTCCCATTAGAATTCACATCATTTCACATAATGAGGCAGCTGGAGGGAGAAACTCGGGAGTGATGCTCCGAGAAAAACATTTCTGTAGTCTTAAATCTAACAAACAAACCATAGCCGGTTTATCAGACTTAAAGTTTTTATGGTGGAGCTGTTACTGTTCCTCTTTCTACGAGGCTGAATTCGCTTTATTCTCCACTTTCTAATTCGAATTTTCCGTTCCACCTTAAATGATGCAGCAGTTACCATTGCGAACAGGCGCGAGAATGTAACTGCAGCAGCATTTAAGGTGGAACGGAAAATTTAATAAGAAGCTGACAAAAAGGCTTCGTGCTATTTTTCACAACGTTCTGTGAAAAATGCTGTTTACTGTTGTTTTTGGTTTGGTTCCATTTTAAATCTTTCTTGCAGCTTTGATCATTAGGAAAATGAAGAGTTTAGTTCTCCGTGAGCAGTTAGAGCGCAGGTCGGGGCGGTGGACAGGCAGACATGTTGAAATAATCCTTATGGCTAATATCTGTGTGGAAGTCAACCAACACTCGCTGATGTAAGCCAGAACCGGCCCAGAACTGTCTGCTTTCTGAGTGGCCCCGCCTGAATCGAAATATATTTCATTATTAGACTTTTCTGTTTACATCCGTTCACTCCCCCTTCATTGTTGACTCGCTAATGGCGCCCTCTAGTGTTTTGCAGTCATGTTGCAGGTATAATGGCATAAATAGAAAGTGGCCAGGCTCCTCATAACCTGGCTCTGGTCCCACTACGCTATCACATTGTGACCCTAAACTTTAACATATTATTTTATGCATATGTTTTAGAGTCTTACTGGTCTGAGCACCTTCACCGCTCGCACCCGGTGTGCTAGCTAGACAGTGCACCACTTTGAATTAAGGGAACTCAGAACATGATGCCCATTAAATCAATCAATCAATCAATCAATTAGGATTCCAGAATTGAAAAACTACTGTGCCATTGTACAATATGCCATCCAGGCAGGGTTTGTTTTTAAAAAAAACTCCCCTAAATACAACCCACCGCCATATTATTGCTATTATGGCTATAAACACTACATGTACATGTATTATCTTATACATGAATGCATCTGAATAGTTGAATAAAACATCCTTTTTAATCTGCTTGCTTTGGTTTTGCCTGATCTATAGTTCATGGCCTCACTAAACATATTGCTGTTGTCAGAAGAAAACCTTGTATCCCCAAAATGATAACTTTACAGGAGAAGCAAAAAACCTACTTTTAATGTCAGATTTTTTTCCAAGTAATTTTAGGTCATTTCTTTTAGTCCATTCATCATGAAATTTACACACAATGTAAAGGGTAACATGTATTTCCAAATTATGTCAAAAACTGAAAACCGTCAGAAATGGAGATACAAGGTTTTCTTCTGACAACAGCGACATTGTCAGAACTGACTAGAATGTGGATCCACATAGCTATCAGATCAGGTGAAATCAGGAAAAGCAAAAAGGAAGAGAAGTTTCATTGAACTACTTGGACAAAGCCGCTGAATTCAACCTATGAAGTCCTTTGTAATGATCTGATTAGTCAAATCAGGTATGTTGTTAAACCAGACTGTTACACTGCTATATGGAGAAATGTTTGTGGACACCATTCATTATTATTGAGTTCAGGTTTTTCAGCCGCAACCATTGCTAACGTATAAAATCAAGCACGTAGCCAAGTAATCTCCATAGACAGACACTGGCAGTGGAATCTTGCTGGCAAAGGGTGACGTCATGTCTATGGCTATCACAATTCCGCAATAAAATTGTGATTTAAAAAATTATTGATTATTGTTTACCTTCTCTATGAATCAGCAAAGGTTAGTTTGCAATTTTCACGATGCTAAAGCTTATTTCAAATGATTGGCCTTACACACTCATTAAACTGCATTTTTAAATGGGGTCCTTTCATGGATTTGACGTGTCTGTATAATTAATTGTTGAGATGTAAATAGTGACTTTTTACAGTGGTGGTGATAGGAACAAAAAAAAGTAAATTCATATGTCTTCCTAGTTCTTTTTATGTAACGTCAATAATGGTGAAATAGTGGTAACCTGAAAAAAGTTTTCTTAGGAGTCAATTTTGCCCTATTACACCCTGTATTTAACTGTCCACCTTGAATGTATTTTAATATTAAAAAAAAAGCCAAAAGCTTCTCAAACCTACCATAAAACAACGTCTCGGGCATCAGACAGCATAACTATTGCATATAACAGCTTTCAGTATCACATGAAATGATGTAATATTTATAGGCATTTAACTCTTCAGACATCTGGTTCTCATCACCACCACTGTAAACGATTGTAACTTGATACGTTTCTCTAAAACAGAGTATTGATATGAATCAAACCACTCTTTCAAAAATCATATTTATGGTTTTGCCTTTTAAAATCCTGTCTAGACATGTCAAAATTTTTGCACACCTGAAAAAATGTCTTTTGAGCAACTGCATAAAGCACAACCAAGAGTAAAAACTCACCCAAAAGATCTAGAAAGACCATGTTCTATTTATGTATTGCTAGTGTCAACCCTATTGAAACAGTTTAATATCCATGCATTAATGACTGAAGATTAAAAGAGGCAACAGATAAACAGTTACACTAATTTCATTTATGGATGTATGTAGAAATACAGTCTTGTTAACAATCTGCTACACTGAATCATTTTGATTGTTCATGGAGTATTTGTCTTTTGAGTAACAACAAATGTGAACCATGAAATATGTAGTTACAGTAACAAAAAGACATATCATTCTGGATCTGTCCAGTTATGATACCTAGCTGTACACATATTGCTAATCTACTTGATCTCCACTAAATTCCTCTAACAAAATGGCTTTAAATGAATTTGGCTGTTAAGAGCCAACAACACATTTACTGGAATGTGACAATGTCTCACATTTTCCTGCAGCTCACCCTTGTAATGAATATAATTAGAAATATAATGATATGTATTTCATGCTATGATTATTCAAAATAAAAAGAACTACAATCATACCAAGATGAAGGAATGTATGCTAGTTTTCCTCTTGATAACTATTAGTGGATACTGATCTCAAAACATTCAGCACCGGCCAATACTGACACTAACCTGATGTTTTACAAACTTTTACAAAAGTCTTTTAAAACATCCGAAATTTCTAAGCATTAAAATAATTTAATGTAAATTGAACCATTTCATTTAAAGTGCAGGGTTAAACTGCTCAATAGATATGTTTTGGGTTTTGTGACATCACAAAAATGAAAAATTCAAAGCAGGTTGTTTTTGCAGCTTAGTTTCCATATGTGGACAGAAGTGTGAACAGTATGTTTTGAAACACTGACTACATGCTACATCAAGCTCTTCTATTTCAAAAAAGTGAGAAAAATTCAGTTTTCCATGATATGGGCCCTTTAAGATGAGGCAATCATGCACAAACTACTCAGACGATCTACTACCCTACAGAACAAAATACACAGCTAACATCACATGACAGTGCTGTTTCGATATCCACCATGTGATCTCTTAATGAGAACATATGGGAACAACCATGAGAAATTTTGGGCTAAATGTTGGTGGGAACATAGATTGATTATGGTGGAAACAAACTGAGTGAGATTTCTAAACCAGTCCCACATCTTTTGAAGGCAGAGCTCAAAGTTGGGATGTGCTCATCAATATTGTCCGATTGTCATTAGCGATGTAATGTAAGTTAGCATGGCTGAAAAGCCCCCCAAAAAAGCTACAATTATGCATGCAGATGTGTGTTGTGTGTGTACAAAACAGATCACATATAGTTAAATGAATCTCTTTCAAAGGAAAACAATGCCGTTAGCTAACTATAGTGCTAGACTGCTAGCTAGCTTTTTTGTGTGTTAGCAACTGTACTTCATGTTAAAAGAGCACCAACTAGAGGAATTTGGGGGCTAGTTTTAGAGTTGTTAGTGGGGGATTTCACCGCAGTGCAGCACCAAAACTTGAACAAGTTGTCCCCAAAGGTGCATATAAGATCACAGCTGGCCCCACCTATTAACACACTAGCTGTCTTTTGTCTGTCAATGAGGGTTTGTTCAGGATTAATGTGAGAAACTGCAGTTTAAAATGGCCTAATATGGGAAAGAGTGATGGTATAGTAATACGTAAATGATGAGTTGCAGGAAGCACTTCACTAAAAGCCATTTTCTGTCAACCAAACCTCAGAGGAACCTCAGCTGGAATGTTTGTGTTATTTTAAATAGTCTGCCATTTCATTCTGGTTGCACCAGTGCCTGTAGCGGCCAGCTCGTGTGGGGAAGCTGATTCCACAGACAGAGCAGTGGAAGGCCCGCTCGCGTGCGTGTGTCCGCATGTGGCCCTTCAAACTGCTCTTCTGGGTGAAGCTCCGACCACACGTGCCGCAGCTGTAGGGCTTCTCTCCAGTGTGGATCCGCTGGTGACGATCCAGGTGGCTCAAGCGGTCAAAACTTTTCCCACAGAGAACGCAGAGGAAGCGCCTCTCTCGCTTTTTCTGCACCCCATTCAAAGCTCTGGGTCTTTGAGGTAATGGATTTGAGGGCATCATTAAAGCATCTGTAGTCCTAAGAGAGGCTGTTGTAGAAATGTGGTCAATGGGTGAAGCTACATTGCATTCCTCAGATTGCAGGGAATAAGATACCTCTCGACTGGTCTCTTCTTCATCCATGGATGATCTATCCTCTTCTTCCTCCTTCACATAAATGTGGTTACTGGCAAAATCCTTGGTGCTGGTGACTGCAGGAGCTTCCCATGAGTGAATGATGGTTGAGGTAGCTTCTAACTGATATTTGCTGTGATGCGAGTTGTACTCATCCCTATTAGTGCAATCCACCAAGTCTTTTCCAGTGCCGGCTGTGTTTAAGGAAAGCAGTGCCTGTGCATTTTCCTCATCCATTCCACTTTCAGATCCAGAGTTGAGACGTCCAAGGTCTTCTGGCCTAAAATCAGTCAATGTCTGATTCAACGTCTGATCTTTACCCCCCTCTTTATTCTCAGTCTTCATGGTGTCCTCCTCCAGTGCACAAACCACTGCATCATCATGGCCTTGAAACTCACAGAAATCAGCACAGCTCTTGGTTCTTCCTGCTGGGCTGCTGTTTGGCTTGGTTAGATTCGTCTGGTGATCTGTGTCTTGTTGCTCCAAGCTCTCTTCCTCTATGTTAATGAAGTGAGTGCTTTCCTGGCCCAGACATGACGAGTGTGAATTGAGTTCCTCAGTGTGTGTGTCTTGACCATTTATGTAAGAGTGAGATGCAATCTGCTCCTCACAATGAGCTGCCATATTCCATTCATTCCTGAAGTGGTTATCTTCATTAGGCAACCCAGAAGCTGCCTCGGTGCCACTGCTAAATCCTAATGTTATAATTGAAAAAAAATATTTTCGAACAGCTTTCCCTTCCTTTTACAGCCAAGTTGTAATCTAGAATTTTTTGGCACATTTTAAGGGACATCCTGGCCAAAAAGAAAACAATTTATGTTGAAAAACAGTTGATGTTAAAAAAGCTTGCCTAAAGCATCGATTTTGTGTTGAATACACATATAGTCACTCTTTTCTTATTGATTAAGTTGCTTATATATTTATTAACCTATAGATCAGTGGCTAGGCTAGCAGTCAGAACTGGTTGACACCACAGGGATTCTCAGTGGTTTTATGATGTATTTGCATAATGTATTCTGAACGAAAACCGACATGATAAAATCATGAATTATGACAAATCAATGAGGCTGAAGGATATAATGCTGCTCTACAGAATACTGCATAACATGACAAATAGCATATTAAACTCTCATTTTAGGTTGAAATGCCTATTTAAGTTAGCTTAGTAATGATATCTTGCACAATACACTGAATTGTGCCATGTTTCCAGTGGCCTTTTCATTAATTAACAAAGCTAAAGCATTTGATGCAATGAATGTGTATTTGGGCAATGCCATGCTTAATAAGCGGTTAGCTATAGAAGTAGGAAATTAAGACTTTGTTCCTATTTTGTTTTTTTTTACTTTAACTCATCACTGTCTATATAAAATCAAGATGTACTATTTACACATATATATTCTTGACATGAATTTATTATCCTTCCCTTTCTTTTGCATGAAAATCATAATTTCATATCATAATCAGTATGATAACGCAATGACAATACATGATCTACATGGCTTTTTTTGTGTTTGGTTTAATTCTGTGCTAATTTGAATGTAATCAATCAGGACACTCCGCCAGCAGTGACAAACTATTATAGGAGTCTGGGAGTTGTGTTTTGCCTTGATGGTGATGCCAGACCATCAACAAGTTCTTCCCTTGACTTGATTTGCATTTGACTTGACGTGCATTTGATTTGTACCTAATTTGCACCAAGGTACAAATGATGGTGTAATAGCGGAGTCATATCCGTATCTACAGATAATTGCCATAAAAAAAATAATAGACAGTGGACAGATGTTTGCATTTGATTGAAAATTCAAATCGACGTGTTGTTTTGAAGAGCAGAACATTTTGGAGATGATGGGTTACGATGCTAAAATGTCTGCATTTTACTTATTTTACAGAATTTGTAACCCTACAGATATAAATCATATTTTCTTGTAATGCAGGTAGCCATATTTGCAGTTTCTATGTTAAAATATCTAAAACATCTGCATTTCAGTGCATCCCTTATTGCATTTTAGCAGAGCAGAGCAGGCCTCACCTCGATGAGTCTTCAGGTGGCTTTTCAGGCTGCTCTTCTGCGTGAAGCATCGACCACATAACCTGCAGCTGAAAGGCTTCTCACCGGTGTGTATGCGCTGATGCCTCTCCACGTGGCTGAGCCGATCGAAACTCTTGCCACAGAACATGCAGGGAAAACGTCTCTTATCCATGTCCATTCCTCCATTCATTGGCCTCCCTCTGCCAGGAACACAGAGAGCGCTGAAGTTACTCTGACCATCAGGATGTTGGGGAACGAGTGTGTCGTGTGAGTGGGACTGCTGAAGCCCGGTGCCATTTTGTGCCCTCAGTAACTCTTCTGTAGCTACATGCAGGCTGTCTGTGGAAGGCTCACTGTGTCTGGCTACTGTGTCATCTCCATTTGGGCATCTTGTCTCCAGTCCGTCACCGAGCAGATTGTAACTCCTCTCTATGGTGACAGCAGGATCTAACTGGGGTTGTGATTGTTCAGGTGTGGAATGGAAAAACTCAGGAGAGTGTATTTCTGCGTTCTCCTCTGTAGACCACACCTGGATAAGCTGTTCATTATCAGTAGAACCTGAACGCAAGGCAAGTCCTGTCCTTGTATTTTGACTCGTATCTTGCTCCTCATCCTCAACACGTTCAATCTTAATCTTTACCCCGGCGCTGACTTCCTCTCTCTGCCCATTCAAATCCTCATTTCCAAACTCCCTTTCAGTTCCTCTTCTGTCTTTGTCTTTGGCTCCTGCAACGAGAAGATAAAAATTCAAATTAATGACAAGCCTGAACGAACATTTCAGGGTTTTAAATTTCCAAAACCCCCTGCCTTCACAGGTGTCACTGACAACAGACTCAAATATACTACATGTCCAAAAGTTTGTAGACACCTGCTCAATGAACATTTCTTCTGAAATGATCAGTATTAATAGGGAGGTTGTCCTCTCTTTGGTGCAGCAACAGCCCCTGTTTTACTAAGAGGGTTATACACTAGATATTGGAACACTGCTGTGAGGAGTGCGGTTGCCAAATTCTGAGGTGTATAGTGCATAAAAGTCACCAACACCCTGCTGACTCAATAACTGCAAAGTTCCAAACCTCCTCTGGCATGTACATCAGCCGAAACTGTGCAGGGGGAGCTTCATGGCATGGGTTTCCATGGCCGAGCAGCTTCATACAAGTCTTACATAACCAAGCACAATGCCAAGCGCCCGATAGAGTGGTGTAAAGCAAGCCGCCACTGGACTCTGCAGCAGTGGAAACGTATTCTTTGGAGTGATGAATCATGCTTCTCTATCTGGCAGTCTGATACATGAGTCTGGGTTGGGTGAATGCCAGGAGAACGTTGCCTGCCTGACTGCATTGTGCCAAATGCAAAGTTTGGTGGAGGAGGGATAATGCTACAGGGTTGTTTTTCAGGGGTTGGCCTAGACCCCTTAGTTCCAGTGAAGGGTAAATCTTAATGCTTCAGCATACCAAGACACTTTGGACAATTGCTTCCAACTTTGTGGGAACAGTTTGGGGAAGGCCCTTTTCTGTTCCAGCATGACTGAGACCCAGTGCACAAAGCAAGGTCCACAAAGGCATGGCTGAGTGAGTTTGGTGTGGAAGAACTTGACTGGCCCGCACAGAGCCCTGACCTCAACCCCATCAAACACATTTGGGATGAACTAGAACTGACCTCTCGTCCAACATCAGTGTCTGACCTAACAAATGCTCTTCTGGATAAATGGGCAAAAGTTCCCACAGACACGCTCCAAAATCTTGTACAAAGCTTCCCAGAAGAGTGGAAGCTGTTACAGCTGCAAAAGAGGAACGAACTCAAGATTAATGCCTATAGACTTAGAATGGGATTTCATAAGAGTTCCTGTAGGTGTCATGTGTAAGTGTCACATGGCATGGTTATAATGGACTACTCCATATTGTTACATGATGACACGAATATGTAAAGACGGACTGGTATGAACAAATTTAGGTTCTTCAATGTGATTTTCTGTGTGCTGAGAAGGAAAATCAAATAAAGTACAGCAGAGGGAGACAAGCAAAAAGTTTGTCCCTACACTCCCAAAGCTCACGTATTTTTCTGTCAGGACAGAGTGCTGCACAGGCTCAAAAGACTGTATATAAAGCTAGCATTAGCAATGTATTAGCAATGTTAGTACAGATAGCTCCAGTGTTGGGGTATTTACTCAAAAAGTTACTTTTTACTTCACGCAAAATGTAACAGGATTGTGTTTCTTATTATTTCCAAGAAAAGTTACTATACTTTGCTGTGTAACAAATTATTTCTCTAAATTGGCAAATAATGAAGCTTATTTCAGGCATTATTTTTTAAAACAAGCAACATTTACTGCCAATATATTGGGATCATTTCACTTAATAAAGTTACTCAAGTAGAAATATCTAGAAATAAGATAAATAATATTCTAATATTCTTACAACAGTCTCAATATGAAAATTAGGCAGTGTAGATGGTAGCCCAGACCCTCAACTAATTTAAAAATGTGCATCCAGGGTGCCTATTCCTGTTTTTGCCTAGAGCCCCAGAATCACTAAATCCATCCCTGACCCCTCTAGCACTGGGCATGGTGACCTCAGGCTCATGTGCGGCTGCTCCAGAGCGTCCCATTGTATTGCAAATGCTTTTCTATGGCGATTATACAAACTGCGTGAGCGCAACTTAACGCCAACAATGGGCCAATAATTATGAAGGGTGGCTGGATACATATAGTGTACAATACATACACTAACTAAAGCACTGGCTATTACCTACAAGAATAGCTAGCTATGTAATTCATATGCAGGCCTAATGTTTATCTGACTATATTCGAGGCTCATTACGTGAACATAACCAAACCTTGACCACCTTCAGCGATTCCAAACTGTTTTGAGCGCCCACTAACGCACTCCCGGACAAGAGCACGACGAGCAGCCCGCAGCTCGTTGGACACTATCTGCAGGTTCCTCTTCAAGGAGTCGATTTCGTTCTCTCGTTCACAGATTTCAAGCCGTAGCATGACCACACCATCGTCCACGACTTTGCTTATTTCTGCCACCGCAGCTTTGGCGAGCACGTCCATGATGGAAGCTATTTGCTTCTGGAGAGTGACACCGTTGGGCATGTTATCCATTTGTGTACATAACCACTGTGTGATTGTTTCTGTGAAATCTCAGTAAAGTTTCTTTATCACTTCAGTTGAAATTCACACAACGAACAAAAGAGGGCTTTGTTACAGCACTAGCCTTTCGCGAACGGAAACCCGTTCACCACTTAAAACAGGACTGGGAATCGATTCCCAAAAGAGTCGAATCTCCGATTCCAGGCTTCTGAGAATTGTGAGTCAACTTCAAAACGTATGATTCGATTTTGCTCAAAGACGCCCAATGTTGGCCCCGCGCAAAGACTGGAACATTTTGCACTGTTCATTTTGTCTGATCTCCTTATTTATGTATTCATTTTTGGAAACTTAGAATCAAGAAACTGATTGTATGGAATCGACTCCATCGATTATTAAATTATTAAAACACTGAATTAAGTAGCACAGATCATATCCATGTGTTTTTTGCATTTATCTTATATATATATATATATATATATATATATATATATATATATATATATATATAATATTTATATTTATATTTATATTTATATGTATTAAACATACTTGTTTCGAATACAAAATAAAGACTCCATCGATTCCCATCATTTGGAATCGGAGTCGACTCCAGAATTTCAGGAGTCGAACCCCTCTAGCAATGTTTTTGTTCCCGGACAGACCCGGAGAAGCTAGCGAGCGTTCCACCGTAAATAACGGGAAAAAAGCGCACGATGAAATAAGACCAGAGAATAGGACAGATTATAGCTAATATAATTACATTCTTGCTTATTAAATGCGTACAGAAGTAAATGAAGAACGTTGTCCACCAAAATGTTCAATTATGTACACTAAAATAATTATATTTTCCATTATTGATGCGAATTTTTCCGCCCAGCAGGTGGCAGTAAATTAACTTTCCACATGACACACCAAAAACGGACCCGGAAAAAATAGAGCAGAGCTTCCTTTGTTTTGTCTGCCGTGTATTAAAAAAGGAGGAAGATGGGTCTGGAGTCCTTCAAGTGGTTCCCGCTGTTGGTTGTTAGTTTCTTTTGTACATGTAAGTAATTCGTGTTCGCCGTTGATACGGTCTTTGAACTGTAGCTGAAGTGTTGTTTTCCTTGTTAATCCGCTGCTAGCGAGCCGGAAAGCTTCACCCGCCCGGCGGCGTTATGCACTTTCTCATGCTCTGTTAAAAACAGCAGACTCATTTTTCACAAATGGTGCCATTTCCCCATACTGTCAAATTCACAGAGCTTTTATTTTATTCTCTTTCACAAACTAAACGTTGCCTGTCGGCACGTCTCAGCTCTTGGGAGTCTTGGGACTGATAGTTGCGCTCTATGGGTCGATTCCTCAGACCAAGATTAATTCAACATTTACGGTTAATCTAGGGATGCGCCGATACGGGGATTAGCGGTTGGTGTCGATATCCGCTATTCTTTACATTAGAAAATGTGTTAAATTGGCGCACAGTAGTTCTGTGTAGTTTGTATCAGGCACAGAGCTAATGACTATAACACTATCCACTCACAACAGGCACAGATCAAGCAAAGGTACTGAAGTCAAGCAATGCTCTCTCCCCTCTCTCAGATAAGCTGTGAAGTCCTAAATATATTATTCAAAGAAAGATTATAGATCAGTTCAGTCTCAGCTGGTGTAGCCAGAACAAGAGTCTGATCTTGCTCTGTAGGCATGTTTATAACATAATTTTATGGTCATAGTGACAAATATTAATTTTTTATTTTAAATTTCTGATTTATTAATTATTAATAATACAACTCTCCCTCGCTTTCTTTTTGATCACTAACCTCGATCAGATCTGCTCCTTCAGTCCTGTCAGTCTCCATCAGCTTCTTTCTCTCCCTCTGTTCCAATATTTAGTAATACACTAAAGTCAGATTTAACAAGAACTCAAGGAAATAATGAGCGATCAGTCATTTGTTTTGTTTTAACTGGTAAAAGTCTTCTTATCTGACTGGTCTATGAAGGAGTGTCTTCATTATGATCTTTTTTACTGACATTAACTTACTTTAAACAATACGTGGCAAATGCTGGCATCAGTGTTTCCAAATACTGAAGAGAAATATGAAAACAAATAATATAAAGAGCTGTCAATAATGTTATTTCTAACTCTCTCACTCTTTCACACTCTTACAATGAAGTTTCTTCAAATTTTTAAACTGGTTGGCTTGTCAGCTAACTAATATTAGTGTTAGCCTAGCCCCTTTTCTTTGCCTTAAATAAACTCAAAGTTAGCACAAACAACCGAGTAAAAACCCAATAACCAGCAATACTGACCATAATTTACCACGATCCCATAATGTTACATCTTAATTCTGTAACTGCTCACTGTGTCTTTCTGTATATTATAGATTTTTAATGAGGTTTAATGTTTATTTTATCTTTTAGCCAACATTCTGTCTTAAGCGTCAGTGGCTAAAGCCCCCCTAAGACAGGCCTAGCGATGCCCCTGTTTATGTAGGTGTCAGTAAAATCAATAAAATCATAGCGGTAGCCCAGCGTCACCTAAACATTCTGCTGTTTTGGAAAGCAATAAAGAATTTGATTAGAGATAAGTTTGAATTATTGGTGAAATCCAACCATAATGCAGATCCTTATTTGAGCAATTATCTGCTGATCTACCTAATCATCATGTATCCCTTCTTAAAGCTGAGTTCCACAGATTTTTCAAAATTTCTGTGCAATTCAGTGGTTGAGGTGTAAACAAAGTAATTGTAGAGAAAGTCAGATTTCTTAACAGTGGTGATAACCAGAGGTTGCAATGTCTAGAATGCAAATATAGCCATTTTAATTACTATCCAGAACCACCAGTGCACCTACAAATGTCTTCTGAGTTTTCATATGTTATGTTGATAATGGTAAGTAGTGATAAAGCTGGGGGAAAAAGTTTTCTTTGGGGGACTATTTTGCTTTATAATGCCCTGCATAAATGGATAAAAAAAACATTTTAGACCAAAGTCTTACCTCAAAACCATGTCTCAGGCATCAGGCAGCATATTCATAAACATTTCCATGTTATAACTTTATGTAAGGGAACTCTTAGAGGCATTAAACTCTCCATATGTGTGGTCCTGGGACCTCTGGCTCAGCAAATTTCTGTAGAACAGAGCATTTCACATCAAATCACTTTGAATCACTTTACATCTTATCTTTTTAATTATGCAGAAATGTGGGGAAATTCAGTGGAATTCCTTTTAAAAGGATTGCCAATAATGAGTCACCACTGACATTACAAATTCTAGGCTTGTTCCATGCCCAGGAAACCTCCTTTATGTCTCAATGGAACCCAGTAACGACTGTTCATGCTTCTGTTCTCTTATCAGGTTATATGAAGCTATACATGTTCGCTGAATTGCCTGTTATCTTATGTATTTGGACTTTCTTAGTTGTATGTTTTTCTTTCTGTCGTAGATGTGGGGTGTAGCTCTGTTGAGCAGAAGATCTACGTTGAACTAAGCAACACGGTTCCATGTGTCCGTCTCCTCAATGCCACACATCAGATTGGCTGCCAGTGTAAGTCCCTCAGTAAAATGCTGAACTTCAGGGTGCCAGTATGAGTCGCTTATGTACTGAAAAAAGTAATGCATGAATAGATAAGCGTATTTTGTTGCCACATGGCATGTTGGTGGCTCTTGTTTTTGGAGTAACAGGATCCAATGCAACTTTTCTGACAGCGATTATGTAATTATGTTATGTTAAGGTTATGTTAAGGTGCCAGTGGACACTTGGTACAGTGGCACACATCAGACCAGATGCCAGTATGCATTTTTATGACTATGTCTTATTTGCTTGTGCCTGTGTGCTCTAGCCTCTATATCAGGGGACACAGGGGTCCTCCATGTGCTGGAGACAGAAGCAGACTTGGACTGGATCCTCAGCACTGGACCTCATCCTCCCTACATGGTAGTTATGGAGGCAGCCTTCTTCACCAGGTGCATTTAAAAACCTTTTAATACACCTTTTTAAGACACTAGAGCTTCGAGAGAGAGTCGTATGGGAAAGTTTGAACCCCCCCCATCTTTGATTTTCTTTGTAAAAATAATTTAAGGGCTCGCTGCACCTTTACACTTACTGTTGGTCCTCCACATGCCACCAAACCAGCTCTGGCCTGCCAAGGCATGGACTCTACAAGACCTCTGAAGGTGTCCTGTGGTATTTGGCAACAAGAAAATAGCAGCAGATCCTTTAAGTCCTGTAAGTTGTGAGGTGGATCTGCAGATCGGACTTCTTGTTACAGGATATCCCACAGTTGAATTGAGAACTGGGGAATCTGGAGGTCGGGGCAGCACATTGAATGCAATTCAATATCATTGCTATCATTGAGCTGTACCTGGTCCTCAATGATGTTTACCTAGGGGGCATATGTCAAATTGACGTCCACATGAATTCCCGGACCCGGGGTTTCCCAGCAGAATATCAGCCAGACCATCACTCTCCCTCCGCCGGCTTGTCTTTTTTTCCACAGTGCATCCTTGTGCCATCACTCATTGGACCAGGTGACCTTCTTTCATTGCTCCAAGATCCAGTTCTGCTGCTCACATGCCCATTCAATGTAGGCATTTTTGACCATGAACGGGTTAGCATGGGCACTGCAGCGGTCTGCAGCTGCGCAGCCCCATCCGCAGCAGAGTGCAATGCACTTTGTCCTGTGACACATTTCCCCCCATAACCATTAAAAATTCCTGTGACCTGTGCCACAGTAGCCCCTCTGTTGGATTGCGGGGTTGCCTTTCTTGCCCTCATGCATTCTGGCTCATTGAAGCCTCACTGACACAAATTTAGAGAATAAAGACTCTCTTTTGTGTGTGGAGCTGTTAGCTTAAGCTACTTTGAGGTTTTTCACTTGTTAGCACTGACATTAGCTTAGCAAGAAGGCTGAACCACCAGCAATTCTGGCTCACTGATGCTGTACTGAGGCAAGTTTAGAAGATAAAGACAGAATTCTGAGCAAGTGAAATCGAGTGACTGTTGACGGAGTGACAGAAAAACAAAAAAAAATCTGCTCATACATTGTGCAACGGGGCATTTACACAGTGAATAATTGTGCCTTATTCATAGATTTTCAGATTCCTAATGAGTGTTGAGGTTTAGGGACACACCTATGCTGTTTTGTAGTTTTGGGCATTAAAATAATGCATAAAAATCTTTAACAATTTATTATTCAACATAGATTATTTTTGTTTTTAATCTATGGCTTTAGGGATACTTTAATACATCTTCTGCAATTTCTGCAAAATCTAGTGCACAATTTCTGTTATTTGCTAAGTTTAGCATATTGGTAAAAATATATAAAATGTGCCATAACCTTTGCACAGGCCATTTTTTTTCCCAGTATGTGAAATTCAGCAAATAAACAGTAATTGTGCATTAAAATGTGTGTTCTGTGTAGAGGATGTGTTTTGAACTTTTTTGTTCATTCCAACCTACCAATCCTCATAAAAACTAAAAATGTGTTTCATGAAAATGCCTTAAAGTATCATGATATTGTATTTTTGCCATACTGCCTACCTGTATTGTGTGATCAGACTGGATTGTAATACTGTTGCACACTGCAATTGCAGTTTGCTTTTCAATATCTTTACTGCCTTTAATGTGACATGAGTGGTAACGGTGGCCTGTCTTATTTTGACCAAAATTATTATGTGTCTTTGAGTGTCTTGGGTCTTCCACAGTGCCACCAGAAACACACATGAAACAACTGAGATGCTCACAGCAAAATCTCATTTGCATATTGCAGCCTTGCAGCGTTCTAAAAATTGCACAGCCCTAACCCACATACACACACTGTACCTCTTGGTTCATTTCTCTCATTCTTTATGCATCTTTGCTTTGACACAAATTTGATTGTAATTTTGGTGTGTCTTCGATCTGCTTGTGCAGGCCCACGATGATGAAGATGAAGAACTCCAGCAGGGTTGCAGGAGTGGCTGTGATAAACTCCAACACAGGACCAACTGAGGGGTTCTCCCCACACACATCCTGCCCCAACCAGAACACAGGTGAGTTTGTGTTTGTGTGGGTGTTCTTGTTAGCGTGGGTAGGCAGTGTATGTACTCACGTAAGTGCCAAAGTCTTGGGGGGCCTGTGATTCGCCTTGGCTTCTTATGTTATCAATGCATAAAAGCCTCTGCTTCTTCAGTGCAATTTCCAAGCCCCACCTCACCTCTTTGTGGCATGGTTGATGTGCACTGGGTGGCAAACAGTCTCCATCTGTACTCTGGTCCACACCAAAGAGCTAACTGGGGGAAAAAACAGTCTCTGTCTGCTTTCAAGTAAATCCAGGTTCAGTTTGCTGCTGGTAAGAACATGTTTTAACAGTGTTCCTCACCAAACAAGGGAAATCAGCATTGGCATATGCTTTTCTCTTATTCTAGCAGCACGTCAGCGCTGTGCTGTCTGCACAATCTGCTTGCTTCAACATCTTGACCAGTTGCTGTTAATAACTCGCAGATATGCGTTTGTTTTTGGCACATGGATCACAGAATGTATTTTTGGCCAAACATCAGTCAGCTGTTTGGTTAAACTCAGATTGGCAAACCAGTCGTAAAGAAGCAAGTGTCAAGTAAGTTTAACTATTATTGTTTTGACTGTGATGCAATCAAAAGTTTTCAGAGCGTCCTGGAAAAAAAACCCTGTGTCTAATTTGGTGCGCTTCAGCCGTTGCAGTAGGAACCCAGATTAAATGAGAAAGATATAGTATCACAAAAACCTAAACTGGTGCGGACTTTAGGAAGCAAACTAGATGTGAAACTAGATGGGGCTGAGACATGCATATAAACATTTTGCCACAGTAGTGTGAACACCAAAAATTATTACATATTTTAACTTTTGCCGTTTTGCATGGCACTATACAATTTTGTAAGATAGAATAAATTCTTTATTTACTTTGGGCAAATTCATAAGCTTTGAATGTTTTGAAAATCAGTTTTGTTCCCTCTCAGGTGTGTACACAGAGCGCTATGGTCCTGAACTGGCCAACTGTAAAAATACAGTGTGGAACCCTCTGGGGAATGGCCTGTCCTATGAAGACTTCGCTTTCCCCATCTTCTCTCTGAAAGATGATAATCAGACTCAAGTCATCCGCAAGGTAGGGGTATGTGTGTGTGTCTTGGGTTAAACTTTGTGGAAAACCACAATCACAGCTTAATGTTGAAACTAATTAACAGGCATAACGTAAAGACTGTAGCAAACCTTTATCTAGGTTACTGTTCTTGCTAAAAATCTTTTTAATATGATCTTTAATGATAAATAACATTACAGAAAAATTTTAAGATCAGTGAGACAACTAATTAGAATTTCTTAAATTAGATGCAGGCAGTTAGCTTGATAAATCAGTTAGATCAAACAGGACTTTATGAAGCTCATATTTGCAATTAAAAATGTAAATATTAAATATAAATGCACTTGTACACCTCATCTTCTTTGTGTTATCGCTTTAAAATGTATTAAAAGACTGAACGTAAAAGATGACAAGTCCTCCTCAGCACCAACTAAGCTTTACTGAGTGTTAGCTTTAGCATCAGCTCATTTGAAGGGGCAGCTTCCATCACTAAAACCTCCTCCTTATTAGACATGAAAACCTGCCTCTTTAATTTAGTCTATTAGACTAAATTAAATTAGATTAGATTCTACCAGATAGCCTGAGCTGAAAGTTTGACAGACTTAAGAACAGTAAGTAAGGGGGTTGGGGCTTTCTCAGACTTTCGCAAATGATCAATAGATATAGCAGTACTAATTTTTGCAATACTGATATAGCTGAAGGGGGCAAAAAGCAAATGTGCCCTTAAAAGCCCCATGTCATGGAAAACATAAGCTTTGACTGCTTTTTGAATAAGGCGCAATACAGGGCAGCCAATCAGAACAGAGCTTATATACATATATTATTCTTAAAGGCACTGTAAGAATAACAGCCTTTTTAATGCTTAGTGATAAAGAGAGATCGGGAAATGGTCATGTAAAAATGAATTGAAATAACTGTTTTTGGTCTATGAAACATTTGGTCACAAAAATGTTCTAAATGGACTTCAGGAAGAAAAATAAAATACTCATGTGTGCATATATCAGTAGAGTACTGCATCCACAGAAAGTTTAGCATATGTTTTATATGCATGTGAATGGTTGTTCAGTATGACTCAACATATGTGCCTAGCAGCAGGTAGAAAAGTATAGTATTGGACATGTGGTTAAAGACTTCCTTTTTAAATTAGTTTAGATTATAAAAGATGCCTAAAACAAATTATAATACTTTTCATTTTGGAAAAAATATTGGATGACAAGATGTACATTTAGACATTTGGAAAAAAAAAAACTCTCTTTCTCAACAGTGTTATGAGGACCATAACATGCGTGTGAATAGCAGCGCACCTCAGTACCCGCTGTGTGCCATGCAGCTGTTCTCTCATATGCATGCTGTCACAGACACAGTGACCTGCATGAGACGCACTGACCTGCAGAACAGCTTCAGTATCAACCCAGGTAAATCCACACAGTCTCTCAGCAAACTTACAGTTCATCTCTTAAACTGCAGGCATCTTATTCTGTTATTAATCTTATCAGTTAATGGCTGTGTTTACATGCAAAGATTTTTTGCCAATTCGATTGAATACATTCCTACATTACAGATTAAGACTGAGGTGTTTATATGCACACTCTATTCAACAATCTGATGAAAATCTTTGTTTACATGCTCACTACAAGTAATCCGATCCAAAATCACACGCATGCGTGGAGTACCACTTAGAGTAAACGTTACCATGACAGTGAACATCTCGTGAGTCCAGTCAGAGTGAGATGAGCATTTAGTTGGCACGCTTGTGTTTTTAATTACTTTAAAATGATGCCTGACTGAAAAATGTACCTCACATGTCCTTATTAAAGAAGGGCGAGAGGAAGACGTCGTGTTCTGAGACACACAAGCCGTACGCTCATCCCACTGCCGTCTTTTAAAGCTCAAAGCGTAAACTCCGTCTCCTCTGCAGACCAGTTTCAGCTCCTGCCATGCTGAACGTTATAAACTTTTGCTATGAGGCGACGCACGTGCGCAGAATGACTTACACGTTCCGATCGGAAATGTAATCAGATGTTTACATGGCTATTATTCTTCAATTTAACAGACTATTTACAGGATTACCCACCTCGTTCAATCGGACTAGACTATTCCGATTAAAGTGTATACATGGGCGTATTCTATACCGATTGCGCTATTAGTCGGATTATTAACGGATTATTAGGCTGCATGTAAACGTGGCTAATATTAACTAGTGTTACTATTTACTATTCAGTCTATTCAGTAACTACTGTGACACTAATATGTGAGCTGTGTAGTTATGAGAGTGAAGAACTGAAGTGTGAGCTCACATTAAGTTCCTTTATATATATATGTTGTTTCTCTTTCCTTTTCCGTTTAATTAGAGAAACTGTGTGATCCACTCAATGACTTCAATGTGTGGACGTCCATCCGGCCCCTCAACAACAGCATCAAGGGCCACAAGGAGAATGAGAGCGTGGTCATAGCAGCAGCCAGGGTGAGTTCTAGCAGATCAGTGTCTGCAATAACATGTAAAACAGGGGTCTGTAACTCTGGTCCTGGAAAGCCAGTGTCCAGTTTGGTGATTCTTCTGCTCCAGCACGCCTGATTCAGCTCATCTGTTAATTGTAAGGTTTAGTGGGGCTGTTTGAGTAGGGGAAGTACCAACCTGTGCTGGACACTAGCCCTCCAGAACCAGGATTGTACACCCTTGGCTTAAAATCAAATTCAGTGTGTACAATGTAATCTTATACCACTGATGATTGACAAGACACCCGATAAAGATGCTTTAAAGGTTTAAATCCTTGTGTTGGGAAAGTCACAGAGAACTACCGAGGGGCTGTTTACCGTTAAATTTCCCGTTTGCTAAATATGTTGGGAAATTGGGTTTTAAATTCCCAGTTAAACGTAACTTTACTTCTGTCATCTGATATCTCACAGATTCAAAGCACGACCTCTGCCAGAAAACGAAAGCTTAACAAACAATAAAAGAAGCCTGCCCTGCAGGCAGGTGAAATTTAGTTTTTCTAGATTTTATGCCATTTGAAATACAGTTTAGGATTGTTCTGATCAAGTCACAAATCTTTAGGATGATTGAGGTTATTGGAATCAAGCTGTCAGGCCCATAAAATCTGGACACAAAAAGTGGACACTGCTCTTCAGTATGTATGTTGGATGTTGTCTCTTGAAATTTAAATTGTGTTTTCTCTCTTTCCTTTTTTCCTCATACTCACGTTCTATCATAATTCAGTTAGTTTGTCAATAGACACTCTTGTATTGCGAATGTTTGTTTTACAGAAGTTAACAAATACTAAGCTCTGGAATTAACTGTGAAAGTCATTCAGGATTTGCGTGTGTGCGTGCTTGTGTGTGCATGCACTTGTGATAGGATTATGCAATGTTCCTTAGTAGTAGACAAGTATGCACTGTGCTGGCAGTCAACACCAGTCTTTGTTTTTCTGTTAGATGAAGCAGTTTCTCTGTGTGAGAGAGGTTGCTAAATTCAGGTCATATATGGCCAAGTTTGGTAAAGAATCATGGATTCTGTGCATGTCTGTGTTGACTCACTATTTGTCTGTGGTTTCCTCTGGTTTGTGTCTGCAATTTGAGGTAGTAGGCAGATTTTCATTAGTAACTATAGCCAGATGAACCACTGGGGTGTTGAGGTGTACAGGCGATTTAAGCCTAGATTACTTATTATTTATATTGTGATATGTTTTGTAACCTCTCTCCCTCTTTTTCTCTCAGCTTGACGGGCGATCTTTTTTCTGGGACATTGCTCCATCAGCAGAGGGAACCGTCTCCAGCATTGTGACACTGCTGGCTGCTGCACAGGCTCTGTACCCTGTCACTCAAGAGGCTCCACCCCCACGCAACGTCTTCTTCACCTTCTTCCAAGGGGTGAGAGTTAGATGTGTAAAAATGCATCTGAAGATGGCAGTCCAACTGTTCAACTGCGTCAGTTTTGGAATGTTGAAGACAATTATAATTAGGAGTGCGATAATGCATCATGAACAAAGCGCACTCTCAATGCACTCCCGCACAGTCATGTTCATACATACACTCCTCCCACCTCACTACTGTAGTGTCATTAGGAAGGTGTATAACAACATGTATACAGGCAACATTTGTCATTAGAATATCAAATTGAATAATTTTTTTATCTGTGAGAAACTATCGTGTAAGTAATTCCTCAAGTGAGAAATTCCTCAGGTGAAGAATTAAATTTCTAGGGAAACGTTGTGTGTATGTCTCTTAGCTGTGCATGTGTGTGTCTGACTGTTGTCTTTTCTGTCTCCTCTCAGGAAGCCTTTGATTACATTGGTAGTTCCCGTATGGTATACGATATGGAGAATAGTAAGTTTGTGATCGATTTGGATAACGTGCACTCGTTGCTGGAGATTGGACAGGTTTGTGTCAGTGTATTCTGATAAATACACACGCATGCACACACATTATTGTTCAAAAGTTTGAAGTCATTTTTCTCATGATTTTTTTGGTTACTTTATATACCGTTACTGCTTAAGCAATGGAGATTTAAATACTCTAAACAAGACAAGAAGTACAAAGTACTTATAGATGTTTTAGTCAATATTTCAAGTATTTTGGCAACAAGAAGAAGAAATTCAATTATAAATACTGTATATAAATATTACTGTAATTGTCCATTTATTCAGCTACAGTTCCTTTCACCATTCTGAACATTTAAAATTTCCTATTTTATTTAGTTTCTTTATTTTTACTATGGTGATTTGAAACTTTGTACCGTGTGTGTGTGTCTGTCTGTGAATGAGTGTAGTGTGTGTGTGTGTGAGAAATGTGTGAAAATAAGGACACACAACACGCACATGGTTTAATGGTTGTGTGTTTGTAGATTGGACTGCGAAATGGACAGAACCTGTGGATGCATTCAGACCCTGTGTCACGTAAGAACAGCACAGTAAATGAGCAGGTGAGTGAGAGAGAGCACAAGGAAAGAGAGAAAGAACAGAATAGGATTGGTGTAAAGCATTATTCAGTTAGGTGATAGATGATTCAAAGGCTATATTTATGGACTTCTTTTTAGTTTTTTTTCTTGTTTGTTTGTTCATTTTCCAAGGTTACAGATCTGGTGGCCAACATTAAGTCTGTGGCATCCTCACTCAATCTGTCATTGAACGAGCCCAATGCTACTCAGGCCTTGCCTCCCTCCTCCTTCCAACGCTTCCTGCGGGTTCGCCCAATCCCAGGGCTGGTGCTTGCAGACCACCAATCATCCTTCATCAACAGGTGCTGCACTCACCCTGTTATGGCCCATGAAGTTGTGATTGTACTTAAATATTTAGTTGGTGGAATTTAGGGTTGTTCATTCCGTTTAATTGACAGATATTAAGGAAGCTGTATCAATGTATACTAACAAGTTTGGTGTTGCATCATGTGCACATCACCACATGTTTTTGCCAACTTATTTTCTCTGACAGTGCAAAGTAATGAATATCTGAACTCTAGTGATTTTGTTGTTCATTTTGTTAAAGTGCAGGGCAGCAGGTGTCAAAAAAGTTCTATTTGAGCCAAACCTATCTGGTATTTAGTATTTCGTTCTTTATTAGTAAATATGGACAATATTTGATCTTCCTTCAAACTGTGTCTGTAGATAAAGGTGATGTAATTGCATCATCTTTGCAAAAACAAAAGAAAATGTATGATTTATGATTATGATTTATTTAACATAAAAATGAAAAAAGTGCCAGTTCCTACTGAGGAAGAAGTTAGGACACCCTATGCCCTAACAGCTGTTTTTTCCCCCTTTGGCTGAAATAACCTCAATTAGACATTTCCTATAACAGTCAACCAGCCTCTGACATCGACTGGGAGAAGGTCTTTCAGCTGTGTGATGTTTAAGGGGTTTCTTGCATGCACTGCCCATTTCAAATTACCCCACAGCATCTCAGTAGGATTAAGATGTGGGCTTTGACTTGGCCATTATAGAAATCTCTATTTCTTTCTTTTGAGTCATTCCTTTGTGTATTTACTGGAATGTTTTGGGTCATTGTCCTATTGCATGGTGTACTCCCCCTTCAGCTTCAGTTTTTGGACAGATGGTCTCACATTTTCCTCAAGCACCCTCTGATACAATAAAGAATTCATAGTGGATTATATGATGGAGAACCTGCACAGGCCCTGCTGTAGTAAAGTAGCCCCAAACCTTGACATTTCCACCTCCATGCTTTATAGCTGGTATGAGGTTCTTGTGCTCAAATGCTTTGTTTGGTTTGGGGCAAGCATGTCTCCTGTTACTGTGCCCAGATAATTCAGCTTTGGATTAATCTGTCCAAAGCTTTTGTCTAGGTGTTCTCAGTTTTTTTGTTGTTTGTTTTTTTATGTTTGTTTGTTTTTTGACAGCAAGGGCTTCCTCCCTGCATACCTCCCATGTAAATCAAACTTGTGCAGTCTCTTTCTGATGGTAGATGCATGTACTTCAACTGTGGCAAGAGCTACCTGCAAGCTTCGTGATTACATTTTAGAATTGTTGGAGACTTCTTTACATATTTTGCGGTTTGCTCTTGGGCTGAACTTGCTAGGACGGCCTGGACTAGCCATGTTGGCAGTTGTTTTAAACATTCTCCACTTGTAGATTATTTTCCGGACAGTGGAATGGCTTTTATAATTGTTTTGAGATCTTTTTAAATCCCTTCCCAGACCTACACCCATCTATAGCCTTCTTTCTGAAGGCATCAGAGAGCTCTTTGGATCTCACCATTGTGATACCACTCACAATCAACAATCAAGAGCAAACTAAACTAAACATCTGCCATTTTAAATAAGACAGCCTCCTCCGAAATCCTCTCTAACGATGTTCTAATCATTTACAGCTCAGTAGTAATAAATGTGTTAAAAAAAAAAAAAAGTTTTAATGAGGTATGCTCATTTTTCTTGATTGTATATTACTACAGCTACAGTTTCCAAATCATAGAACAAAAAAAAAACAGAATTTTGGCCTCAGAATCAAAAATCATGTGAAAATGTGTTTTATTACACACACAAATTATTATTTTTTTTTGTTTTTGGTTAGAGGGGAATTTTTATAGAATTGTTTCATAATAGTTGGGCAACATGGTATAAAGTTTTACATTTTACTAGAGGTGCAACAATTCACAAAATTCAGTATTCAATTTGATATATGGTGATGTCTCAATTCGATACATTTTTCTAGACCGCAAAAATAAGGACTGGGTAAAAATATGCCTGATGTTAATATGTTTGTTTCCATTTTCAGTTTATTAGAACATTCAGCTGTATAAAAGTAGCAATATTTGAAGCAAAACTGTTCCTCAGTGTCCTAATCTAACACTCCAACCACAAGCTAATATGTCAGCCCCAAGCTAATATATTAGCCCATGCTAACACCCTCTCTGGGGACCCAGAATGGTTAACTGAGTATTTGATTACTTGTACACCTACCTAGTGTGAATACATTTGAAAGTTGAGCTCATAAGCCATGAACTGTTCTATCGAGGTGAACGCTGTTTGATGAAATCTTTTTCCACACCAGGTACTATGAGAGTCTGTATGACACCTCCACATACCTGAACGTGACCTACCCTCCTGACCTGAGCCCCGAACAGCAGCTAGAGTATGAGACCGAGGCTGCCAAGGTACCATTCACTATGTCGCCAATTACAACCAGAACAACGCTACCAGTTCACCTTCTCTCTGTTGGTAACAATGGAGCACAGTAAAGTAGCATGGCTAACTTTGCTTTTTCCCCTCTTTTTCTCTTTTAGTCTCTTACTCAAGTGGCTACTCTAGTTGCCCGTTCCATCTATAAGCAGGCTGGAGGGGAAGACAGATTGCTCAATAACATCACTGCTGACACCAAGACAGTGAGTCACATGACCACATCACATGACAGTCATCCATTCCTCACATGATTGGGTGCCAGAGGGAATGGAGCTCAGCTTGAAAGTCTAATACACATTTTCTTCTAATCTCTCTCTCTCTCTTCATCTCTCTCTCTTTCTTTATCTCTCTCTCAGGTGGCCAAGTTGCTGTACGGGTTTCTGATCATGTCCAATAACAGCTGGTTCAGTTCCCTGCTGCCGCCTGAGGCACTTGGACGTGGTTCAATTCTAGGTTCGGTCATCACCCATATAATCAACAGGATTCCCTTTTTCTATTCGTGTTTGCAGTCAGGCTACAGACACAAATAGATATGTAGTTTTGTTGTCAGTATAGACATAGAAAAACAAATAAATATATTTCCTGCTATCACTGCTTTTCACATTTTGCCGTACACTGTATGCATTTACACGCAGGACTGAGAATAGTCATTGTATTTTAATACAGACCAGCGGTTCAGGATATTGACAACGTAATGTGGAAGAAAGTTCACAAGCTCGAATTCTACCTTAAACCTTAAGCTGTAGGCTGTCAGAAAGTTAGCAGTGGTGGCAGCATCATAACTCCTGATACCTGATTAGCTGTGAGACTAAGTTTGAGGTGTTTGAACAGTGAACGAGAGGTGAGGAAGGCAGTTATCGAGATAATTAAAAAGAGAGAGAGTGCATTAGGTACTTTGATCCATTCTGATATAATCTTAAACCTAGCCTTAGTAACCAAAACAATATATAGTATTGATGGGACAAACAAGAATGTCTGGTGACAACCAAGATGAATTTTGGGCTAAATATGGGTGGGAACAAACTGAGCATGAAATTTCTAAACCAGTCCAACAGCTTGTGAAGGCAGGGCTCAGGCTTCAACATATTCATTCTGAAAATGTGCTCAAACATGCTTTTTTTCCATTGTGTGCCCCCTCTTCCTCTGCAGAGTCAAACCCTCCTCAGTACTACATTGGCCTCCGGCTGGATAACACGGTGAAGAGCGTGACCCGCTTCGTGCAGTTCATTCTGGCCAACATGACAGGCACAGTCACCAAGCTTAACCAGAGTCAGTGCCAGAACCCTAAGGATGTGCCAGGCGAGAGCAAAGATGTATGTGTACCTCTGGCTAACATTATATAATTAATTTAAGCGGAATTCCATACTTACATGCAATTCCATGCATAATTTGTTGGCACAGTTAATAATTAGCTGCATCAACATTCTGTATCAATTTCAAGTCTGAAAAATGTTTTTCTTTCTGCAAAACAAGAAGCACAACAATAACTTGTCAAATTCAAATCATAGTAAAACATCTTCTCCTTACAAATAGGCCTTTCATGAACATTAAAAATTTTATCTGATAATTAATGGTCATATGAATAATTGCAATTAATGGTACTGTCTTTCTGTCCTGCATGGAACTATTGCAACACAAGCCTGAAGTGACCATATCAGCTGGTTAGCTGTTTTGCTTCCTAGCTGTCAAAAATTTGACTACATTCACATTACAAACCTTGTAGCCCAATTTGGATTTCTTGTTAAGATCCTATCTTTTTAACTCCCTGGTTCAATTCGCATAGGTAAGTAACTCATATCTATCATCAATGCGAATAAACCCGTGTCCTGAAACAATCCGCATGCGCATATCCTAATCAATAACGCCACATGAATGAACTCCATGAGTTATGAACAACAAACTAACTGACCAGCAGAACTAGCCTTCCTCGCGAAGATAATCAGCTCAGAACAGCTATCACATGTCCATTATTAGAGCAAGACAAAGACAAAAATGCTCAGATGCATTTACTGTGGAACTGTGGGAAATAATTACAATCGGGCAATTATGTAATAAATGTGCCAGGCATACTAAAAATATAAATTTGGTAATTTTAAAATTATCAAGGTTCTCCATGCTTTTTTTGTACAGGCAACAACTTAGTTAATCTAATTCTTATAAGCATGTGTTCAACATTAAATATTTTATTATTATTTTAAGCAAGAACTCTCTCCTTTTTGTGTTTTCTCTTTCAGCTGTATTCGTACTCCTGGGTGTCTGGGCCTGTCTCAGCTAACGGCACAACAGATCCTTATTGTGTACGTTCATCTGTGCATCTGTCAAAAGCGCTGTCCCCTGCTTTTGAGCTTACTGACTATGGCTCCAGGGAGTACTCCACATGGACAGAGTCGCGCTGGAAGACCATCCGAGCACGCATCTTTCTAGTTGCTAGTCCACAACTAGAGGTAATGGTTTTACTGAATTAAATTTAAGAGTTGATTTATGTAATACCTTACGAGAAATGCAAGTCAGAAACGGGACTTCATTTATGCCATTTCCAGTCAAAACGCCCATTAAGTAGAGGTCATTAATTTTTGTAGCATTAGGCGCAACATAAATTTAACAGAAAATATCAGAAGCCTCAACAACTACATATCAACATTTTCAGTATTTACTGTGTTTACTTTTTTGCATTTATTACAGCTTTCATTCTTTTTGGGAAACTTGCTTTCAGTTTTCCAAAGAAATCTGAAGGATGTTTTTCCATTCCAAAGTTCACTCGTAGAAGTTAGTTGCATTTTCTGCTTCTCACGATCCAAGTAATTCCAAACACACTAGTAATGTTGAGGTTTGGACTCTGTGGTGGCCAGGCCATTGTTCTGAGAACTGTAGCAGCTTCTTGGTTTTATTTGTAGATTTTCTTGCTGATTTCCTTTTCTCAGTAACAGCTTCTTGACAGCTACGCATTCTTTTAGACCTATAGCATTGGGTTGCCTTCTCATAGATGGAATTCCTCAAAGATTAAAGTTTTAGGGGGTCTACCAGATCTTGCATGGTTTTTGGAATCCCATTTTCTCTGTATGTTTTAATAATTTTTTTAACTCCAGTTTTGGAAACTCCTGTTCTTTGACTTTCTTCCTCATTATGCAAGTGGATTATCTTATATCTGATTTCCATTATAAATATCAACTGAAAAATAATAATAATAATAATAATAACAACAACAACAACAATAATAATAATAATAATAATAATAATGATAATGGTGATGATGGTAATGATTATTATTATTGTATATATTATTTATTTACTAATTATTATAATTTTGATTGGAAATTAAACAAGGTTGGTGTTTGACTTTCGCAGAGTACTGTATGTCATTTGTTTCGTATCCAGTTTATTTTAGTTCCTGTACAAAGAAAATGACAAATGTGTTTAATTTATAAGTTTCGTTGTCTTTTTTTTTCCCCCTCTTTCTGCTTAGATGATGACACTGGGAGTGGGCGTGGCTGTTTTGCTGGTGTCTCTAGTGGTGACTTATTTCATCAGCTCGAAGGCGGAGCTTCTATTTAGCGCCACTCGCGAGTCCCCAAACACCACCTACTGAATATAGTCAGGCTTCAACCCACAGACGAACCAGATGCCCATACAAACACACACTTACTGACTTTGCAGCTTGTAACTGAATTCAATACCACTATTCGGATTCTGGCATTAAAAACTCACATGACTGACATTTGCACATCAATATGTCAGCAAAGGACCATCAAGCAGGACTGTTTACGCATTTGCAGACACGCACCCCTCAAATACATTTAAAGGGGAATTGCATCGATTTTTCAAAAATTCTGCACAATTAGATGGGTAAGATGTAAACACAGTCATTCAGAGTGGTTTGATGTGAAATGCTCCATTCTAGAGAAACTTACTGAGCCAGAATTGTTCACAGTAGTGGTGATAGGAACCAGACGCCCAAAGAGTTCAATGCCTCTAACAGCTACCTCAAGTTATGAAAATGAAATGGCTGCAAATCTGCTGCTTGATGCCCAAGGAGTTGTTTTATGAGTTTTCAAATAAGGTTTTGGCCTAAAATATGTTTTTTAAAATACATTCTTGGTGGAGAGGTACGTACAGGGTGTTACAAGGCAAAATCATAACAAAAGAAAACTTGACACTATTTTACCATCAACATTACATATAAAAGCTTGTGTAGGTTCAGTGGTGGCTTTGGAAAGTAAATAAAATAGTTGTTTTTGCACTGTAGATATCACAACCTCTGGTTCGTATCAGCCCCACTGTAAAAAAAAAGTTTCTCTACAATTAACCATTTCACATCAAACCACTCTAAATGATTTTGTTTACAATTTAACAACTTAATTATGCAGAAATTTTGGAAAAACTGAATTTCCTTTAAGTCTAATTTTTAAAAAAAATGTCTCATACACATAAAGACTCTAACTGGACTTGGCTAAACTGGTCTGAACTGGACACAATAAGGCCAGAGGTAAAAAGCTACAGAGGGTCTGCGGGTCTGCTGCAGAAAGATGTTCATATTCATTCAATTTTTTCATTTTTTTATTGCCGGATTTTTATTTGTGCTTACTGTACAGTGGGTTTGGCACTAATCTGAAAGATAGATAATGTTTAAACTGGGCTGTGAGTATTTGTGGGTATGAGCATGAGTGTGAATGTGAGACTGACTGAGAGAGTGCCTGGCTTTAGCAGGTGTGTGAGAATGAATTCGATTGCGTCTGTGTATACTTCTGAAATCGTGTGTGTACATGTGTGTATGTGAATGCAGTATGTGCAATAGTTGTAGCGGAGCTCCTGATCTCTGTGTAAATTCTCCTTCAGAGAATGTAATCTGACCTGAACAGGGGCTTTTTCATCTGAATGACCACTACTAAACTCTACAGTCCCAAGTGGACAAAAGCTTTGTGCTTTTTGTCTTCTGTAACTGTAAATGACTCTGCGATTACCATGTTTCCAGATTAGACACACACACAGCTTTAAAGAACCAAATCAGCAGTGATGGCAGCGTTTTTTGTTTGTTTTGTTTGTTTTTTTTTTCTCTCCAAGATGATGAGTGAGACCTTTTGATTTATGATGTCATTATTTTTCTCTCTGAGCAGCAGGGAGGTTAAGAATTGATGCCTTGATTAATGAATAAACATGGCTTATTTTACAAAGTACGGATTTGTTTTCATTTGCTTTATGCACATGTTCTTAAGAACATAGTAAACAGTCACAAGCACCTTCATTTTGATGTATTAGGTTTTTCTTTTTTTTAATTCTCTTGATAAGGAGATGAGTTTTTTCAGCCTGCAGGAAAGTTTAGTCAGTTCCATGTACATGAGGGAATTTCAGGGATTTGTGTTTGAATATTTTCAAATTACACTTTTTTTCATCCATTCAAGTTATTTGTGAGGAAATTACTTACTAATTATGTAGTTATATTTTAGTTAACATTTAGTTCATTCTTTGTTTTACTTTTTACTTTTAATTCTGAATGTTTTAGCTCATGTGCTGCTTTGTGAGTAGTCACACCTCTGACTTTTGAGGATCATCCTATTTTAGACCAAAAGTATCCCAAAAAGAGAACACACTCAACTACCTTCTAGGGCTGTTCAATTAAACATTTTGAAGTTGATGAGTTCAATATTAGTTATATTTCATCCTAGCAAGAAAAAATACATTTTCATATTACATTTTACTGTGTTTTCCATTTTGTCCAGAGTAAAATACAGCTGAGTTATCAAAGTGTGAGTTGTGGAAGGATTTTTTTCAGACAGAGTATAATTTCACTCGGCGTGCAAACTTCAATGTCACTCTGTGTATTCGAGTCCAAAGCTATGTAGTCGGCTCACGATTTCCGAGTGCCTCGAATTGATGAATCGATTCTTTTTTGGATCGACTCCCTGCCTTTCTAACTTAATGCACGACTCTGACTCTCGACTGCTGTCGCTGGAATTGACTCAGTTTCAGAGCCGGTGATGCAACAAATGTTGAAACCATCCTAACCATAGAACGCTTTCGAGTCGCTATGATAGTTATATGATTAAAATCCGTAGATATCAGGTTTGAGCAATTATTACAGCTGATTAATTTTTCTTACCATCATAATTCACACAAATTAGCATTTTTCACATCTGCTGAAGGGAGCTCGAGCTTCGGCGGGAAAATAGGAGTGATGTGAGAAAATCGTTACTGTAGTCATAATTCCATTAAAATAAACTATTATTAACCAGTTAACCATATTTAAAGTAAAGTTTTCTTTCAGGAGCAGCTGAATATCCTTCCTCTTTCCACAAGGCTGAATTTGGCTTATTCGCCAGTTTCTTATTCTGGAATTTTTTGTTCCGCCATAAACGTTGCGGCACTTACCCAAACAGTAAGTGCAAGAATGTAACTGCAGCACCATTTAAGATGGCACGGAAAATTTAAATATTTCCCTCAGTCACCGACAGATTTACCTCACTGATATCTTTCACTCAGCCACTGGCAGATGTACTGGATTTACACCATTTACTGCCGTATTTCACTTATATTTACCCAGACAGGATTCACACAGTGTTTGATTTAACTCCGTTACTGGCGTAAATCTCCTGGTCTTGGCATATTCCTCTGTAGATAGCTGTTTAGCAAACGCTAACGAACTTTTGATACCATTACTGTACTGTACAATATTAAACCCAACAAAAAGTCATATTTGATCACACAAATCTCACATTTACACCGAAGAGGAAGTAAACCTACAGATTTTAAGAAAAGCCGACAAGTAAACGCCATCTGGCAGCTCAGCTAACAAGACCAGTCACAGCTTACTTCACCTCAGCCTTCTTAGCCACATTTTAGCTAGAAAACAACACCTTTTAAAGGGAAACGTTAGGTTTGTTTATCGGTAAGCGGTAGTATCACTGTACTTCTAAAAATATATATTCCAAATGATTTTATTCAATCTACTTTTGCAGTGTATGAAAATAGCCAATGATGTAGTTGTTAAGGTTAGAGATATAACTAAAAACTAACTAAATGAATGGTACTGACTTCTGTGTTTTGCGTTGCACTTTGCATTACCCATGTACGTATGTGGTAAGACAGCGCCCACACAAAACGTATGTCAAATAAACAAGATATCAAATCATTGAACTGCATTTTCACGGTGTATCTACAACACTTGCTTTTGCCATGTTAAAGTTTCTTTTGCTAAGAATGAAAATTTAGATACTGGAATATAAATTTATTCTGAAATATATTTTAGTGTTTGGAATGTATTTGGGCATGTATTGCAAAGTATTTGAAATGTATTTGAAATATAAAAAAATAGTCTACATGTCCGTATATATATATTTTTTTCCATATGGGGACAAACACTTATAAAACAGGATTTTCTGTTTTGAGTTGAAGGAATTGATCATGAAAGGAACATGATTTTTAAAGATAAAACTGTACATTTACAGAAACTTAGCATTTTATACCTACCAGAATAATAAATGATCTAACATTATGCTAAGCTTAAGGGTGCTATGTTAATTTAGATCACATCAAGTGTCGATTTGCTGACAGTGTCTTACTGTGGTATATTTTGTACATGATGTTTACAGACACATTTGTCAAAACATCATTGAGAAATAAATAAACCAGAAGTAAAAAATGAATGTGAAGCAGCTCAGATCATGGATCAACCTATAAATACATAAAGACTTGCAAGCATTGCTGCAGTTAATTAACATTACATAAAATCCTTGAAAGTCATTTTCAGGCGATAAAGATGTAACAACCTGATTTTTTGTGTAAAGCAAGCCATTGATTCCACCAGTTTACCACCTTATAATTAAAGCGTTACTTGTCCAGAAGGAGCGTTGCTAACTAAACATCCTAACAGGTTTTTCCATCTTGGAAAAGATTTCTGAAGACTGGCAAGAAGTACATGTAAACACAGAGTCCCTCCTGAACCACAGTTTCCCAAATGTTTTTTTTCCACAGCAGTAATGTATACTAGTGTTATTTTATTTATTTTTTTCTTTGTATCATGTTCCACATATATTTCCAGGTTTTTTGTAGACTGTAAAATATTACCTGTTGCACCTAAGGTGAAGTATCCCCTTGATCTTATTGAGTTTATTTTTGTTTTAATGCCCATATATTTAATGTTCAGCAGCTTTCTAGCAGCTATATGTGCAAAATTACTCACAAGAGGGCACTGTAAATACATCTGTGCTACACTGGCTCAGAACATTTGCACACAAATTTCCCACAACTGTCCATTGTTGCCCCAAGTCTTACTCTTTCTCTAATATGTATTGTTGTATGTTAGGTGCCGAAGGAGCTTGTTGTTTATCCTGTGTGGTCCATGTATTCTGTGCAGTGAGATGAAAAGTCTGCGTCCAATAGCAGAAGTGTTATTTATTTTATCAGTTCATCTGTTTTTTTATTATTATTATTATTATTATTATTATTTCAAAACTGTCTCAACATTTGGTATGTCAGTTATTACAGATTGGACTCCATCTATCAATGACCCCACACAGACCTAGGCAATATTTCAGCTGCATTTATTTGAAATACGAACAATTTTGAAATTTGTGTTTAATGCTATTAGAAAGAAACTGGTATAAAAGTAGTTTCAAAATACATAAGGCTTCTTTAGACTTCTTCAGACCTTTTTAACATTCTGAAAATACTCCCCACCCAAATGATCTCATCAAAAATATGCAATCTAAGCAGAGCATTGTTGCAGTTATATGCCAGTGTAACAAAAATAACTGAAGCTGTCGAAAGAGCTTCTCTCAGGTTCAGCTTCTCATGTGTTGGACTGTAAATGTTAAAATGTGACCCTGAAAAATGTTGACAGTATTCCACATCTCCACATTCAGCTTAGCACCCTGCTATTTAAGTCAGCATTTAGTGGGGTGAATTGTTGGGTATTGTATCTAAAAGTCAAATCTGAAAGTATTTTAAGTGTTTAAAAATATAAAAACAGAATATATAATAATACAATATCTAAAATGTGTTCTGCTATCTACTGTGTAATTTGCATTATTTCTCAGACCTAAATTAGCACAGACAAACAAATAACACAGTAAATAACATTTCAAATCCATTTAACTGAAATATTGCACATTTTCTTGATATACCGTAATTGTATACCTCATATTCTTCACTGTTTTGAATTGTTACTGTAATCCCCTCCCCACCCCCACATGCTTAGACAGCACAGAGCTACTTCCTTGAGATGTAGCATACCTTAATGCTCAGAACCTGGTTCTTTCATTTTCACTTTTGGCTTGATTTGGAACTGTAATAAGTATAAGTTCCATAAGGCAAGTCATCTACAGTGAATGCACTATACATTGTATCACATTTTGAGAAGACATTGCAAGCAAGGCCTCAGTATACAGCTCTGTTTTGAGTTCCATGTTAAGAGCAGGTGTGATAATCATAGACTCTGCCTGCTGTTGACACAAGTCCAAGGGAGGCCTGTGGTTTAATGAAGCAGGAAACAGCTTATAAATTTGGACTTTGTGTTGTTTCCAGTTACAAAAAGGAGCACTTCTTCATGCTGTCATTTAGTTCTGTTCTGTAGACTTAAAGAGCCTCATTTCTCACAACTGTTTTTTGTGGTTTGTATATGTGTGAAGAGCGAGTGAGAGAAAGATAGAAAGAAGAGAGAAGGATAGAAAGATGAGAGATACAGAGAGAGAAGAAAAGAGAAAGAGCAAAAGACAGAGAGAAGAGAATGATTGACACAGAAAGCGTGAGAGAGAAGAGTGAAAGAAGAGATAATGAAAAAGAGAAAGAGTGAAAGAAAGAAAGAGATAGAAAAAGAGAAAAAAGAGAGAAGCAGAGTGAAAGACAGACCCAGAGAAGAGAAAATGATTGACGGAAAGAGAAAAAAGAGAGGAGTAAAAAAGGAGAGAGAGAGAGAGAGAGAGAGGGAGGAAGAGAAAGAATGAAGAAAAGAGATGAGTAAAAAAGGAAAGAGAGAGACAAAGAAAGAAAGAAAGAAAGAAAGAAAGAAAGAAAGAAAGAAAGAAAGAGAGAGAAAAAAAAGAATGAAAAAGAAGTGTGAAAGAGAAAGAGTGAAAGAAGACTGAAAGACAGAAAAAGGGAGAAAAGGTGGAAGAGACAAGAGAGAGAAAAAAGTGAGAAAGAGAGAGATTAATGAAAGAGAGTGAGAAAGAGAGAAGAATGAGAAACAAAGTGAAAAATGAGGTGAAAAAGAAAAAAGAGAGAGAGAAAGAGAATGAGAGCAGGTACAACAAAAGAAAAAGAGAGACAGGCAAGAGTGAAAGAGAGACAAACAGAGAGAGAGATAGAGAGACCGAATGGTGTGAGAATGTTGGTTTTTTTTGCCCTGCTGCGTCTAATAGCGCTGAGTGGCTACTCTGTCACAACCCACAGTTTCCTGTTGAAGGACTGCTTTCACAAAACCTCACACGCAGCCCCCACACCCCGCTCGGTCTGCTCGGCCATCGCTTCAGCCATCAGCCTCTCTGCGCTCGGTCCACCACTGCCAGCATGTACACATCAGGGATATTTCTTGTCCTTTTACTGAATGTTGGAAGTGCTGCTGGTAAGGCCTGTTCACCTCACTGTCTTCTCATTAGTCTGATTAGATTAGATTAAATCTTAATAATCTCAGTATCTTATCCATCTCTTAAATGGTCAAGGTCAATGTCATAGTCTGCCATTATATGTTCAACTTTACAATTTCTATGCTCAGAGAGTTTATTTACAATGTAGAACAAATTCTTTCACATTCTTTACAGATAAAGTTAGAATAGCTTCTAGGTATTGCTTTGCACTCTCAGTCACTTCCGATTTTTTTGTCTTCTGACGTATTTACCCACAGTACTTCATAGAAATGCCAGAAAAATTGACTTTATCATCTCAGACTTCATTTACGAAGTGTATAATGAGTTCAATTTATGAATGTGATGATAATGAAAAAATGTTTTCTTTTTTTACACCATCAAGTAAAAATATTGTGAAAAAGAAAAAAATTTGGAAACTTTCATTTGACATATTTCCCCTCAATTGCTCATACGCATGTCGAAAAGATACCGACTTTGTAATCTCAACGTTCATAAACTTAATAAGATCAGTTTATGAATGTGATGATAACAGTAAATTGTTTTTCTTTTTTTCACACCAAAAGTAAAAAAAAAAAAAACAGTTTAAAAATTTGCTTTCGTTTGACGTATTTCCTCTCAATTCTTCATAAGAAAGTTGAAGAGATACCAACTTTATCACCTCAGAGTTCATATATATAGTGTATTATGAGAAGTTTACAAATTTATTAAAAAAACATATTGTTTTTATTTTTTACACCAAAAAGTAAAACTTGTGAAAAGTAAAAAAGTTAGAGACTTTTGTGTTTTGTGTGACACATTTCCCCTTAATTCTTCATAAAAACATAAAAAAAAGTACATTAACTTCCTGTTAGTTCATAAATTTCCTGTATTGTGAGATGATTTTACAAATAGGATAACAGTGGTGCTGGTTTTTTAACAGAATTCATCATGTGAAAAGTTTTCTTTTGAAATATTTCCATTAATTTCTTCTAAAACATGTTCACAATCTTAGTCTCGATCTTAGTCTCGAGTGTTACAATTTAGTAAGTCTATATTATAAAAGAGTTTTAATGTTAAGCTACATTGATGTTTATAGTTTATGTCCAACAGCTAACAGCTAGTATAATAAGTAAAAATGCCACAGAACTTGCTGAAATTGGTCTAAAACAATGTAATTTTGTGTAGTTATACCTTGGATAAACATCTAACAGGACTTTTTTCAATTAAAATATAATTGCATGTAACTTTTTATGCTTTTATTCATAATCAAATTGGGTTATTCTGTTGTTCGGTTTAAAATCAATAGTCCTATGTGACCAGATCTATTATGATATATGAAATGATACAACTCATCTGGTTAGATTAGAAACACTTCTTGAGATTTATGTTTATGTTTAGAGAACATGTGAGTAGATGTAAAGGAGATGTAACATTTCATTATGGACATTAATGGGATAATACTAATAACTAATCCCCCTTAAACAACAACAACAACGATAGTTATAATAAATAAGTGCGTGGACGTCTGTGTGCGTGTTCTCTTTCAGCCGACCTTGGGAATGGCGGACTGTGTTACATACTTGATGGGATTCTGGTGATCTACGGCATTATTCTGACCATCCTCTACTGCAGGCTGAGGGTGGGTCATTCTTCATTTACTACACACATGCTAGCAATCAAAGCCTGTTCACATCACATATCATACAGCATTTACATCTAACAGAAAAAAACAGTCATAATTCTTTTAAAATGTCAGTTTTCCAACCTCAATTTCTTACAATTAAACAGGCTGTTTTGTTACTGTGCCTTTATGCCTGATATATGTAAATACAACAGAGTTGCAGAGTCGCCTCACTCAAAAGCAGCCCAGGCTGAAACACGCCTTATAACTTCAGCGTGAATGGGCAGGGATAAAGTGCTGTAGGCTGAATAATATATGGGCTATATGGACTGGGGAGTGAACTGTAGGTTTTGAAACATTAGCACTGTTTACAACCAACAGCAAACATAGTTCTTCTATGATAAAGGCCCTTTAAACTTTCATTAAGGCACTTTACATTCTCTTATTTACCAATACAGTTCTTTAAAGAATCATCGATTGTTCCTTAAGGAACCAAATGTGGTTCTTCCACGGCATCTCTCCACTGCACCTTGCACCTTTTGCTTTTAGAAGCCTAATGAGCAACTGACATGGTGATCATAACACAATCGAAACCTTTTATGGTCAAGAGTAGTGTCTAAGCATGTGAGTGATGCAGTTAGCAGCAACACTCATGAAAAAGCGCCGTACTGACGCTTACTTCTATTTTTGTTGTCTGGTGACTATCTGATGAGAATTGCACTTGTTGCTGTATGTTCTTAGATAGAGTAATAAGTGTAATGGAAAAGATGTAGGAGTAATGAAAAATAACTGACACATCTGTTGCACTGAAATGTACCAATATGGACAAAAATGTATGTATATATGTTTGCTGTACATATGTTAGCTGTGTGCATATATGTTATGTTTTAAAATATGTGTGATAAATATATTTAACTATGCCATTAAAGATTTAAATATATGCCAATAAATTGAAATATATGCACATATGTAGGTGGTGTATCATCGCTATTGGAAGAAAACCTTGTATCTGTAATATGGTAACTTTACAGGAGAAGGAAAAGCATTCTTAACTTGAAAAATATATGTACATTTATATATGCCAATCAATTGAAATATGTGCAAATATGCAGACAGAATATCACTGTTGGAACAAAACCTCATATCTTGAAAAAGTAACTTTACAGGAGAAGGAAAACATTCTTAACTAGTGAAGGAAATTGATGTAAGAACATTTTTTCCAAGCAATTTTGGAGGATTCCTGTCCATTCATATTGAAATTTTAATATAATGCAAAGGGCAACTGGAGTTTTCAGATAATGCAAAAAAAAGTGGAAAACAACAAAAAAGGAGATACAAGGCTTTAGCGTGACAGCGAAATGTAATACTGTCCATTTGTTCTATTTCCTCTGCATATAGGCAGCTTCAACTTCAAATGCAGTATAAACATCTGATGCATGTATATGCCAAGAAGTGAACCATAGGGGGTCTTTGACATAGAAACTCAAAATATGTCACCTTTGCAAATATATTTTATGTTGAAGTAACAATGTCCATATATTGTCGAAACCTCATAAATCTTTTTATTCTTCTTAAACACATCATCACCATTAACTTACATTTCAAGTTAAGAATGTTATTCTTTCTCCTGAAAACTTGTAAAGAGATGATTTTGTTCCAACAGCAACAACATTGCTCGCTCTGCACTTCACTCTGAAAAGTTTTGTCAAATTTTAAGTCTACAGATTTTTTTTATTCTTAATGTATATTTACTTCTATTTATGCATGTGTGTAATAATATACGGTAAAACTTAGATCTTGTTTTACTGTACTTTGTGCTGCTGTAATACACAACTTTCCCTCTGGGTGATCTATCTATCTATATCTATCTATCTATCTATCTATCTATCTATATCTTGTTCCTGTCACCACCACCACAAAGTCATTTAGAGTGGCCACAATTCGGGCCACTCTAAATGACTGTTTACCTCTGAGCCATTTAAAATTGCGTCTTTTAAAGACTTAAACCATCTCTTGAATACTTTTTAAGGGAAGCAAAACTACTTGTGTGGCGTCGCGCCTTTTAGCACCATTCTTTTGAAGTGTGTATTTAAATGAGCGCAAATATGTGGTATAATTAAATTATGACCACACAAAGTGTAGTTCTTTTAAGTGCACACATTACTGTGAACAACAATAATCACCATCTTTTATCATTATATGTTGTGCAGATGCGTGGAAACAGTGGGAGTCCTGCAGAGGTAGGCCCTCTTTCTGAATCTCTATCTGTGTACTTTATCTGTGGGTCCGTTGGTCTGCTTGCCCTGTTTCTCGTCCTGACTTCCTCTGTGCGCTGTGTGCTCTCGGTTCTGCTTCCTGTGTGTGTACTGACCACTAACAGATATTTATATACACATCAACACATCTCAGTATTTCCACTGAGCTCCACAACTAACCTCCTACTGGTGTCTGAAGTTGGAAGGCTTCTAAGGAGACCGCGTTCGACTGAAGTTTAATTTATCCGCTCTGTCTGAGCTCATCCCAGAATAAAACATCTTAAAAGGTTGGAGACAGAAACAGGAACCGTCGTTTCTCTGTCAAACAATGACACCACAAACTGGAACAAAGCACCACGCACTGTTGAGAAACAAACTTCACAGAAATGTTCTTGTTCTATTTTCTGATGTTATTAATCACACTGTTTTTTTCTCTCTTAAACAAGGAGAAACAAGGAGAAGGCATCTACCAGGTACAGTGACAGACATACAAGAAAAATACACCCCAAATGCACTTTTGTTGTCATATCAAAACCTCATAATTCACTTTTTTCTGTTTTATTATTTACCATTTGCTTTTACATTGTGTAACCCTGGAATAAAATCTCAATTCATTAGCATACACCAAAGGAGAATTCTGGTTTGTGTACATTTCTGCATAATTCTGTCGCTAAAATGTTCACAGTCATTCAGAGTTGTTTGACATGAAACTTTCCATTCTAGAGAAACATACCAAGTCAGTGATGGTGGACAGTGGTGATAGTAACCAGACGTCCAAAGAGTTTATAGCCTCTAGAAGCATAGCAGTTACGGGTCATTCTATTGTTCCTGTGCGAAAGATGATATGTTATTCAAGTACAAAACATACTCTGTGTGACATCACCAAAACTGTAACACCGCTGACTATAACACCTCTGATCAAATTACTCAAATCTTAGTCCCCATCAAATCACGACACGTTGTTGATTTTCTAAGTGAAAATAAATTAACACATCCTCTAGAGTGAACAAACGTAAACATGCTTTCAATTTCTATTTATTTGAATATAGTTTATTTTATATATAAAATGTTATACGTAAAATGTAATATAAAACTTTTGCATGGGCTAAAGTTTATGTTTTATTTTTTCCCAATATGTTAAATTGGTAACACTTTACATTAAGGGTCGCTAATCAATCATTAAATATATAATAATCAACTATTAGTTTCCCATTATTTAGTTATTAGTTAACTCTTTATTAAGCATCAGCTATTACTTAGTAATTGATTAAGCAATTATCAATTAGTAATTAAGTACACTGTTAGTTGATAAGTTAGTTTGTCATTAGTTTGTGGCTTGCTTACTCGTTATCTGTGTGCTAATTGCTGCTTATTACATTGTTAATTAACTAATAAGTATTTTTCTTCATATAAAGAAGTAACGTGATAACTTACTAGCACCTATGTGTTAATCCCGCTAATTATCTGTTAATTAACTTTCCATCACCTCCATATATTCAGTTGCTTCACTTTTCTTACATTCGTTCATTAAAGATGCTTATGGTCACATCTGACCGTAAGATAAGTGCACACAAATTCATGGACGGTTTTGTTATTCATCACGTTCATCTTGGCATATCTGTACTCATATCTGGTAGGAGTGCATGTAAATTTGGGCATAAATGCTGGATATGTGGCTAATTAACCAAAACTATTGTCAACATAATCTGTAATTGCAAAAATAAGAACAACAGTAGAAAATTTCAATAACACTAATTTGTGTGCATGACCGTCCAGTACAAACGTGGATGTACTTAATTTACATGCACATTGATATAAACAAGTGCTGCAACTATTTCATGTTCCATTTAAAGACACATTACACTGTGCTTTTGTTTCATACTACTGACTCACAAACACAGCTTCGGTCATACACTGCAATAATACAGCGTTTATTTTAGGGAATTAACTACACTAAACAATCACTCTACTATGTTAACAACACAGAGTGTTTTGTTTTATTTCACATTTTATTTTTTCCAGTTGTTTTCATTTTAATACTATTAAGTTTGGTCAGCAGGGGAGGAGTGCACTCACTGCTGGACATCAAACTCCACCCACGAGCACGGCCATTAGCTTTCATGCCAAACACTGCCGTTTTATTGGCTGGCTACTGAAACATCTGCATGAATTAGTGTGTGCTTCATGAAATAATATGTAAATGAGGTGCTGGTAGGCTGGTTTCATGCACTGAAGCTGATTTATCGTTTATGCTCAAATCTCCACTTGTTTCCACATCGTACAAAATTGTTATGAATCAGACGCAGAGCAGTTCATACCTTATAAAAGGCAAAAAAACGTGTTCTTTTTTTTACGTAACTTTGATGATTAATGGGCCCTTTTCACAAGATTCGCGTTTACTTCCGGTTTAAGCATTAGCAGGGTAAAACTCACTTCCTCTCCATAAAGCTACTGCAGACGCGCCGTTAGAATGTTTAGTAGTGAACTGTAGCGCTCAAACACGGAGCTCCAGCAGTTGTACTTAATCAACCATTCATTGCTTCTTAAATTCTTCTTACTTAATCATTAATTACTGCTTTTGTGTTGTCACTTTACTTGGAGGGACACAAAAGCAGTAATTAATGGTTAAGTAAGAGGAATTTAAGAAGCAATGAATGGTCAAAATGTAAAGATCTAATGGCCATGGGCCCTTTTCACAAAGAGTCGCGATTACGTCCGGATTAAGCATTAGCAGTGAACTATAATGCTCAAATACTGAGCTACAACAGACATATGTTAGTTTTCAGGCACTATCATGACAAAATAGCCATTAGATCTTTACATTTTGACCATTAATTACTTCTTAAATTCCTCTTACTTAACCATTAATTACTGATTTTGTGTTGTCACTTTACTTGGAGGGACACAAAAGCAGTAATCAATGGTTAAGTAAGAGGAATTTAAGAAGCAATGAATGGTTGATTAAGTGGAATTTAAGAAGTAATTAATGGTCAAAATGTAAAGATCTAATAGCCATTAATCATCAAAGTTACGTAAAAAAACATGTTTTTTTGCCTTTTATAAGGTATGAACTGCTCTGCGTCTGATCCATAACAATTTTGTACGATGTGGAAACGTGGAGATTTGAGCATAAATGATAAATTGATAAATCAGCTTCAGTGCATGAAACCAGCCTACCAGCACCTCATTTACATATCATTTACATGAAGCACACACTAATTCATGCAGATGTTTCAGTAGCCAGCCAATAAAACGGCAGTGTTTGGCATGAAAGCTAATGGCTGTGCTCGTGGGTGGAGTTTGATGTCCAGCAGTGAGTGCACTCCTCCCCTGCTGACCAAACTTAATAGTATTAAAATGACAACAACTGGAAAAAAAATAAAATGTGAAATAAAACTAAATACTCTCAGTGTTCTTAACATAGTAGAGTGATTGTTTAGTGTAATTAATTCCCTAAAATAAACGCTGTATTATTGCAGTGTATGACCGAAGCTGTGTTTGTGAGTCAGTAGTATGAAACAAAAGCACAGTGTAATGTGTCTTTAAATGGAACATGAAATAGTTGCAGCACTTGTTTATATCAATGTGCATGTAAAGTAAGTACATCCACTTTTGTACTGGACTGTCATGCACACAAATTAGTGTTATTGAAATTTTCTACTGTTGTTCTTATTTTTGCAATTACAGATTATGTTGACAATAGTTTTGGTTAATTAGCCACATATCCAGCATTTATGCCCAAATTTACATGCACTCCTACCAGATATGAGTACAGATATGACAAGATGAACGTGATGAATAACAAAACCGTCAGTGAATTTGTGTGCGCTCATCTTACGGTCAGATGTGACCATAAGCATCTTTAATGAACAAGAACCAAAGTGAAAAAAGTGAAGCAACTGAATATATGGAGGTGATGGAAAATTAATTAACAGATAATCAGCGGGATTAACACATAGGTGCTAGTAAGTTATCACGTTACTTCTTTATATGAAGAAAAATACTTATTAGTTAATTAACAATGTAATAAGCAGCAATTAGCACACAGATAACGAGTAAGTAAGCCACAAACTAACGACAAACTAACTTATCAACAGTGTACTTAATTACTAATTGATAATTGCTTAATCAATTACTAAGTAATAGCTGATGCTTAATAAAGAGTTAACTAATAACTAAATAATGGGAAACTAATAGTTGATTATTATATATTTAATGATTGATTAGCGACCCTTAATGTAAAGTGTTACCAATTATTTCTCTTAGAAAATCAACAAAACATCATTTGACCAGGGGTGCCCAAACTTTTCCATACGACTGTTTAATCCACTGCCACTTTAATTTCAATGTCACATCATATGTATAGAATTACAACTATTGCATTCCTGTTGTTATTTTATTTCAATTTTAAAACTACTTAATGTTTTATCAGTAACACTGCTGATGCAATATTTTAGGGAAACATGAGGCTGTTAGTAGTTTAGCAAAATTTATCAGAAATATTTAGAGATTACACTAATCAGGAACTGCTCAGAGCTAGTCTTTCCCCCTTTTAGATATTCATACAAAACATAATCCAAAAAGTCCTGCTTTTTAATGCCTTTTTATATTTCGGTTACACCATGGACAAAAAATCTTGAAAAAAGATTTATTATTAAAATAAAAACGCATAAAATTATGTAAGGCAGACCATTTGTATTTTTTTTTTCATTTAAACTTAAAACAACCTTCAAATTTGTTGTTTCAATTAAAAATAATACTTTAGCATCTGTGAAGCCGCTGATGTGTTTTACTCTTTTTAATGTTCAGCAGGACTAAAAATCACTCAAATAACAAATTCAATGAGAAAACGGATACTAAACAAACTGGCTAGATTTGCACTAAAGACATCATGTTCCCTGGTTCCTATCACCACCACTGTAATGAAAATCCAATCCAATTTCACATCAAATCACCTTGAATAACACTGATTTACATCACAACAATAGAATTATACTGATTATTTATTTATTTATTTATTGTTGGAATATAAATTTTAAGTTAAGGTCGTTGCTTTCCATCTCCTCTAAATTGACCCATTCAGTGATGCAAGGCTAAGATACTGTTAAATGTAAAGATGTGGCACCCCTGGTAAAATTACATGCAATTTTCTACATGAAAATAAGAACACAACACATTTTTGCACATTTTAATGCACAATTACTGTTTACTTGCTGGATATTTATGTATTTGTTTTAACATCTTTGGGAAACAAAAAGTAAAACAAAAAAATGAGGCCTGTGCAAAAGTGAAGGCACATTTATTTATTTATTTATTTATCTATCCATCCAATATGACAAACTCAGCAAATAAACAGAAGTTTTGCACTAAAGTTTGCAGAAAATTGCCACACTTAAGTTTGTCCTCTGCAGAGGATGTGGGGTGTTCAAAGTTTTGCATGCGCCTGTAGGTGTTAAATACGTCAGAATGTCAATATATGTCTAAATATGTCGATCTCTTTCGCTATCAGGGTTTGAAGCCCCACGCTCAGGACACCTATGAGACCCTCAATGTGAACAAGAGGAAAGCTTTGGCATAAATGAGTCTTCAGCTGTTTGATCTGATGTCTTTAATGCTGTTTTCTGAGAACAACTCTGCAAAACTAATGATATTTTTTCTATTCAGTTTTTCTATTCATTTCATTAATGTATTTTTTATTTCATTTTTGTATAATGCTTGCTTTTAACAGTTCATAGATTCATAGCGTGCTAAACGGCTTGTAACATTTACCTAAATAGACTATAGTCATATAGTTATATAGTTGTACAGGTATAGTTCTGTTTTGCTGACTCTGTTAGATGTTAATCTGTCTTAAGAGCAAACAGAGGTGATGAATGTACAGATGTGAGTGTATTGGATGGGATAAAATGAACTCTTTTAATAAATAACATGGATAAATAAAAGGAGGTGTGGTGTTTATGATGTATGGCGCTGTTGTCAACATTATCATGATGTATGATATCATGAAGGCTAAATAGAATCAATTTAGCAATTTGGGTTTTAAATCAATAAAATGGAATTCCAAGCACCACAGAAGTGCTTGTCCTCACAGCCATGTGTAAAGAGTAAGTGGCATATTTTAAGGTAAAAAACATGTTTTTCTGCACTTTTAACTGCAATAATCTATACATGACTATGAAATATATGATTTAAATGATATAAAGAAAACAAATGCCAAATAAATATTATAAAATATGTAATGGAAGTTGTGGCCTTCAGGAGTTGTGTCACTGGTGTTACTGCATAACAAAAAATCTCTTATTTTCAAATAAAAATCACACTGATGACATCACCACTTCCTTTCACCTATTTTCTAAAGATCTATGAAGAAAAGCACATGGTAAATCCACCATGTCTTTTTTAAGTTAGCAGAAATTTTCTCATTTAGCTTTTTAGTAGATATTCTGTGATTGACAACATGTGGTTTTATGCTTTGTAGCAGCCATTTTGTAAAATGCAGTTTTCATAAAAAATGTCACTGGTGTTACCTACACACACACACACACAGTGTGTAGAAAAACCCAATTACTGAGCTAAAATCCAGCTCTCTTCATTTTTTTTCTTTTATATTTCTAGGCCTTTATCTGATCTAAGAAATCGGAGTATGCTGTTTACATGACCACTTGAATAATCATATAACACATAATGATCGGATTATTAAGTGCATGTAAACGCATTCATTTCAGACGCCTGTACAGATGACAGCTGCGCTATTTAAGATGGAATGAAAATTTGAATAAGAAGTTAACATTAGCCTTGAGAGGTTAGCATATGAAATTCAGCATGACTGTGTGAATCTGATACTGGCTGATCTGATACAGCAGTCCTCCACAGAGCTCATTACTGCTTTTTGCATTACTGATGTGCCCATTTTCATATGTAAATCATGTGGAGATGGACAGCAGTGGCAAGAACTGCAAAAAAGAAGGTGGCACTGAGAAGACAAGAATGAAGAAGCTAAGGAGGGCAGTCAGACATGCTGACTTTAACATGACATTTCTCACTGCACAGCTGTCCCACAGCAAGAAGGGCCTGCGTTTGATTCCCTGAGTGGGCAACCCAGGTTTTTTCTGTATGGAGTTTGCATGTTCTCCTCATGTCTGTGTGGGTTTCCTCCAGGTGCGCTCCAAAGGCATGTAGTCAGGTCAGTTGGTGTATGTGAGTATGGTGTATGTGTGTCTGCACTGTGATAGACTGGTGACCTGTACAGGGTGTTTCCTACTGTCCGCCCAATGAGCTGGGATAGACTCCAGCACTCTCTGGAGGACAAGTGGCTTAGACAGTAAGAGAGTGAATTTGTGGCAACCGACTGTCATGACTATGTCACATTTGAGACAAAAGCCACTTTTCATTTTATCTGTATCCCTTGATTATCTCAGTGTAAATAATAAATAAAAGTAAGAAATTAAGAAAATTAAAATGGAGAGGTTTTAGAAAAGGTTATATTTTACGTAGACAATGCTACATGTATGTGTGTGAGTGAGAGAGAGAAAGAGTTTGGGGTGGGCTGGTTTGCATTTTCCCTGGTCTGAAAACCAGGTCCAACACCGGCCCTGCATGATTCTGTTGTATTACTGAACAAAATCTGTCATGACAGTATATGACATCTGCCATCCCAGCAGACATTCCTATGACCTATTTTTCTTAGCTGCGATGTCATGTCAGCCTATATTAATTTTATATAGCAGGCTTCAAGTAAAGAGTTACTGTATAATCTTAGGGATTCATGGCCTTTAATCCGGTAGAGCCCGTAGCCGTCCACTAGATGTCACTATTTCACATTGAAAAAACACCACATTTAAACTCAGTCATTATAAACTAAGCAGCTTATGATTATACTTTTGTTACACTTATACACACTGTTGAGCGTATCTTGGGCTTTTCCTCTCTCTTATCATTATTATCTCTCTCAACACACACACTTCTTCTTTTCCTGTCACTACTTTCTCATATAAGAGTGAAGGTAATGAAGGCCCAAACGTTCAGTAAGGCATTTGCTGAGCCTGGTGGTCTGTTTGTATCCTCAGCTTACAGAGTTTTAAACGGTTCAGCGTTTGAGTTTTATTTACAGTTAGCATTCTGTCGAAGTGTGACATGTTGCCGCCGTCTGTTATTTGCATCAGAACTGGTCTGGCTGGTCCTCCAGCTCGAGGCCTGCGTGTCTGTTTCTGCCAGGGCAAACACAAAGCGGTTGAAACGCTCACGAGCACTCAACTCCGCTTTCATATTTCCTTTTTCTGATCCAATACATAGTTTGTAGAGTGGCCTCGGCAGCAGGTTGTAGAGCACCGCTGCACGGGGCAAGGCTAGCGCGCAGTTTAATGTTTCAGGGCGAGAAAGCGGGCGGGCAGAGGGCGGAGCGCGAGCTGCACGCGAGAGGGAAGAACAGGAGAGCAGGTGTTCGCGCAGGTTACTTTTTCACCTGCAGGTAGCACGCGGGGGCTCGTGCAGGGCGGATTACTCGGCGTTTAACCAAACGAAACACTAAAGACACGGTTAAATCAACTAGCCGGTCCGTTTTCTTGAACTTCCATGTTGATATTTCTCCTTGTTGTGGGAATCTGGGACCTTTTTCGTGGAAAATAATCAGCATGAGTGGAAGGAAATCTTTGTAAACTCTGCTGGACACATTGTCAAGAGGAGTGAGTGAGCAGTGGAGACAGAGATAGGAAACTATCGTGTGCTGAGATTGACGTGGATAAGCTAAAGTGCTGGCTGGAAGAGCTGAGGGGACGTGTTGTCTGGCCTGCTGTCTGTAAAATTGAAATCTAAGGAAGTTGAACTAGTGGACCGTTGCTGAAAAAAAAGAAAAGAAATGGCACGTCTGGCCTGGTTTGGTCTGTTTCTGACAAGACTAGTAGGTAGGTAACAAGTCAAACTCATGTAATAATAACTATACATCTACTACTACAACGTCTGTATATATATATATATATATATATATCTATATATATATATATATATATATATAATACAACTTGACAGCACTTAATAATACATACCCAATACACACTACTGATATACATATGTATGTATGTATGTATATATATGTATATATATATATATATATATATATATACATATGTGTGTGTGTGTGTATGTATGTATGTATGTATATATATATATATATATATATATATATATATATATATGTGTATGTACACACACATTATCATGTATGTATCAGTAGTTGGCTCGATTGAATTTACATGTAATGTGACATATTGTGTAATACATAAATAAGAGGAAGAAATAGATTGTGCATGTGCACATGTATTTCTTGTATTTAGCCTTTTTTGTGGACCAAATGTCCTCATGATTGGAAAATCTCACTGTTTGAAGAGGTGGCTGCTCAAGAAAACAATGTGTTTGTTTGTTTACCAAAAATGCAGCTTTGTAGTTTTGGAAAACCTAAAAGAGCCGGAAGGATTTCCTTAAGGACTATGTGTAGGTGAAGGTGTTGTGTTGTTCATCTGGTATGTGTGTTTGTGAGTGATAGAGAGAGAGAGCAAGAGAGAGAGAGAGTGTATGAGAACAGGAAACTCGTAAGTAGAAGAGTGGCATTCCTGCAGGGGACACCATGAGGGACTGTGGTGAAAGAGTGAATGATTAATCGTTTACTCATTAAATACCTACGTCGAGTGTGTCAGATTGTTCTGAGTTTAGTGTACGTCTCTGTGTGGGTAATGTGTGTTCGTTGGGTGTGTGAATATGCGTGTGTGTGTGTGTGTGTGTGTGTGTGCGCACGCTACTACACTTCCAGTGTATGTTTGTGCTTACCTCCATTGTTCTGGAAACACTGAGGAGTCGCATGACAAGCGTGTTTGTGTTTGAGTACCTTCTGTGTTTTTGCGTCTGTGTGTCACAGAAGGCATGATCTTTAAGTAAATATCGATATGAACAGGAAATGCCAGTACGACAGCCATCACATGCTGAAAGAAAAAGAGGAGGGGCAAACAAAAAGCTCTTTTTGTCTTGCCCAGTAAGTGAAAATTGAGTCTTTTCAGAGGAAATTAGAAAACAGATTAATTATTTTTAGTCCATTCATTTCAGTTTGTGCACTGAGAAAATAGCTGTATTGAATTGATTTAAATGAGTAAAATATATTAAATCAACTTATTGTTAAATGTAAATGTATGGTTTGGTAAAAAATCAAATGTACAAAATTTTTCTCTTACCCCAGACATAGTTGATCAGTTTAGGCATGTATGACGTCCACATTTTACTTCTTTACTTTAGTGACGGTCACTGCAATCTTTTCCGTAATTATATCCCCAAAACTTCTCTCAACCTGATCAAACTACATCCTGCTCCTGCTCTTAGGTCACGCATGGCTTGCGTGTTGTTTTGGACACAATGTGACTTACTATGAACTACAAGAATGAGCAAAAATCACCCAGCACTGTGGGCAGTCATTTACAGACAATTGATGTTGTGCCAAATTCAGAGTTCCCTTCCTGTGCTTCGCATCCACACCATGCAGGCATATGGACGCTTCAGAGTATGTTTGCCATTTCTGTTTCCATTTGCAAAAAAACTGTTAGTCTAAGTTTTGAACTGAAGACATATTGCTGCTGTCGGAAGAAAATCTTGTATCTCCATTTTTGTTGATTTTCAGTTTTTGATATAATTTAAAAATGCCTGTTTGCCCTTTACATTGTGTGTAAATTTCATAAAGAATGGACCCAAAGAAATGACCCAAAATAACTTGGAAAAACTTCTTACATTAAAAGTAAAGTAGATTTTTTCCTTCACCTGTAAAGCTTTTTTCCGACAACAGCGATATGTTTATATGTAAGCAACAAAAACTGTGAACTGTGAATCTATAGGAGTTATATTTCGGCACAACAGAGGAGCTGTGTTCAGCTACATGGTGAAATTTTGTTCATTTTATAAATTACAGTAAATCACATTGCGTCCTAAACCACATCAACAAGCTTGCACAACCTTATCAATGACCTGGGATGCTGGTTAAGAGAAGTTTTGAAGGTGTAGATTTGGGTGACTATTGACTTCTAGTGTTTGCTAGCAATGTTAGCCTTGTAGCATCTGGTCAACTACATCTGGGGTGAGTGGAAAATTTTGTGAATTGGAATTTCTACCAAACCATTCCATTAAGTAAACTGAAAGACCATAATTATGTTTTTGTAATGTATTGTATTTATGTGGAAGTACACATTTGAATCAAGTAAATTTAATACAGCACCTTTCAGTGTGTGGGAATGTCCTTGTGTGTGTTTGCGAGCGTCCTTGTGCTTTTTGTGTGTGTGTCACTTCTGTATGTCTAACCTGATCAATCATGATAGAGAACGTTGAACATTAACTGAAAAGACTGGTTATTCACCTCAAAACACATCACACTCACTAATCTCAAACTCCCACATTCTCTGGCAAGCTAGTCGTAATACTAAGACTACACACACACACACACACACACACACACACACACACACACACACACACACACACACACTAACCTGTTTCCTTCCTCACCTTTTTCTCACAGCAGCACAACTATTCCTCTGTTCCACTGTATGTACATCTACTGTCTAGTTTGATGTGTCTTTTTAATCTTATCATTTTTAATTAGTTTAAAATGTCATTTTTGTGTGATTTGATATTACTATGATGAGTTTAATTTCAAAATGTTTAGCATTGATATTTCTTATATGTATAAAGCCCTCTCCCAGTTTATATAATGGAAAGAAAGAAAATCTTTGCAAGTGGTTTATGATGCCTGTGTGTCAAAATCCTTCCAAAATGATTCCAACACATTTTTTTTGATATCCAAATCCTTCATTATGACGTTATTGTATTTGTCTATACCCAAGAGTAGCGTTAGTTACATCTGTAAGCCTACATCTTTGTTTCACTTAATGTTTCAATTAAAAGCTATAGAACTACATACAACATAAACTACATTTTAATTTGATGGTTTTATTCTTTGCATCACGTTGTATACAACATAGTCTATAGTGTTTATTTTTTGTCAGACGTTTCATATGTAGTTTTTATCTGACATGTTTCATACGTTGATTATGATATTCAAAATCTTTCAAGAGCTGCAGTGCATCTAACAATCATTTGTGTTTCCCACTCATGTAATCTAATATGTTCTTACTGGAAAGCATCCTTGGGTGATTTGATTAATTGCTATCTTTGTTGTTGTTGTTGTTGTTGTTTTTAAATATTCACATATATCTTGTGTTTTTTTTTGTTTTGTTTGTTTTTTGTTTTTTTAAACCCAACCTCCTCCCTCAAACACCAACCCACAATCACAGCCTCTGTGTGTGGTGAGTCTGTCCAGCCTGTTGTGCCTGTGGACTTGCAGACCTTTGCTGACGAGGAGACACGGCTGCCCTGTGAGTTTAAAGTGCAGGATGAGAGCAAAGTGGTGCAAGTGACCTGGTCCAGAGAGCAGCATGACGGGGTCAAAGAGCAAATCATCACTAAACACATGACAGAAGGAGTTCAAGGTGCCAACACACGCGCGCACACACACACAGGTTTTCTATCCAGTTTTTGCCCCCACCCTACTTTTAAAGGTAGCTTGATGTTGTGTTGGAAATTAATAAATAGTGCAGATCTACTCTTCCTGACCTTCTGTCATAATCTGGATGATAAAAGTTAAGTTATAACATGGGCTGACTGATAAAAATCCATCTGATGTAGAGCTACACTTTTGATAAATATTAGCAAACCATGACTATTTGAGCTAGGCCTTCAGTTCAGGCCATAAATGTCAAAACTCACAAGAAGGAGAAAAAACAGCCACTGAACATCAAAACATGATTGGTAAATTCCTCTTTCCCTTCCTAATTATGTTGGTAGTTAATCTAACATGTAAGGCCTTCAGTCCTAACCAATGGAGAACTAGTTTGGCTGTGTGTACCTATAGACCATTTTGTTTCCAATCAAAACTTTTAATCAATTCTAATCCATTCTGTCAAAACTAATTTCAATGATATTTTTGTCTTTCAGCTAAGTGTTTGGAAAAGCATTGAAACTGAGTGATTTAGTTAGCTAATGTTAGCTCTAACTTCGTGTTGTCCTCCCCACTGAGACCAAAACTACACCTGTGCACACTGACATATGTATTTGTAAATTCTGGATGTAAATCTCTGACTTTGCAACAACTCAGTTTGATTATAATTCTTGAGAAAATCTCAAAGCTCAACACAGTTCAATTCAGTTTGATTATTTTTTCATAATCCAGAATTCTTGTTAAAAATATACTGAATAAACAAATGTAAACAGAGGAGCTATTTACACAGCAGTGAAATATTGACAATAAAAGCAACATTTGAAAATAGTCTGAGAATTTTATAGCACATACCTGATGGATTACAGTGCTGCCCTAATGGAGCAGAATGGAATGAAATGGAAAAAATGAATGTAAAGGACAAGAATAGAATAGAATACAACAGAATAGGACAGAACATTATTGTCCACCAAAGGCTGGTGATTTTTCTTTGATCTCATCTCAAATCAAAATTAAAAGATACAGAATTACGCTGTCAGTCACACATTAAATTCACATTGAGCATCCAAAGTTCATACATAAAAACACAGTTATACAAAGGACACCCAATAGGACTCATCTTTTTTTTTATTTAACTAGCTAACTGCTGTTGGAACAAAGGATCTTTTGTAGAGATTGTGTCTGGCTGCTGGTGCTGTAAAATAGAGCTCTTCCTCCCTGAAACTGTGTGTGTGTGTGTGTGTATCTGTGTGTGCGTGAGTGCAGAGTTTCCGGGTTTTGGTGGCCGTGTGCGCTTTGAGAGTCTTGACCCTTTTAAAGACTCAACACTGCTGATCCTGAGCACAAAGGAATCAGATGATGCCACGTACACTTGCCACATATCTACTTTTCCCTCAGGAAACTTCGAGAAACAAATCAGACTCACTGTCTGGAGTAAGAATTCTTTCTTTCTGTCTTTCTCCAATAACTGTTTTTATGTACAATGACAAAATAAGAGTAAATTAAAAACTGACTAGAAAAATGAGCCTAGACATCTTTGCTTCTCAGAGATGATAATGATAATGCTACTGTTACTATTACTGTAACAATGTTTATTATAACATAACTCTGCAGACCTAATCTTTATAAAAACATTTTTGCGATAATGAGCAAAATGTTACATAGAATCACTTAGGGAATTTTTAAAATGTTAGTTTGGTGGCAAAAACAAAATTCTTATTTACACAGGGAAAATTTCCCCTTTCACCACATCAGCCAAGAGTTTTGCTTCTTTAGCTTTGCACTGGAGCTTTGAGGCTAATGTAGCTAACAAGTAATGAAAGCTTATGCCTTGCCTGTTAATAGTGTAAACTGTGTGCCTAAATCATTATACACTTACCTGAATATGCAGCAACTTTTTACATATCAAATATTCTTGCTCGTGTGGTTTCTGACACTGCATGGCATCATGCAGTCACATATGTCAAACACAATCCTATCCGGTCCACAAAATTATTTTACTTTTTTATTAATGTTACCCCATTTTACAATGCCCTGTCCTCCAATCCCCAGCATGCACTGCAATGTAATCTGCGCTCCCACTCCCCTCTACCAACAGCAATGTATGAGACAGTGGTTACACCTCAATTCTACCACATCTGTGTCATCACCAAGCACACCATTTTATATTCTTTATATTAGCTAAGCTACAGTTCAACTAATATGAACACTTAGCAGCTTAGAAATTTATCCCAGGAATGAATGAACTTTCAGCAAAGAAAAAATGGTGTCTAGGCAAATGTATATGTCTAAACGACCTACCTCCTGGGGAATTTCTTTTTAAATATTTCAAGTTTTCATGTGATATTTCAAGGTCTGCTACAAGTGCCTATATTTTGTTGTTGACATTTTGCTGTATTTTGAATAAACAATGGCCAGTTCATGTTATAGCAAGATGTTTTTTAAAAATGAAATAAAAATATAGGCATTCTCTGGCCCACTGATATATTGAGATTCTTTAATATGGCCCTTTTAGTGGTTGAGTTTGACACCCCTGCTCTAACTGCTTAACATGTTCTTTTAATCTTTTATCTCCAAATGTTCCTTTCTTCCTTATCTTCCTCTTTCTGACTCCAGGAATACCCATCGCCATGCTGGAACCTGTCATTCTGGAGGAGGGTCAAACGTTCCGTGTGGCCGCAACGTGCCGTGCAGTTGGCTTGCCTCGGCCCCACCTCTCCTGGGATACAGACCTCCTTGGCCAATCGCAAAACAAAAGCTCAGAAGATAAGGTCATCACTTCTTCCTTCCTACTGCACCCTTTAAGGAGCCTGAATGGCCGTAAGCTGGACTGTCTGGTATGGCATCCTGCTCTAGAGAATCCCCAAAGGCTCAGCAACACACTGGTAGTGCACTGTGAGTCCATTTGATTGGTCATTTGCTGTCAGTTTGACTTATCAGTACTTGGTGTGACTCTTAAACATTATTAGAGATGGATTAGTTTTACCTGGAAAGCTACTGAAATTTGAACAGTTACAGACAAGATCAGTTATTTTAATCCAGTATGAATCTGCAATGTGTGTAGTTTTTATAGTCTGACAGTAATAGTTGTGGCGCGAATAGCCTCCTGTGATTGGCTCCCTAAATGTAGTCCTCTTCCCATCCACTTCAATAGAGTAACAAAGCAACACAGCTGTGCGGTGTCTTGTTATTGTTATTGAGTGTGTCCTGCTGACATGTTCATCTGGGCTATCACTGAGAGTTTGGGGGGATTACTTAGATATTTTATCCAGAACCAACTGACCAGTCAAATTCCATTATGCAATTTCCATTGGTAAAACTAATCTAGCTCCTGCAGTGCTTAAGTCTGCGTTGACAGCACAGGGTTGCTCATATCTGACCATTATAAGTGATGCAAATCTGATATTTTCACTGAATGTGAAATAGACCTGATTTTTTTCAGAGCTGTGTAAACAGAAGAATCAGATGCAAATCCTGTCAGATCATTTTAAATTAAATTAGAGCTATTTTCATTTGTGCTTGTAGATCAGGTACATATCCAGAATGGATATATTTCCATTTTTTAAACATCACACCCAGATAAGGGTTACTTACAAACAAGAATGTGAACAGTCACAGCAGAAAGATCAGATCTGAAAAAAATGGAACTGAACAACAGGCAAATGTAGCTTAACTTAAACCAAGACTGGATTCCAGTCCCCTTTTTGACATCCCATTTGTGTTTGTGTTTTTTAGTTCCGCCTAATCCTGAGGTTGTTGGGTATGATCAAAATTGGTCAGTTGGTCGGATAGGAGCGGAGCTCAGGTGTGAGAGTGGAGGGAATCCCCGACCACAAAACTTCACCTGGACCAGGTACCGTCTGCTTGTGTCTGTCTTCTGCATGTGTGTGCGTGTGTGCGTGTGTGTGTGCGTGTGTGTGTGCGTGCGTGTGTGTGTGCGTGTGTGTGTGTCTGCACCTAAATCTCTGTCTGTCTGACTGCTTCTGCTGTGCACTGTCCTCAACGCTTTCATTTTATTTTACTTTCCTTATGTACAAAAGTATACCGACTAAATATTAGTAGATAAAAGACAGTGTAGGACAATATGTCAAGACACTTCTGCTTACCTCTGCAACATCGCAATACTGTTGCTACCATCACAATAAAGTAGCTTGCGCACATTATGCAATTTTGCATCTCTGGCAGAAATAAATAGGCATGGTCATGATCAGATCATCTAAAGCCAAGAAATAACAGGAGAAAACAATTTAGCATGTTTAATTTACAGTTGAGGAGTTATGGGCTACAACATAACATACTTAAAGCTTTCTCTTGTAGCGCATACTTTTTTTGCTCAAAAACCCTATAGCACCTGCTGGAGGGAGAGATATAGTGGTATTTTATCATTATCATGATGCATTTTATTATCATAATACACAATACTCTTTTCCGAGCACATCTTCGTATATCGTCATTAATTTGTTTCTTTTAAAAGAGAGCATAACTAATCTTGTTTATTTGGTTTAGTGCAGTACAATATGTGAAATTATGTCCTTTCTGAGTTTTTGATAAGTTTTTAGATGTGCCACAATTAGGGCACTATGTATGTGTGTCAAAATACTGTGATTAGTATTGTGTATGGTAAAAATGTCCTTAAGTATCGTCATATGATATTTTTTCCATATTGCCTACCTCTAGTGCCACCTTCAGGTCATTCTGGCTCATCTCACATGCCCCAGATGCAGGAGGAAGCACTATCTGTTAACCAAGTTTTATGTCTGTATGACTTGCGATGTCCATGTTTTGTTTGAAGGCAAAACTAGAAAAATAATAATAAGCAGAAACATCCTAACAAAAACAATAGGACTCCAGCACCAGGTGCTTGGACCCCTAATTATAATTTAGCACTATGCAATTATTGTTTATGAAAACACTACAACTTTAGAGTACAGCTTTACAGTGATTATTTTACATTGTAATAAGGATATTGGTGATAATGTGCAAGAGGTAAGATGCTATCACCTAGACTAAAACAGTTACCCTCGTTTTCCTGTTCTAACACCAACTTAGGAAGACCTTTTTTGCTTCTATCAGATCTCTGTAATTGATACCTTTTGTCTGCCAGTTTTTTTTTACAATCTAGTATGATGTGCCTCCATGCCTGCTTCAAAGAATTCATGACACTGCAGAAATCCCTGCACGATCAGGATTAAATGCACAATTCCACAACCTCACCCTCCCTTTCTTTCTTTACCTCACATATAATCACTCTACATGCACACAAAAGGTATTAAACTCCAAGAGCCATGCTTATTCAAATGCTCTTTTGAGGGTAAAATAAAAGCCATGGTGTAGCGTTACAACCTGCGACCGAAGAGCCAGCGGGAGGCCGTTTCACACGAGCTGGGGGGGAAGTGAGAGAGAGTGAGAGAGAGAAAAAAGGAGGGAGGGTGAGGATGAGAGGGAGGAGCGCAGGGGGAGACGCATCCTAAGCTTTAAATGACCATACTGCACCTTAAATATTGTTTTAATGGACGCCCAAAAAGACAGGGTTTTACTTTGATTAGAGACGCCATGCAGGAGGGTATCAGCAGAGACGCCTGTGCAATTACTGCAACAATCTTTCATCTCTCGAGTTAGACATTATTACAGTAGGCTGATGTGGCACTTGGCGCTGCTGTGTCATGCTTGGGCACCCATCCACCAAACTCAAAAAAAAAAAGTCTTGCTTTCTGTTCCAGCAGCGCTGAACACTAACTGGCGGCACTCCCAGTCGCACTGATTCTCCAAGTATAGTTTTAATGTTTTATTGACATTGAATGAAAATTATATGTCTTTGAAATCATATCGATTTCATAGTGACCCTGTACAGCTTCTATTACATTTAAAACAAAAACATTACAGAATTAGTTCAAACTCCCACAATTCGAAGGTCCTACAGAAAATAAAAATAAAAAATAAACAGACAATTAAGTATTCAGACCTTAGATATTTCCAATGATTGTTATGCTTTATTTAAACCCAAGGCCATTAATTGAGGTAGTAATAAGCTAAATTTATACAGAATCATCATTTATAGGGTACTTTCTATTGGAAGGCGGCTGTCCCAAACCCAAATTTCAACTTGTGAAATAATACTTAAATTTTTGTGTATTTTTTGTGTATAAGATCTTTTTTTGATTACTTTGAAAGTGAAGTTTAAAGATTTAGATTTGTCATGAGTTTATTTTTGAAATAAAAAACGCTGACCCACGATTTCACATCAGCACTGAAACACAAAGAGCTTCAGTCAAGAGGTGGGGCCTTATTTTAGCTACAACCCTGCATTTTAAAGCAGACAGAGACTGCATCGCTGTCCCTCATTGCCACATGGTGAGCAGTTGGATCCCATTGTTTTGAAATAAATGTCTCCCAGGCTGCATCCAAAACCACATACTACCACACTAAACATACTGCATTGTTAAATGCATTACTATTGGTGGTGTACTATTTTGATGTAGTATTTAGTATGGTAGTATGTGATTTTGAACGCAGCCCCAAAGTCTGAAAGTCAGTGTGTAACATTAAGAATTGTCACTACCGCAACATATATTTTCTACAACCCGTTCACAGCTGTTTTTACTAGTGATGTACTGACTAGTGTTTCTGAGATATGCACGCTTGTTATTGTTGTATTGGTAGTGACAAAATGGAATGTTTGATCATTTATTTTAATAAAACAAACATAATTAAGGCAAATATTATTCAAAGCAAAAAGAATTTTACCCTGAAGTCCAAAGTGTTTTCAACTCTGACTTCACACCAGTTCGGTAGAATGATCCATATATATCAGCAGTTTGTAATCACTGTTTACATTTTGCTGTCTAGTTTATAACAATTTAATCTACATTGAATGAGTTATTATTGACTAACAATTATTAATATGGCAAGTGATTCATGTTTTGAATGCAGTGTACATATGTGTCAAAGGCATGACATGATTTTTTTTGTGTTTCATTGCTTCAGAAAAAAAATAATTTGAGGCATTTATGCCTCCCAAAGTCTAAAAATGTCACATATGCAGATTATAAGTAAACTATTTAAAAAGAAAGGACTTTTATTCTAACATGCTTTTAAGATAGAGTGCAGGGTATTGCAGAATAAAGAAGTAACCTTAATGGTGCAATGCCAAGATTATTAGTCCTTATTATTAGGTTATTAAAAAGTTGTCAATTTTGAGTCATGGTTTAGCTGGTATGGCCCAGGAAAACCATCAACATGTGTTTTTATTATGATAATATATTTTTATTGTATATAATTGTATATAAGGTTCAGGCACAAAGGTTTATATGGGTGTCTAAGTACAAAGACTAGTTAATCATATCCATATTTCATATGTTTTCATATATGAAATATGGATATGATTAAACCTGTACTTAAATAACTTCTATTTTTAAAATATATTTTTAATTAATGTGTGTTTACACCATCTGACATATGCTGGGTAGAAGTCTGATGATCCTGTTTAATGAATTTATACCTTATATGAAAGCTATGAATCAAAATCAGTACATTTGAATAGATTCTTGCAAGTACAAATATGCACATGCCTTTTTTTAATAAGAATTTTTTTTAATGATCATTTTGAAAGTTTTATTTGTCATTCACCCACATATATAAAAAACTTTGTATATGAACATTTCATCTCATTCATATTTTTTCACATGTTCAAATATTTTTTCATATGTGATAACATATTTTTAACATGTGAAACGTGCAAAACCCCATGTGTTTTATTCACATGCGAAATTCGTGTGACATGAGTTTTGAGGGATGGTGAATGGACCAATATTAAACAGACAAAATGATGTAGAATCTTGTCAGATTAATGTATAGTAAATTACAAATGTTTTTTTTATCCAGCTTTTGATACAACATCAACAATATTCTTGTGATGCATAAAGAGCATTTAAGAGTTTTGTGTGGGCATATGCGGTCACGCATGAACATGAGAACCTTTCGGTTTATGGTTACCATGGCCCCTTTTAGTAGAGCAATGGGGTCTCGTTGGGGTGTGTGTGTGCTCAGTATCAGGGTGTGTCTTGTGCTCTGCTAAGTGAAGTATGTTTGGGGTTTTAGGGTTTGAAGACGATCCTACTGTTCTCACTCTCAGTGCATTACTCATAGATACTCATTACAGACCTGCTGGGCAAGCCTAAGGGAAAAAAAGAGGAGAGATATTGAAGGTGAAGTCATTCATTAGCTCAGGGATCCTCAGGCTCCAGGGACAAAAGGTTCCACACATATGAATTAGCATCTGAAGTTCAACTGTGTGTTTTAGAGGAAGTGAGTTAATCACTTACGTGACTAGAATCAGGCAAAAAGAGCATGTCAGATTGCTAAATATAATACAACAACAAATTTAATGTACTATATTTTCCCACACACAGTTTACACTTGTTAGCTACATTAGCCTCAGAGCTTAAGTGCAAGACTCAAAACAAACTTTTTTCATTTTTGTAGTTCATAGTAAGTCATACTGGGTTCTAAACCACACTGACTTTTTTGCATGACTTAAATTAAGACCTGAATCGGGTTGGGTGAAGGTTGGTCATGTATTTATGAAAATGGTGACTGTTGACTTCCAGTGTTTGTTAGCAATGTTAGCTTAGCAGCTCCAGTTCTAAATTAAAGAAGCAAAATTTGGACATCAAAAATGTCTGATAGTCTGATTGACTACTTTTAGGGTAACATGTACATCTGATTTTTCTCCAAACTGTTCTTTAAACTGTGATTCAGTGATGCACTGGGCCAGTTTCCCAGACAGACCTAGATTAAACCTAAGCCTGGACTAGAAGAACTTCCAATGGTGAATCATCATTAGCTCTGCAGTTTAGACTAGGCATAATCCATGTCTGCGAAAGTAGCCCTGTAAGGTTTAGTACATAATTACTTATAAGAAACAATGAAACAAATGGAGACAAAATGCTTATACATACATGCACATATTTCACTGGACAGTACTGTTTTTAGGTGTTTGTGTTGTTAGATGATTTATTATTTATTCTTTTTACCACTGTAGGAAGATTTGTATGAGTTAGGCCATTTATTTAATGTTGTTGCTCTTAAATCATGTGACTTCCTGTGAGTAATACATTGCACTACCGGCTTCTAGCACTATAGAATTTTTTTTTGTGTGTTCTCCCATGGGAGCCTGATGAAGATCATAATAGTCAAAACATTGCATCAAGAAATAATATGGGAGTTTGAAACATCAATGTGCAGATGTTTCCCCTTTGTATTTTTTCAAAGTCATTCATTAGCTCATAGATCTACTGGCACCAGGGATAAGAGGCCCCATAAACAGAAATTAGCATCTGCACTTCAACTGTAAGTCATGGAAGAAATGAGTCAGTCATTTATGTGACCAGAATGAGTCAATTATGGACTTTAACAGGTTGCGCTGATTTCAAATCTAGCTTCATGTCCAGATTATAAGTGTACATTTATAAGATAATCTGTGATGTCCCTCTTCATTAGTTTTCAATACTGTTTTTAATAAGTCATTTTAACAAGTTATTGTTGATTTGGCCTCCTTTCCATTTAGGAAATCCCTGACATTATCTTAATGGCTGTCCATTATGATATTAGCTCAAGTAAAGTTTATTAGATGAGCTCTTTTAAGGGCAGAGAACTATGTAAAGGCAGGTGTCAACTTTAGCAGAAAAGAACTTGTCCACTTCAAACTGACACGTTCTCTTTTAAAACCCCAATAAGGTGGGCAAAGCTATTTATAAGCCAAATTAAAAAAAAGTACTTAAAAATATTTCATTTTTCAAAACTGTAAAATTCAGTTTGCTGTGTTCAGACTGGGCTTTAGGTAACATTCTCCTTCTGTTATACATGACTACTAATAAAACTTTGTTACTTATCTTTGCTAGCTTGCTAGTTAGCGAGCTATAGGCTACACAGCTGGCAGTAAAGCTAAACCAAAGCTTATAGCCAGACAAAGCAATTATTCGCATATGCTATTTTCAGACATCTCAAGAAATATTTTCTATGAACAAAGTTTGCATTAGCTCACTGAGGCTAAAGCAGGGAGCATGTTCAAATCGAACAAATTTGCTTCTTATTTTCCCCTCCTCCGCTTATGCTTCCCCAGTGGTGAAATAAGTGTTGACACATGTCTTCTATAGTAGGTGTTGAAACCTAAGAAATAGATCACAGATGATGTAACTACTTCAAGTAGTAGTCCTTGTATATTACATTTAGCTTTTTAGTATCCATTTGTTTTATTTCTCATAACTGTTACTGAATTAGCTTTACCGAAGCACAATTAAAGGAATAGAAAGGCAAATGTATACAGTGTATACTTTTTTTCCCCCTGACCACAATACCTCAAATATAGTTGCTTAGCCAATTTGGTTCTTTAATTTTACGCTGGAGCTATGAGGCTAACATAGCTAGCAAGTAATGGAAGTTTATACTCCGTAGATTAGAACTGTGCAAACTATGTCTAAATCACGTGTGAAACTGTTGTTGAAACTGACCTGCTTATGTGCGTTTCGATGCCATATGATGTGCTGTTACAAATATGGAAAAAGTACAGAAAACTTTCAGGCTTCAGGATGCCTGCTACTATTTTTAGCTGTGCGACATACACTTTTTCTCCATTTTCATAGGTGTTAAACACATTATAGGTGAGGTGAGGTTACTGATGGTGATTTAGGTATGGAGTTTGCATGATGCTAATTAGTGAAGCTTTTGTTAGCTACATTAGCCTCATAGCTGCAGTGCGAAACTAAAGGAGCAAACTTCAGATCCCTGTGTATGTACATTCATTATAAAAAGACACTCCAAACATGGGGGCAGTCTGTCTATATGATCTGTTTTATTTTGTATAGGAAGGGCAAAGGTTTGCCTGAAGGCGTGTCTGTGGAGGGCAACAGGCTCATTTTTACTCGCCCCCTGAATAAGACGGACGAGGGTGCTTACGAATGCGAAGCCAGAAACAGCATGGGGGCTGTGCGGGCAGAGTTTAATGTTGAGATTCCAGGTAAGGGCCTCAGAATGGTAGTTTTATTGTTTTGTTTTTATTACTCAGCGATTTTCACCCCAGCCAAGCAAGAGTATACCGTGAATCATTTATTTCACAACAGAGACTAACTGATTAAAGTGGAATTAGGTTTGCTTCTGCTTGACTGGAATGAACTGGCCCTTTGTGGATTGCATTAGTAACCTGTAATGTTTTCCTTGTTTAATACGTAATAAATTTAGAAGATACTTTGCTGTGAATGGAATACCTAAACAATTATTTGATTATGTATACAGTAAAGCACTCATATAGTGGAGAATTTTCCTTACTTTTTTTTTTATGAAACTTTGACATAGTAAACATTTTCACCACTCCACAGTCTATATGGAAACTAAGATGCAAAAACGGCCTGTTTTGAATTTGTTGTTTTTATGATGCCACTAAAACCAAAACATTTACATGTACAGTCATTTGCAGACGTTTTGGGCACCCCTGGTCAAATGGCATGAAAATCAAATGTTGATTTTCTAAGTGAAAATAAGTTTACACATCCTCTATAGAGGACACACTTCGTTTTTTTGCTGAATTTAACACATTGGAAGTATATAGTAAAGTATAGGAAGTAAATAAAACATAAAAGGTGTGAAAGTTATGGTACATTTTACATTTTAGGTTTTATTTTTTTTCAATATGTTAAACTCAGCAAATAAATAGAAATTGTGCACTAAAGTTAGCAGGAAAATGTCATATTTAAGTGTGTTCCCTGTAGGGGACATGTGAACTTATTTTCACTTGGAAAATCAACAAAACATGTAATTTGACTGGGGTGTTCAAACTTTTGCATACAAGGGTATCTGCCTATTCAGACTATAGCAGTTTAGCTTCACCCATTCGTACTGCAGTTATAAGGAGTGTTTTAGCCTGAAGAGCTTTTTGAATGAGGCTCAACACAGGGCAGCCAGTGAGAACATAGGTCATTTACATATGTTACAAGTGTTAATTTTTTTATGGAAAATATTTATTGCTTGCATTTTGGAATTATCTGTTGATTTATTATGGCACTGCTCTGTTTCCACAAAACAACCCACAGGGAAGGTGTGTATTTATTTCTCAGCAGGCAGAAGTGACACATATTTGCCAAAATGACAGGGTTGTAATTTGAGTCAAGGAAATGGACGTGGAGCATTAACAAATGACTGTGAATTTAATTACGAAACACCATCTGCTGACGAAAAAAGAAATGGATTTTTCATCTCAAGTTCCTCTTCAGCTTTTCCCTTTTTTTTTAAATTTAAGATGTTGCTCCACTCTACTTGTGTCTTTTGTAGCAAGACTATTTATAAATTTTGAACTTTAGTTGTATTATGAATAGCCAATGTGAGTGAGCAAAGAGAGATCCCAGTATGTATTAGCTGCAGTATATTATTACAGTTAGCACAGTTTGAACTGAAGATAAACACAGCATTCCTCATCTTCAAAATCACTTTTTTCTCACTCTCTTAATGAAGTTATTGTATGATTATGGTTGGCCCTGAAACTGAATGGCATTGCACAAATCAGCAATGACAAAGTTCACCTTTTCTCTGCTTAAATTACATATTTTCTTTGGAAAGGTCAAGACCTTTGGAAGGGTCAACTTTGGGTTGTTAACAATGCATCAGTAGAATTCTGTGACATCAAGCAACGTTTGATCGGCCAGCTTAGATATGTGAAGTTTGTATATGCACACTGCCCCCTTGTGGTAGTTTCAGTGCTATTTAATGTTTTTTATCCTCAACATTTCAAGTAACTTCTGAAGCTGCTAGGCTGGTGGCCTCCTTCAACAACCTCCTAATTATCATAGTGGGTGGAGCTGCTGGGGGTCTAGTTGTCCTCATGGTGATTATCATCATTCTGGTGAACCGCCACCACAGACGCAGGAACAGGAAGCTGAAGAGGGAGCTCACTGAAAGAAAGTGAGTCTGCAATCATTCACATCAAAACATCCTCGTAATATAAATCCTTAAATGATAACTTGTGCTGTAAACAACAGGACCACGATTAACTAGAAGTGCTTCTAATTAAATATACAGTGGTGTGAAAAAGTGTTTGATAACACAAACACAAAATGCAGTTTATAAATGAAGGTCTTTATTATTAAGGGAAAAAGAAATCCAAACCTACAGGGCCCCGTGTGAAAAAGTGATTGCCCCCTAAACCTAATAACTGGTTGGGCCACCCTTAGCAGCAACAACTGCAATCAAGCGTTTGCGATAACTGGCAATGAGTCTTTTACAGCGCTGTGGAGAAATTTTGGCCCACTCATCTTTGCAGAATTGTTGTAATTCAGCCACATTGGAGGGTTTCCGAGCATGAACTGCCTTTTTAAGGTCATGCCACAGCATCTGAATCGGATTCAGGTCAGGACTTTGACTAAGCCACTCCAAAGTCTTAATTTTGTTTTTCTTAAGCCATTCAGAGGTGGACTTGCTGGTGTGTTTTGGCTTGTTGTCCTGCTGCAGAACCCAAGTGCGCTTCAGCTTGAGGTCATGAACAGATGGCTAGACATTCTCCTTCAGGATTTTTTGGTAGACAGCAGAATTCATGGTTCCATTTACCATAGCAAGTCTTCCAGGTCCTGAAGCAGCAAAACAGCCCCAGACCATCACACTACCACCACCCTATTTTACTGCTGGTATGACGTTTCTTTTTCTGAAATGCTGTGTTACTTCTTTGCCATATGTAATGGGACATACACCTTCCAAAAAGTTCAACTTTTGTCTCGTCAGTCCACAGAGTATTCTCCCAAAAGTCTTGGGGATCATCAAAATGTTTTTTGGCAAAACTGAGACAAGACTTTATGTTCTTTTTGCTCAGCAGTGGTTTTCGTCTTGGAACTCTGCCATGCAGGCCATTTTTGCCCAGTCTCTTTCTTATGGTGGAGTCATGAACACTGACATTAACTGAGGCAAGTGATGCCTGCAGTTCTTTGGATGTTGTTGTGGGGTCTTTTGTGACCTCTTGGATGAGTCGTCGCTGTGCTCTTGGGGTAATTTTGGTCGGCCGGCCACTCCTGGGAAGGTTCACCACTGTTCCATGTTTTCACCATTTGTGGATAATGGCTCTCACTGTGGTTTGCTGGAGTCCCAAAGCTTTAGAAATGGCTTTATAACCTTTTCCAGACTGATAGATCTCAATTACTTTGTTTCTCATTTGTTCCTGAAGTTCTCTGGATCACAGCATGATGTCTAGCTTTGAGGATCTTTTGGTCCACTTCACTTTGTCAGGCAGGTCCTATTTAAGTGATGTCTTGATTGAGAACAGGTGTGGCAGTAATCAGACCTGGGTGTGGCTAGGGAAATTGAACTCAGCTTTCCAAAGATGTGATAAACCACAGTTAATTTATGGGGGGTAATCACTTTTTCACACAGGGCCCTGTAGGTTTGGATTTCTTTTTCCCTTAATAATGAACACCTTCATTTATAAACTGCATTTTGTGTTTACTTGTGTTATCTTTGTCTAATATTTAAATTTGTTTGGTGATCTGAAACATTTAAGTGTGACAAACATGCAAAAGAATAAGAAATCAGGAAAGGGGCAAACACTTTTTCACACCACTGTATTTGTGTACACACCTCTATCTCTCTCCTTCTTTTTCTTTCAGAGAGGAGATAAATAATCTCTCAAGACAAACCTCAATGAGGAGACTCAACTCTGTCAGCACTGACCCTAGGATACAGGTACCACTAGGCTTACTATTAAGTTTTATTTATTTATTTACTTAGTTAGTTACTTGTTTACTTATTTATTTTAATGATCGTCTCAATTCATTGAAAGACTTAGCCTTAAATAATGGCCAGTTTTATGGGCAGAGCCCATGACTAAAGGATGATGTTCAGTACTGAATACCATATTTATATAATTCAGTATAATTTAGTCGAAGTCAGTGGCTCTTGCAGGTCTAGCAGGCAGTTGTTTCTAAATTATTTTCAAAAGCCCCATTTTTCTTGGTTTAAATGAATATGATTGTGTATATTATTCCAAGTGCTGCTGGAACGCTGACACATAGTGTGGGATTAGTGAACAAAGCATTTGCACACAAAGTCTGCATTGTCTGCAACAGTAGACCATTTACACTTGCAGTGAATTTTAAAACATATTCCGCTAGTTGCTAGTTTACTAAGATTACCTACCATATCAGTGCACTTTGTATGTTAGTACGATATATCATCTCAGGCTGAAGGATTATGGGATTGTGATTTTTCAGACCAATTTTGTGACTGCGGTTTAAATAGCAATTATTTTCTATAAATTAAGATTCAGGACTTTTTTATTTTGCCCTGATGACCAACATATCAGTTTGTTCTGGCTTGAGGCACCAATGCTGAACATAGTGTGCAAGACTTCCAGTTAATTGTGGTTATGTTGTTATGTACACATCATGTGGGTGTTTAGTTGCTTCTTGGTCTAACTCATCTACAGGCAGTTCACAAGCTCCATGCTACTAGGTTAAAGTACCCCTAAAGTCATCATTTGAACCAGGGGTGCACAGCTCCAGTCGTGGAGGGCCAGTGTCCAGTACAGTTTGGTGATTAACCTACTCAAACACACCTGATTAAACTTGTCTGTTAATTGCAAGGTTTAGTGGGTGTGTTTGAGCAAGGAAACCTTCAAACCCCGTTGGACTTCGGCTCTCCAGGACCGGAGTTCTCCCCTATGATGTATATATAATCATACATAGATACATCATATGGACAAAAGTACTGGGGCACCCCTCCTAATTTTTCAGTTCAGGTGTGTCAGCAACACCCATTGCTAACAGATGGCTCAAACTTAAGCACATAGCCTTGCAGTCTTGATAGACAAACACTGGCAGTAGAACGGGTTGTACTGATGAGCTCAGCTTTTAAACATGGCACTGTCATAGGATGCCACCTCTGCCACAAGGCAGTTTGTGAAATTTCTTCTCTGCTAGATCTGCCCCTGTCAACTTGTAAGTGCTATTATTGTAAATTGGAAGCACCTAGGAGCAACAACAGCTTAGCCACAAAGCAGTACACAATGCAAACTCAGAGAGTGGGGCCACCGAGTGCTGAAGCCCACAGTGCCTATCCTCTACTGAATCACTCACTAAAGAGTTCCAAATTGCATCTGGAAGCAACATCAGCAAAAGAACCGTGCATAGGAGTTTCACAAAATGCATTTTCATGGCCGAGCAGCTACACACAAGCCTAAGATCAAAATGCACAATGCTTTTGAATTGGGGGGAGTGGTGTAAAGCACACTGCCGCTGGACTCTCATGTGGATGCTCTGTGGAGTGATGAATCACACTTCACTATCTGGCAGTCTGATGAACGAGTCTGGGTTTGGTGAATGCCAAGAGAATGTAACCTTCCTAACTGCATTGTGCCAGCTGTAAAGTTTAGTAGAGGTTTCTTAGCATACCAAGACATTTTGGACAATTCTATGTGTCAAACTTTGTGGGAACAGTTTGGGGAAGGCCCTTTTCTGTTCCAGCATGACTGAGCCTCACTGTGCAAAGCAAGGTCCATAAAGGCATGATTGGGTGAGTTTGGTGTGGGAGAACTTGACTGGCTCACACAGAGCCCTGACCTCAACCCCATCACACCTTTGGGATTAACTAGAACATCAGTGTCTGACCTCACAAATGCTGTTCTGGATGAATGGGCAAAATTCCCTACAGACAGACTCGAAAATCTTGTAGAAAGCTTCTACAAGAGTGAAGAGTGGAATGTCAAGCTTGTAGTAGCAGAACCCTTATTGGTGCTATATAGAACCATTTCCAAAAAGGTTCTGTATAGAACCATATACAACACATTCTCCATCAATCTTAAGCATGCAAATGGTTCTTTGAGAGTTCATGGTTCTATGTAGACCTGCTGTCTTTACTAAAGATTCCTTTGAGGAATCATCTTTTTTAAGAGTGTACTATATAGAACTATTTGTTAGTAATTAACATTACAAAGGGATGCCATTCTAACCACAGTATTACATACATGTGCTAAAATAATAATATAACAAAAATATAATAATAATAAAAAAGTAGTGATAGCTACAGCCCCTAACCCCCCCCACTTTTTTAAAGTTGACCACTATATTCTGATGAGTTATACTTTCTAACTGTACCCCAACAATTTGTGCCAACACAGTATGCGTTTCTAATAATGTGGCCAGTGTAAGCGTAAGGGCCCAGTTCTCAGGAACCAGCAGGAAATCTTTTGTTCTATTGCAGCTCTCAGTATGTATCGATCATTTTATCTGTAAAATGTCGAACAGCTGGCTTTATGTCATGGGCTGTAGAACAAAAATGTTGATTGACTCGTCCTTGACAACTGATGTTGAAACTCCTTTACGTGACCACTACTAATGGTATGCAAATGTCATAAATGCTTGAACTTCATTTCGCCTGAATGTTCAAACTTGCTTGTACAACATGTCATTACTTTTCTGAATTCTTTCTCGTCTTTCTCTTCTTCTCCCAGACTGAGGAATGTGCCCTAATCAGACTGGACAGCGCTCTGAAAAACAGCTTTTTATCTCTAGAGGTACGTTCATTCAATAATTTTCAGACTTTAGTAATAATTGTATTTTGTAGTTAATTTTATGTTGGTGTATTTTAAGTTAGTTTCATTTACCAAGTCATGTAGTATTACTCTTCAAAATGAAGTTTCCCAAATGGTTGTTGGCTTAGATGCAGAGAAGCTTTACATGGTATAGAAGCTTTATATCATGTGGAGGCTCTTTAAACTCTTTAAAAAGGATCTTCATATTCATATCTTATTTACAACATGGTTCTTTAAAGAACCATCCATTGAAGTGTTCTTTAGGGAACCATAAGTGGTTCTCTCTTTTTATTGTCTTTATTGCTTTTCGTGGAAAACAGAATTTCTCACTTTTTGAAGAAAAAGTTTCAAAACTTACCATTCACTGCCCAGTCCATAAAGTCCATATATGGATACTGTGAAAACAGCATGTTTTGAATTTATTATTTTAATGATGTAACGAAAACCCACACCTATTTAGCCTGCAGCAGTTCAGCCCCACCCATTCACATTGAAGTTATGATGAGTATTTTAGCCTGGACTGTTTTTGAATAATGCGCAATACAGAGCAGCCAATGAGAATAGAGCTCATTTACATAATGTAAAAATGAATTACAGCTGAATTACAACTCATGATATGGGCACTTTTAAGAGTACGTTGATGCAGTTTTAGGATTCTCTGCAAAATGTTCATAATGAAAAATCCATAGTTTAAAATGAGCCAGTGAGGTTATGTTGACCTCTTTCAACAGGGGAACTCCACACTATGTGACCAGAAGGATGGGCTCAGAGAAGGAGAGTATGATAGCCTTGGTCGTCCGGCCATCTACCCATCCTACCGCTCAGAGCGAGGGAGCGGGAGGAGGAAAGAGACAGAGGTGGAAAGAGAGGAACGAAGACGCAGAGTGGAATCCTTTGTAACCAACAGCACTGTGCCTTTGGTGAGGCTTTGTGTATATATGAATGAGCAAATTCTCTGTCAGGATGCAATAATGTGATGTAAACAAACTCAGAGTGGTTTGATGTGAAATGGTGCTTTGTAGAGAAACTTCTTGTGAACTTTCCCATCACCACTACTGTAAAGAACCAAGGGTCGCAATGTCTACAGTATACAAATATAGCCATTTTGGCCAAATCATCTGATCAAACCTCCAATGATACTGCAGTATTGGTATTAGAAAACAAAGTGTTGGGGGGCCATCTTTTTTGACTAAAAAACAACTGAATGTGCTGTGATGTGCAGTTTTGCTTCACAGACTTCCAGGGGGAAATCACACAAGTCACCTGCCAACAGCAGTTACATACACTTTTTTTGCTACAGATTAGTGTGCAGCACTATGCTGTGGCCAGTATATAATTATCTGATATAATTATGTTGACTTCGTGTTTTTACTATTTGTGGTAGGCAGGCCAGCCAGCTTGCTAACTGCTATGTTAGCTCTTTGGCTAATCACAGCTACACACAACCATGCTAGTTATCTATATTTTTTTTTACTAAAAATCTGTGTGCCGTGCTATACTCCTATAAGTATATAATTATCTGATATAATCGTGTTCACTTTTGTGTTTTACTGTTTTTGGCTAGTTAGCTACATTGCCAACCTCACCAAAATGGGGGATTTTTTTCCATCCTTTGTCATGCTCGTTTCACAAGGCGTCACAAACTGCAATGCACACCTGAAGCTAATGTCCTTTTAGGAAAGTCTGTCTATTCAGTAGCCATCTTGGCAACATGCCTAAACAGTTATTTCTAGTCATACAAGACCAGTCTTGTGTCTCTTTGAATGGAGAGAGACCTTTAAACCTGAAGCTGAAAGCTACGTTACCGTCTCATTACGGGTAAAATCTGACAAAAAATGCATAAATAGTTTGTAGTGTTTGGCTCAAATTATGCTTTTTTCTGGCTGTACTGGCTACTCTGCAAGGCTTTTCCTGCTTGCATCTTTACAAGCAAGCTGATAAGAACTTTTTATTGAAGGGCAGGTCTTTCCCAGTAAATGGGCCCCTTGTTGAATGTTACATGTCTTTTCATTCATTTTCAACCAATAAATGGTCTCCTCCTACCTGTTTAGAAGGAGGCAGTATGTCATAAAATTTGATCTCAGATGCCTTCGAGAGGGCGAGACTGTGTGTTTCCAACACAGCACAATGGCTGTGTCTAAAAGTATTAAGAAAATAAAGAATGATTAATACAATGGGTATTCATATGTGTGACCTGTCAGTGTAATAATAAAGCTAAATTAATTAAACATTATCAAACTCAATATTGCCGACCATACAAAAACAGCCCACATTCCATGTCAGATATGTAAGTCTTGAAACACCAACGTAGCAAAACAGCACAGATCATGCACCTGACACTGTGGTGTCAGTATTTTCAAAATGTTTTATTCATCCAAAAGCAGCTTTTTCAGTGGATATCGGACTAATATTAATAATAAATGTTCTCATTTATCGACAAATAACTCACTGATGTATCATGCAGCATGTGAAAAGATATGTGGCTAAGTTCAGTGGTTGATGTACAGTGATATTAGGAGCAAACAGCATGCTGGTAACACATTTTCTCATTCATAAAATGTGGATTAATGGCGTTTTACCGCTTGCACACTGCAAGATGTTTCCATAATTTAAATAACATGTTGAGATGCTAATTACATGTTCGAATTTTGTTGCAAGCATGTTTAGCTTTACTACCATTTTCCATTTACAAAGGATTTTACAAAGAACTCAATTTACACATGTGAAAATTACATTTTACTAGTAAGAAAATTTTTTTTTCTAGTTGTTGTTTAATATTTAATTTTCACATGTGCAAATCATATCCATAAAATATGAAATAGTTACTAGTTGAAATTAAATTTTCACAAAATTTCAGTAAATTGAATTCCCTGAGATCAAGAAAAATAAATACAAGGTAAAACAGCTTGTTACAGCTTATTATTATTATTATTATTATTATTATTGAATTGGGAAATTAAATCTTAAATGCTAAATTATAATTCCTATCATTAAATTGTTGAATTCTAAGATGTTATTTGATTTTTGTTACATTTTCTGATAAAGAAATTCATCAGAAAATCACAGCCAGAGTGACTTTATGAATAGCTCTTATCTACCATGGTGCACATTTTGGATGGTGTAGCACTGTTACCGCCAAGTTTTATGAATCTGGTCCTTGCTGCCTGGTTAATGCAATATATTTTATGTGTATAGATGAGTAACACTTATTCTTTCTCTCCTCCCTTTGTTCTTTGCTTCCTCAGGATTCAGATTCACTTCATAGAGACCAGAGCCCTCCGCCGCTGTCCATTAGTTCAGGGCCTCCGAGAGAAGGAGGGATGGAGAAAGAGGGATGGGGACAGAGAGAGGGAGTGACAGAGGGAGAGGAAGGGTGATTGCACCTCCAACTCCTATCAGATCTCAGAGGCTCTCTCCAATCACTTCCACTACAGCAACGGCTTCCTCAGGCCAAAGCCTCACCCTAATGCTATACTACTGCACCCACGGGGCCAAATCATCTGATCTGTTCAGCCTACTGTGACTACCTGCACATCATAGCATCAAGGAAGAAAATGTTCTTTCATGGGGCATCTCACTTTTGTGCTGGTTTCAGCCTCCAGGATCCCCAAGTGTGAACTGTGGTCCAGCAGAGCTTGCCCTGAAGAACTTTATATTTAGCCTGTTTGCTGCTTCAACTAAAGAAACGGTGCAAATGCTTAGCATTTTTCTACACTCCTTGGGGCAAGCCAATGTCAATATCACCCATCCAGACAAGTGAACCTTGAATGACCTTCAGATTCTTCCTGTACCCAATGACCTCTGCCTGGCCTAGCAGGTTAGGTGCTTTGAAAGTGAAAACTCATTGTGGCCAGTTGCTTTGGGTCACCATCAAATCACTCAACATGGATTATACAAGACCATAAGCCTCACTGCAAAATATTCTATTAGAGAAGTGCCTCCCAAGCAGAGGCAGATGAGAAAAGTATCACTTGCAAGACAGTAAAACTCTGTTAGCATTTGCACACCTTTAAAAGATAAATTCTAAGTCATATACGCAGTGACCCCAGAGCCAATAATATCATCTGTACATTTGCTAGCTTTTACGATTTCGAACAACTGGATTAATAACACAATGTTTTATTCTTTTCCAATCTGTGATGTAACCAGGACGGGCCCGCTAAAGTCTACAGGCTGTCATGGTCCAGGCCTACTCTGGTAGTCTGGCCTGAATAGAGACGTACCAGAGATTCTAAAGCAAATGTCAGCACCACAAGGCGAGTGCAACACACCAGCCAGACAGCTGAGTTGGAGTTTGTTCTGGTGCTGTGTCAAAACTTTAAACCACACAATGTCAACAGAGAGTGCTAACAACCTTTACTGTCAGAGGAATGTCCAGCTGTTACAATGCCATAAGTTGGGGCCACCTTATGGCTTCAACAGCTTACATTTTCCGAGTTACAGTGCTCAAAAGTAATCTTGGAACACTCACTGAATACAATTTATGTCTTGTTAATTTATTACTTCCTGTGGTAACGTTATCATTTATTCATTTTTCAAACTTTTCTAGACAATGATTGAGATATGAACATTCATTCAGAGTTGACTGATGTGAAATGTTGCATTGTAGACACTCAGACTCAGATTTTTTGACATTGATGGTGTTAGATACCAAATGTCACAATGTCTGCAACGCAAAATATTGTGTCCTCTGAGTTTTGACAATGGTAAAATGATAAATCTAGGGAAAAAAGTTTTACTCTGGGTACTATGTACCTCTCCACCATGAAAGGATTAAAAAATATGTTCTAGGCTAAAACCTTAACTATTGTGCAACAATGTCTTAGACATCAGACAGCGTGTTCATAAACATTTCATGTAATAACTTTCTGTGGTGGAACTTTGGACATCTGGCTTCTATCACCATCACTGAAAAATTCTGATTCTGTTAGTTTCTCTGGAACTGAGCATTTCACATCAAACCACTCCGAATGACCTTATTTGCATCTTAATGACTGCTGTTTGCAATTGTGCAGAGATTTTGAAAAGTCCTATAGGTTAGTATTTAGTACTTTACATAGATTGGTATTTTGTTACATATCTTCTCTTTTTGATGGCATGGAGTGCATACGTTTGCACAACTGATGCTCTTTTGGATGGCCAGTGTAGAAAGTTTGAAGACTTCCTGTGTTTTTCTATGACCTAAGTATATTTTTACATTCAATTTTGGAATTTTCAATGACTCTGCAATCTTTCTTACAGACATTTTGTTACCAAGAGTCAATATTTTGTGTTTGATTAATTCAACTCAATGTTTTCTAAATCCAAATCTTTCCTAATGAAAATTTGAGGCTGGTATTTCTGTGAGGAAGCTTGGATGGTGGTACTAGCATTGGAGATCTCTGGTTTGAACATAACATGTAGGTATATGGATTCATCTCCCAGTCTTTTTTTTACTTAAGTAAAATAGGTGGTTAGGTGCAAACTTTCACCTAACCACCCATTATATTTAAGTGAAAGTCTTCTAGTTTGCTATTGTTCCCTGTAACCCAACGTATTGACTTAAAGTTACGATATAGCTTAAATATCGTACTTTAGAATACAGTAAAACAATTTCCATAATACATTAGCAACTTAAATAATAATTCTTTAAAAAATGATGGTACAGATGTCCTACTTTTGAGCACTGTGTATTCTCTGTGTTAAGTACCTCAGTGTATTCTGATTTCCAGTTCTGTATTACTAAGTAATTGCCACCTAAATCTTCAATTTGGGGTTTAGTTTCAACTACACTGCTGAGTTTGGCAACCAAGTTTCTGTTTGTCATTATCGTAGAGCAGGGGCCACCAATCTTATCCACAAAGGGCTGGTGAGGCTGCAGATTTTCATTACAATCAAAAAGCAGATTTGATTCCACTTGGTCCACGTGGTCTTACGTGTCTGTAAACAATTGGTTAGTTGAGGTGAGCTCATGCTTGGTTGGAATGAAAACCTGCAGCCACACTGGTCATTTGTGGATAAGATTGGTGACCCCTGCCTGAGTATTCAACTGTTATTTCTGATTGTGAAAGATTTGTTTATGTAAATATGAGAAAATGAACATGAGACAAAAACAAAGAAAACAATATTTCTTTTTTTTGGTGTATTTTTCTGTACATTTTGTAATGACAGCTGGACAAAAGTTGTCAACTTTTTGTTAATTGTAAAAATAAAAAGACACATCTAAAATTGGAAAAACCAAAATGACAGGGTTGGGTTTCCTTATAAGGAATAAAAACTACACTTCAGTGTACAAGTTTTCTATCGTTTTTCTCTTGTTTTCCCATTTTAAAAAGCTTTAGTTTGAGGTAACCGGACATCTCTGTGGGTTCTTTGGTGTGTGCGTAAGTTACTTTGCTGGGAGAAACTTTTCCCGCAGGTGCTACAGCTGAAGGGCTTCTCTCCAGTGTGAATTCGTTGATGCATCTGAAGGTGGCTGAAGCGGTCAAAACTTTTTCCACAGAACGAACAAATGAACCACTTCTCTTTTACGGGCTTTCTCCTCTGAGGTGACGTTGCTCTACCTAAATTTGTATCGTCCACTGTAAAGACGCCTCTGTTGCGGTTATGGTTAAGAATATTGTATGAGAGTGTGGGACAGTCTTGAGTTACTGAATTTTTTGGAGGTGATACAGGAAAAAGTAACCTTTGCTGGTTCATCCTCTCTGATCTCTGCTGCGAAAACAATGACTGCTGCATTTGCTGTGAGGGATTAAAGTCTGTTGATGCTTCGTTCCACTGGGGCTGCATCCTCCTCTGCTGTCTCATTGGTTCTGCGTTGAGGCTGTTTGTCCTTTGAGCAACAGGTGTAGAAGAGCTAGCACCAGCACTGTGCACGCTGGAGAGAAAATGACGTCGCTCTGCGTTTGCACACGCTGGAGCTTGTTCAGTTACAAAAGAGCACTCAAGATCTTCTGCATCTTTTGTATTATCCATGTCGTTCACAACAGCAACGGAAGACCATGTTTGTGTTTCTCTTTCCTCAATCTCAACACACTCTGAGCCTGATTCTGCATTGCTTTGGTCTAGAATACAAGACTCTTCCATCTTCATTTGCAGCTCCAGTCCACCAAACTCTTCATCCCTGAACGCTGCCTTGTTAAGATCCTCCACAGGAGGTGGAATTGTGGTATGTGAATCTGTGTCTTTGTTATTAATGAGGGTGGACTGCAGGTTAATTCCTTCAGAAGATGCACAAAGACTATTCCCTGCTTGAACCTCTGTTCTTCTGTCGCACAAGCCAGCATCAGATGTTTGATGTTTCAAAACAAGTTGCTGATTGGTCTCCATGCATTCTCCTTGACCTGAGGGGAAAATAAATGAGTGCATATATTCAGATCAGATCAAATGCTAATCATAATGTGCAGTGGCCCACATAAGCCTCCTGTGGTAATATTATGAAAAAAGCCATTTGTATTAAAATGTTAACGGAACTGTTATTTATATCCTGAAGCTAGGTTTATTACTTGCAAGTAGTGAAAACAGATGTTGCCTACTTGTCCGGCACTAGGTTACACCAAATTTGAATATACCAAAAGTGAACAATAATTCACTAACGGCGGCTTGTTCAAGAGGGTGAGATTCATTTCGAGTATGGATGCATAACAACCAACCGTACACAATTTCTTCATAATTCAATTGTTGAGATGTAAACAAACAGAGTGGTTTGATGTGAAATAGTCTACAGCACAAATACAGCCATCTTATTTACCATCCAAAAGGACCAGTGAACATGTTTTCAGTTTTATATGTAATGTTGATTGGTAAAATAGTGGTAAATCAGGAAAAAAGTAACTCTTTGGATGTCTGGTTCCCATCACCAAGATTGTGAACAATTCTGACTATGTAAGTTTCTCTAGAACACAGTATTTCACATCAAACCACTCTGACTGACTCTACACTTCAACAAATAAATAACGAAGACAGCAAAAACAGTGGAATTCATACATACACAGCTGTGTGTGTGTATATATATATGTATGTATATATACACATATTGATATGTATAAATTTTATTTAGTGTAACACAATGCAAACCAATTAAGCAACATTCATACTTACTACCACTAAGTATTATTAATTATATTATTAATATTAACTATTAATTAAAGAGAAATTATATGCAACAGTGGAATTTCCCTTTCAAAATATGCTAATGAGGGGTGGCTGAGGTCATATTTTCTGGCAATTTTATGCCACGTGCGTTGGTCAGAAACCGAATCTCGAACTTCGGAATCGAAAATCCCGTCTAAACTAAAAGTACCGTTTCATCTCTGCTGAAGACGCTTTGTTTACCTTGTCTCTTTCCAGAACAGGGAGGGAGCGTCGGGGTCACTGAACGCTGGGGCTCTCTCACAGACCTCAGTTCGTTTTCTACCGTTTCAAGTTTTTTCTTCAGCGCTTCTATTTCTGAATCTTTTCGGCTCACCTCCAAACGCAGAACGACCAACCCGTCGTCGTACAGTTTGCCGATCTCCGCCACAGCAGTTTTAGCCACCGTGGCCATAACAGAAGCCAGTCTACTGTGGAAAGAAACGCTATTGCTCGTCACGTCGTCCTCCGACAGCATCGTTAGCTTCTATAAATCAACTTGTCATAAAACGTTTGCAGGGAAATGTCGAAACGAAAATGATATTTCTGATATAGCTGAATTAAAAAGACATGTCCTGCTGTGGTTCCTGTACGAACGGCTACTTCCGGTTTTGCTGACATCCAAGTTACCGTAATAACGGTAGAATGTGGGTCTATATCCGTTCACAGTAGTTACAGGCAGTGATCGGTGTTTGGCTTTTACAGACTACGAACTTTAAACATTTTATGAATCATTCTGAGCACCGTAGTATGCGTTTCCAGTCAAACACGTTTTGGCATCTCAAAGTTGGGATAACTCAGTTCAGTTTTGGGGTCATCTTTCATCATACAGCCTGTCATACCTGGTAGTCTGTGTTGGCTGTGTATAGTACACGTAAACATCTACGTACTTACCAAGTGCAGTCAATCTCGTCTCACTGAGGGAGTCACTTTTGTGGCCTGCAACCATTGCCTGTATGTAAACACTCAGTGCCCACAACCAAGTGTGACTCATCCCACTTGTGACTCAGTGCTGATGAGAGATTTCTGAATGTTGATATGAAAAAAAAAGGAGTCAGCAAGTGCTCTGGAAATAAGGAATGAGCATTTCATGTCTATTTTTGGGCATCTATTAGTCAGTTTTAGGGGGGTTTAGCCCCCTCCCTTAACAAATAAATGAACATTACTGGCTTAAATCATCTACAGCTAGTTTATTCTCGTTCACCACATACTATTTGATTGCAGATCACGACCTGAGGGAGGCGCTGCTACAGCTCTAACATAGCACTGCCTCTGCTGTGCTACCAGAGATTGACTAACGTAACGTAAAAAATTAGAACTTCAGGCTCGGCCAGTCATATCAGACCTCGGAAGCTGTAAGCCAATCATATCAGACCTAGGGGGAGGGTCTCTGGCTTTACCCTCCCTGCAAAGTAACGTCAGTTGGTAACTGCTCAAGCTGCGACAGGATTTTGGCTAAAAGTGCACATAAATAAACATGAGACCTTTCTTCAAAATCTAAAATTTACAAAGTGAAACAGTAAGTAGTTATATAGTGAAGACACCCACCTGAAATATGGACTTGTGGCAAATTATGGTCAGTATAGCTGGCTATGAGGTTTTTACTTTACTTAGTTTCTTGTTAGCTTGCTTGCTAACTTTGGGCCTCAATCACCAACCATTCTCAAGGTGAAATTTCTTCTGAAAACCCACTTACGCAGTTTTTATGAAGATTCTGACATTCACCAATGTTTTTTTTTTATTATTTGGGATTCGTTCTTAGGTATAAACACAATACACACACACTCAAGAACACAAAGGTGAGAACAATTCTGTATCATGAAGTATGTAGACCTTTTTAAAGACCTTCCTCAAGAACAAATGTTCAGACTGACAGCTGAAGGAGCAGATCTGATGGAGGTTAGTGATCAAGAAGAAAGTGAGGGACAGTTGTTTAAGCTTTCGGTTAAATATATATGTCTGATCTATAATCTTTGTGTTTGAATAATATATTTAGGACCTCACAGCTTATCTGAGAGAGGGGAGAGAGCATTGCTTGACTTAAGTACCTTTGCTTGATCTGTGCCTGTTGTGAGTGGATAGTGTTATAGTCATTAGCTCTGTGCTTAATACAAACTACAAAGACACAGAACTACTGTGTGCCAATTTAACCAAACAGCCATGTTTTGATACATTTTCTGGCTGTTCCTCTCTAAAACGTCATGATTAACAGACATTTTGGGGCCATTAAAAAAAATTCTGCTGGGAGACCATGACCTCCTGACCCCTCCTAGTACAGACTTAGCACCCCAATCCGTGAACCTCTAGTGATGCCTCTGTCTGTATTAAAAAGGCTGATTCCACAAATAGGGTGCTATTTGTGTCCCACTGGTACATACAGTACATGTAATGATATGTGTTAGCAGTGTGTCTTTCGTAAAGAGGTGAAAAGTATGCTCATTTGCTCACTGAGGTGGCTCTTAAGCGAACATTAAGAGGCAGCTTACATTAAAGAGAACTTTTTTGTGAATTAAGAGGAAACAAATGGGTAAATCTTATGACTTTGTAACTGGCAATTACAGAATCCTGTCGCGGACCTCCCAAAACTTGCTTATTGTTTCAGTTCATCTGCAGAGTGAGGTCAAGTACTGATGTTGAATGATTAGTTCTGAATCAGAAACACCGCTGCAACCCATTCCAAAGGTACTAGATGGAACTCCACAACTCCTGAGAACGCAATGCTGGGGGTCTTCATACCCCATTAGCTGACACTTGGCAGTGGAGATGGTGACCATAGACTCATGTGCAGCTTCTCCAGAGTGTCCCATTCTATTGATAAGCACCTTTCTATGGAGATTATTCAAGCTGTCTGTGCACAATTGAATACACAGCTTGTCAGTAATGGGCAGGCCTTAAAGTAGCTGAGTTCACTACTTGGAAGGTAGTACCTGGATACTTTTGGATAGTGTAAGTTTGTTATGTGCGAGTAGTAAGTATGAATGCTGCTTAATTGTTTTGCCTTGTGTTGGACTGAATTTGAATAAGTCCCATAACCAGTAACTCACTCAAATACTTTGAGGGTAAAGCTTTTATTTGTATTAATCTAACAGATAGAAGAACTGTGGAAGTACTAAAGTAAAATAAAAAGGTTATAAATTATATCAATAATAAGTATTTTACACACTAAGCACAAAACTGTTAAATTAAGCACACTGACATTACCCAGTTAGAAGACACAAAAAAAGAACACAATGAGTTGGATCTTCACATTCCTAAACTCATATACTACAGATTCTAAATTTCATGACCACTATCCAAACATCTACAGTACTGAAAAGTCAAAGACCATTTTTTTTTTACTTAATTTCCTGTCAAAACATCCATTAAGTACAAGTTTGCCATTTTTGGCATAAAAAAGGGGAACATCAAAAAGGAACAGAAGTGAAACAGGAATTTCCAAAACTTCAAAAAGTTAAAAAAAAAAAATTAAAGGTTTAGAGAAAGCAGGACTCCTAACAAGACATGGCAGACCGCCCCAACTGTCAAGACAAAATCTGAAAAAATCCAAAGGTGCTTCTGTCTATCCTTCCACCATGAGAAGACCACTCAATGCTACGGGTCTGAAAGTAAATGTACAAATCAAAGAAGCTGCTGGTGTTCTCAGAAAAAATAGACTGACCACCCCAGAGTCCAGAACTCAAAATCACTTAATATGTAAAAAAAAAAAATGCAACTAACTTCTAAGACTGAACTTTTGAGGTGTGGAAAATATCCCTGCAGATTTGTTTGAAAAACTGAAAGCAAGTCTCCCAAAAAGAGCTGACACACTAAATTCACACTGCATGGCTGTTCTGACTGGAAATTAAATAAATGAAAACTAGTCTCTGACTTCTGCAAAGTACTCTATGCCACACAATATAAACATCAGTTCCATTTTAACGTTGATTTTATACAAAACCCCTGCTCTGTGTTACAGACCGGCTGTTGCCTGACTGGCACACAGGCAATCCCTGCAGAACGTCTTCTCTCTCCGGCATGTGAGTTTTCTGATGGGATTTCAGACTGGAGCGTTGAGTGAAGCACTTCCCACAAAGGCTACATTGGTACGGTTTCTCCCCGCTATGCACCACAGCATGCCGGATTAGATTCCCTTGCTTGGTGAAACTGCGGCCGCACTGAGCACAGGTGTAGGGTCTCTCACCTGTGTGGCTGCGCAGGTGTTCCTTCAGCTGGCCAAAACGGACAAAACGCCTCTCGCAGAATGTGCAGCTAAACCGCCGCTCTCCAGCCACGTTTGTGCGCCAATGAGTCCGCAAACGCTTAGCGGTGCTAAGTCCACCACGACCATAGCCCAAAAGCGCCTGAGCGGCCATACTGGATCCTGTTTGGCCACCCATGTTGGCTCCAAGAACAATGTCTCCTGTTCTTGACGGAGTCCTATGGTGCTGCTGTGTGGTTAGTTGTGTGTTCAACTGTTTAACAGCAGAACTGGATAGTCTTTCTCTACACCAGGATGCCTGAAGTTGTTTTTGCACCTTGACCTGTCCAGCACCATATAGGTCCATCTGGATACCATCTCCAGACTGTTCTGTGTCCACAGGCTGGGAAAAGGCTGCAAGGTCACGAGAAAGCTGAGGAGATGTGAAGGCCTTGTCTGTCCACTCTGCCTCACCATCATGCCCCTGCTCATGAGCAGACGACCACAGCTGGGCATCCCTCTGAGTAAACTCCAGGCAATCTCCAGTCTCTTCTATCCTTTGCTCAGAACCCTCCACTACGACGTCTTGTCCTCCTTTGTCCTCCTCTTGCTCCTTCTCAGCTTTTACCTGCAGGCTCAGTTTACTCAGACCCTCATCATCGCTCTTAACCGGCTCTGACGAAGACGGTACACAAGTAAAGTGTGCACTTGGTTTCTCCATGCCTTCATGAAGCTGGTTCTGTTCTTCAGGTGTTGCTTGAGCCAGGTTGCGGGACAAGCTGTCTCGATGCTCAAAAAGAAATTGTCCTGCAGCTTAAAGAGGAAAAAAATATATAAGTAACCACTATTACCTATGTTTCCCCAAAAAGTCAAATAAAATTGAATTAATTTATTGAATAGCTAATTTGCAATTGTGTGAAACTCAATACATCTTGACCAACTACATTTGGGGTAAGTGGAAAACTGTGCAAATCTGATTTTTTGATGAACCTTGAAAAACACAAGGCATGCTTCTTGGGGTCAGGTTAGCACCTTTGGTAAACACGCCACAACAATTTGAGAGAACACCAAAAACAGGTAGTTAAAACCAGCCAAAACATTCCTCAATGCTGGATGAGAGGCTAAAGAGAAGGTATCCTCAATATTGACCCGTCAGCTAAAATGATGTATTGTTCTCTTTCATGGATGCTCAGCACAAAAGATAATGTTTTTTCAACTTAAAAGAGCAGCCTAAAAAACCCTTTATACACATGGTTCCATAGACAACAATGAAAAGAAGCTTGCATGAGAGAATTTGAAAAGCCATCATCTGATTTTCTTGTTCACTTACGCTCTCCACTACTCCATGTTTCATTTTCAATTCCCTCTTCTTTGATGACCGGTACCTCAGGCGTGTCCTCCAGAATCTGGATTGCCTGCAATACAGGAACAGTCAACAGTTTTACGTATCTTGTAGCTGAGCAGCAAATAATTACACAGTGTTATATGATAATGAATTGACGATCAACATTAATCGATGATCAACTTAATTAAGATGTGCTTAGTGTAATGTTTTCCATACTTGGTGGACATGTTGTGCAGACTGCTCCGGATCTGCCTCTTGTGGACTAACAGTCTGTTCAGCTCTGCACACATCTGCACCAGCATCTCTGACCCATACACTCGGAAAAGGCACAGGCAGCTTCTCAGAGGTCTTGCAGAAAAACACTGCGGGGAAAAAAAGCGTCATATTTCAACTGACCAAGTTAATCGGGGAAAATAAATAAGGTAAGGTGCCATTTTATTAATAATTAACACGTGATCACACTGTAACCACAATATCAATTGGTATAATTGGTAAGGAATAGCTAAGTTTAGTGGACCATCCTTCCTCAGAAAAAGAGCAGAAAATAGTGTACTCATACATACTATAAATATTTATAAATCATTGCAACTGAGCTATAAACAATACAACAATAGACATGATGCATCCACATGCCTAGTGGTTACTATGAAAGGTCTACCTTAATGCAGGTTTCGGCTCCAACCCAGATTTTACATATCTGATCCAGCAAAGAGGTGTAACGATATACATATTTTCAGGCACAATGTGATTTTTGATTTTTAGGTCAAGATTTGATTTTTGATATTTAATGTGTTAAAAATTTCTTGATAGGACTCCCAAGTGATGCAACCATCCAAGTGTTCAACCTCTTTCAGATTGCGTGTTTGATCCCAAATGATGCCACAGCCATCCGTGGCTAGGAGTGTGTTCAGTTACATCGGTGCTGCCCTTGACTCCCAGCTTAACAGCACTGTGTGATGCCAGGAGATCTAGCTAGCAGGCGAAATTATATATGATTAAATTAAATTGAAAAGAAAATTAGGTAAAAAAAAAGGTCACACTCTCCAGAGCCTTGATAATGTCCTATAAAGACTGATTAGGCTCAGACAAATACCAATTTTTATTTAACTAAGAAAAGCGGAAGAGCGGTAGATAGTGTACTCATGCATACTATAAATACTTATAAATCATTGCAACTGTGCTAAAATGGATAGGAGGCATCTACATGCCTAGTGGTTACTATGAAAGTCAAAAAATAAGAGACTCTAAAGAAAAAAGAGGCACATCAGTGATTTAAATTATCATGCACATTATTTTTTTTAGATTTTGATACTGTATTGAAGTCATTACACCCCTCATAATGATATGGATCTGGGAGTAGCTTGTCAAGAGAAGGGTACAAACATTAATATATTCGACACTGGTTTTATTCCCATGATCTAAAAAAAATATTAAAATCACTTAAAGTCTCACTAATTGAATTATTGTAAACCCTTGAGCATCAAGGCCATTGCTTGATGTTTGCCAACTCTATGAATGGTGAATGGGGGGTTAGAGGTCAACTGTGCAAGACAGTGACCACTGGCCAAACTGAATTTAATACCACAATAGACACAGTTATCTCTGGACACTGAGCAAAAACAAAAGTGCTTTACAGACAAGAGGAAATGCTGTGGTACCTTTCCTTCTCCCTCGTGCCCGTGCCTTCCTCAATTCATTCTCCATCATTTGACATTTCCTCTTCAGCGAGTCAATATCTCTCTGACTTCTGGACAGCTCCAGGCGAATTACTGCACAGCTGTCGTCCACACGTCTGTTAATTTCAGCAACGGCAGCTTTGGCCAGTATCTCCATGATGGACACCAGCTGCTCTTGGAAAGTGTGTTGAGCCATTTTATCTTTGTATCGTTTGAGCACGAATTAGTTCTCACAGCTGCCTAGGCCTCGATATATTTTCTTCATAAAAGCTGTTGTTATAAAATAAACGTAAATGGTTATTTAGCGTAGTAAACACAGCAGCTGTCCGCATCGCCAGCTCTTCAAATATTCGCATATTCTCTCTTCCGGTCATGGAATTACGTCACTACCGTAAACATTCTATGTCGTCCGCAACCTTAATCGAGACACGAACACTTTTCTGCACATTGAATACTGTGAAAGATGACAACGTGACCTCGTGTAGAAGAATTAGAAGGAAAAAACAAGCATTCATCTTTCAGTTAAAGGGGAATTCCATAGAGTTTTTTTGTTGCATAAAACCGCCTTTGTAATATAAACAAAGTCATGAAGAGTGGTTTGATGTAAATGGTTAGCTTTAGATAAAGTTACAGACTCAGATTTCCTTACAGCGGTGGTGATAGGAACCGGGGTCCCCAGGTCTACAGAACAAATATAGCCATTTTATGTATTATCCAAAACCACCAGTGAACCAACTCCTTGTCTTCTGAGTTTTTCATATGTAATGTTGATAATGGTAAATTAGTGAAAAACTAAAAAAAATAGCCAAAACTATTATAAAATAAATTCTCAGCCATCAGGCAGCATGTTCATTACCATTTCATGTAGTGACTTACTGTGAGGAATCCTTTAGCGGCATTAACCTCTTCAGATGTATGGTTTCTATCACCACCACTGTGAACAATTCTGACTTTCTTATACAGACCATTTCACATCAAACCACTATGAATGACTCTGTTTACATCTTAGCCATTTAATTATGCAGAAATTAAAAAAAAAATGGTGGGGTTCCCCTGGTGGAGCTAGGCCTCAACACATAGAGGTTACCTGTTACACTGACTAGCCTACAGGTCTAGCCACATTATCAAACGAGAAACAGTTGAAGGTCACACTGTGTTTTTAGGGTCATTTTACAACCTACCTACCTACTTACTTACCAACTTACTATTTATTTAAAAGATTTATTTATGATTCCTCAGGGCGACTACATCATGGCTTAAGCAGTTACTGCTTTTAAAGTGAATCTCTTAAAGGGCCCATGTCCTACTTTTTCTCCACTTATTATGTTTGAGTGGTTATGGACCAAAAACGTTTGATTCATTTTTACATGACCATTTTATAACCTCTCGTTACCCCTTAGAATTAAACAGGTTGTTTTTATTACTGCCTTTAAGACTGATGTGTGTTAATAAGCTGTTTTGATTGGCTGCAGTGTATTGTGAATCATTCAAAAGGCAGTCTGGGCAGAAGCACTCCTTATAACATCAGCATGAATGGGCAGGGCTAAACAGCTGTAGCCTAAATATGCAGATATATGTAAATATGTTGGTTTTTGTGACATCACAACAACAGTTAATTCAAAACAGGCTGCTTTATGTTGCTTTTGACCAGTATTTTGCATTATTATTATTATTATTATTATTATTATTATTACTGCATTTTGTGGGAGACAAAACAACAGTTACAGACAGCACAACACACCTTCAACAGCAAAAAAAGAGAACATATCATTGCATTGCTGTTGTGCAATCGCACATTGTGCCTTTACCGTTGCAATGTGGACTTTTTTTGTGTTTGCTGCTGAAGACAACAGAATAAGTCTACACGTAAACATACACCAAGATACCTTTTAATTTATTAAATACATCTGTATGTCCTTACACAGCTTAAAAACAAGCTTAAAAAGAGCTGTAGCTCTTTCAGTTCTTTAGGTAGCTTAGCATGAATGTTCATGTGATAGACAGATATACATATATATATAAATAGATAGATAGATAGAGAGATGGATAGATAGATAGACAGAGACACTGAGAGGAACATAGGAGTGGATTAAAAATGGAGAATTAAGACTCAGAGAGACCATATAGTCAGGAAGTCACTAAGGGAAGTTTGGTGGTTTCTTGCGTCACCAATGCTGCTGGGGTGCTACTTGTGCCGGTGCAGCGAAAAGGTAAGGACGGTTTGTTCTCTTGAAATCTTTTTCTTCTTTATGTGCTGCTTTTGAAACCAGCTAAGGCCCATAGACATTGGAGGTGTGGTGGAAATCAGCCTGTTGTTTGTTTCTTGTTGAGCGTTGTATGGTATAGAGAGATTTGAAGGTTCTTTGACAGCATATGTCTGATGCACAGCAAGAGGCAGGCCTTGCATTGAGATCGTTCATTTCCGCAGACAGCACGAGAGAAAGAGAAAGAGAAAAGTAGAGACGTGGCCATGAGTGCTGACAAAGACTCGAAATAATGAGAGTTCCTTTAATGAAGGCTTCATATGATACACTGTCAAAACAGAAATATTTGTCCTTAAATGAGCAATGAAGAGATTCCAAAAGGTGGACATATATTGAGGCTGAGGGTGTGGCCATGATATCAGGCAGAACTTTCTCAAAGCGAGAGTAGGAAGTAGAGACAGTGGCACTCATCACTGTACCCAGCCATGATCCTCAGATTGAGGATGGATTCTTGCCATTGAGTGCTAATAAATTCTAGATTGCTGTCTGTAAAGGGGAAGATTTCGACCTTCTAGATCATTTGTTGCAGTCAGTGAGGATGTGGGAATTGAAGTGCTGGCAGTTTGTCAAGATCATCATGCTGTAACGGAGTGTGAAGTGTATTGATTTCATTTTGTTCTAGGTAAGAACCACAATGTTCTTTTTTGGTGTTGTTCTTTGATGCTGTGGAGATTGTCTGATTTTGGTTACTTTTGTGATGGACATTTCTATAAACATTTACCCTCTTAAGAATGAACATCCCTGAATGGTTTTGGGCTTGGGTGTATGGTTCTAGGAAGAACCTTTAACCTTGGTAGAGAACCTTTAAAGTATGTGAAGGGTAACAATTTTTTCACACTCACACATCTTTTAGAAAAGTGTCTCTTAAAATTAGAAACTGGTCTTCAGGTCCCCTCAGCCAGTCTACATTTTTGCTGTTTTGCTTTGTATTTAGAGTTGGGATTGAATCTGGAGGTCCCTAACGTTCAGTTTGGGAGCCATTGCTTTAAAGAACCACCCAATACTGGTTCTTCTGTGGCAGAGATCTTCATACCTGGACCTTGAATCTAATTTTCGATTCTAGATTTTGCAATCACTGGTAGATGTGACATTAGGTGTTCAATCACCGGAACCCGTACAACAAAATCACAACTACCAATGGAATGGAGTAATGTGTTAATAAATATGTTATTATTCCATGTATATTTTCTTCTTGGCTTTATTTATGAGGCTAATTGTTATTGTTGGTAAAGAATGTATACTTCACCTCACTGTCAATCATTTAGATACCTTCTTTTACCTCTTTTGCAGAGGCTACAGCCATCCAGCTCCACACACTGTATCTTTCAGCAAAATCAGAAGAAAAATGAGAACACTGACACACAATGTAGCAGCATACTGAAGCGTTCCATAACAATACACAATACATCTCAGTAAAAGTTAAGGTTCAGCTGCAAAGACAAACTGAATATTCCAACACAAAAATCATCATGGTTTGTTTAGGTGGGACATATCACTGAGCTCATTAAAGCAAACAAACTTACACACAGACACATACATCTGGATGTGAGTGGTGCTAGGAAAGCTGCAAAATGAAACGAGGACGAAGAAAAGGAGGGAGCAAAGATAAAGTGTTTGGCTGTGACCTGCAAGAGCATTTAGCAGCGACTAATCAAGAAAGTGAGTACTTACTGTTTGATATGTGCTTCATATTACAACAGGGCCTTAAGGATACGATTCCACAATTGGAATCGGCCGATTTTGGCTCTGAACAGTTTTTATTTTGGTTGATCTGTGTTATAAATAATGTGAGGCAGGTTAGAGCATTCATGCTGTATTTTAATGCTGCTGCTACATCTACAAACAAATGTCTCAGCATTAATTAAGCATTACCAGTAAAGAGTAAATAATGTCATTTATATTGTGACTTTGGCTCATAGAAAGCATTAAAATGTGCTAGTGTGTTTCATGTTCTTCATTTAGCCCACACAGTGTGAGCTTCAGGTTTAAAAAAGGAAGAGACTAATAAAAATCAGCCAAGAAGACTTTGTTGGGGAGTAGCCAAGTCTAATGTATGTTTACATTCTCACAATCCTCTGATTCTTCACTGTGTTTTACTCCCTTGCTCTGTTTCTCATAGTTCCTCAGGTGCTCCGCAGCTGCAGTGAGTTCATTGAGGAGTATGGAATCGTTGATGGAATCTACCGACTCTCTGGAGTGTCATCCAACACCCAGAAACTAAGGTGTGTTTGTGGCTGCAAATTTTACTATGTTGTTACATTTGATCACATTTACTTAAATCTCACCTATTAATACATTTGATTAGGTAAACCCTCCCACAAGTCATATTTATACTTACACCATTTGCCAGACACACTTATCGACAGTGACTTACAATTTGTTCATGTTAGAAATGTAGGTGAATGTAGCCGTAGACATCTTGCCCAAGACGTCTATTGGTATTGCGTGATGTCTTTGCCAAGGTGGGAAACTGAACCTCAGTCTGCCATGTAGAGGGCTGAAGTGTTACCCACTACAGTGTACTGCTGTGTTTGACACCAGTTAGTGCTCAACCATCCATCGGCTTGGCCAAAATGAGTCACTTCAGTGACTTTGATGATAAGTAGCGCTAGGTTCCCTGATCTTCCAACTGGCATTACCCTGGACTTTCCATGGACCATCGTTTCAAAGATGTATTAGGAATGGTGCAAAAAGCCAGCAATTACCAGCAATTAACATTCCTATGGATCAGTGGAGTCAAAAGAGAATGGCAAGAATCATGCAAGCAAATTGGCTGCAGGAAAATTACACCCAAATGAAACATTGGCATGCAGAGTGTCAGCTCAAAACACACCACTTATGGGACTTTGTCTCAAATGGGCTATAGCCTGAAGACCATATTGAGTTGAAGGAACAAGCATCGCACCTAATAACATCGAAACTGGACCACTGAGAAGAGGAAAGAAGTTGCCTGGTTGGACAAATCCAGGCTCCTTTTGCATCATGCTAATGGAAGAATCCGAATTTGATGCAGGCAAAATGAGTCCATTGAGCTGTTCTTTTTTGGCAGCAATAGAATACTATAATATACAGGCTGGTGGATGCAGTGTAATGGCATCTGTGCATTTTCCTGGCGCATATTAGAGCTTATGATACTGAAGGACATCTGAATGGCACAGTACATCTGACCAAGTTCATCCCTTCATGGCCACAGTTTATCCACTCTCAGATGAACACTTCATCTGCCCATTTAGCACTCATGTTAACAAGCTCATCAGCTCCCCAGCAATCCCAGATGCCATCTTAAGGGTCGTTTTGTTGCTTTATTAGTTCAAGTGACATTTATTAGTTGAATCCTTGGCGGGACAAGGGGCCGAGTGAACACAAGTGTGAATTTCAGCAGAAGAGATAATCGAAAGTCTAAACAACTCTCACTCACTCTTAATCACTAACCTCTGTGAGATCTGCTCCTTATGCCCCAGTCACCATCAGTTTCTTTCTGTCCCTCTCTTCCTGTGTTTAGTAATACATTGTTTTATTTAACTCAGATACATTAAAAGGATGTATTGAAACAGGACTCCAACATGATAATGCATGATAAAGCACTTATGTTCACAAAATAGTTCCAGGGGCATTAGAGTGAATTTTTATTGCTTCAGTGTGCTGCACAGTCCCTTAATCTTTTTTTTTTCCTACAGGTCCGAGTTTGACAATGAAGGGACACCTGATCTGTATAAGGATGTGTATCTGCAGGATATTCACTGTGTCAGTTCGCTGTGTAAGGCGTATTTCAGAGAACTGCCCAACCCTTTGCTCACATATCAACTTTACGACTGTTTCGCTGTGAGTATCAAATCTGAACAGATGTAGTTAATAAACCAAGACATATTTCTTCTACAAAGTTTGCTTCTTTGGTTTTGTGCCACAGCTAATTTAGCTCAGAAGTAATGGAAGCTTATACCAAAAAACAGTTAGCACTGTGCAAACTGCATACCAAAATTATCACATATTTGCTTCACAGTATGTCAAGTTGTTATATCTGTTAGACTGGCTTATCTCTATTACTATTTTTAGCTACCATAAAGCAAGGCTTTTTATATTACTAAACAACTTGAAGCAGTTTGAGGTGGTGTGATGTTTTAGACATGTGGTTTGCACAGTGCTAATTGTCAAGATAATTGTTTAGACATGCTTCTTTTGCTTACTGAGGTAAAGAAGGAAACTTTACACACTAAACCTGTCTTTGCTGATTGACTACATTTGGTGTAGATTGTTCACCATATGATAATTTAAAACACAGAGACAAAGACACACTTTGTAGTCTCAAGTCTCAATTCAATGTGACTGTGCAGCTCATGACAACTTATATTCATATATCTTCAGTTGTAACTGTGTAAACTCTTATTGTCTACTTTAGGAAGCTGTCGCTGTTCAATTGGAAGATGAAAGGTTGGTGAAGATTAAAGAGGTGCTGGAGAAGCTTCCTTCCCCCCACTACAAGTAAATACATACACTTGGATCGAATAAACAATTGAACAAAAAATCAGATAACCACTTCAGAAGATTTCCAACAGTCACTGTACACTACCTGGGCTCTAATTATGTTTCTTCTGCAGGACTCTGGAATATTTGATGAGACATTTAGTCAAGATGTCAACATTCTCTGATCAGACTAACATGCATGCCAGAAACCTTGCCATTGTATGGGCTCCCAACCTCCTCAGGTGTGTGTAACCAGGTCATTCTCTGGTCATCCAAGTAGTTACTCTTCAGACACCAAAATAATTGTCCCCTCTTATCAGATGTAGTTGATTAAAGAGGCCTGATGTCCAAAGTTCATGTCTTTACTTTTTTAGCACAAGTGATAGAATGTGTGAATATTTAGCGAAATTAGCATTATGCAAACAACATGCCTAAGTCATATTCTTCCCTTAAATTGTGTCAAATTGTTAAGTAATCTCAAACAACCATGCCTATATGGCTTCGCACATTGTATAACATACTGTTACCTGTAAAATTGGACAAAACTATAGACAAAATTAAGGTTTCAAGATGGCTGCTGCTGCTGTTTTTAGGTATGCAACAGTGCCAAACTAAAGAAGCAACCCTGGCTGATCAAGTACACATGGAGAAAGGGGGAAATTGTGTAAATGAGTTTTTTTACCATCCTGTTTCTTCAGTATGTGGACTCTCTCACTATAGATCGAAGGACATTGAAGCATCTGGTTTCAATGGCACTGCAGCCTTCATGGAGGTGCGAATACAGTCCATTGTGGTGGAATTTATTCTAACTCACGTTCCTCAACTATTTCCTGATTTAGGTACTGATCCAGGTACTGAACAAATCTAAAAACAAATCTCTTCCAAACTTTTTGTTTTTTATGTGCAGGTCCTGTTTATTTTGTCTCATGTACATAATTCCCATATGTAACCACAGGATTGACTCTTGAGCGCAGGAAGTCCCTCCCTTCGCCCTCAGCGCTGTCGGGTCATGAAGATATGTTTTTCAAAGCCATACCCTTCCAGTTGCCTGGCAACTTGAGTCCTGGAGATGGCCCTCCACAAATGAGGCCTTACCATGCTATCATTGACGGCACAGACAAGTAAGTCTGAAACCTCCAGAACCATCCGTTATGTAATCTACTTCTAGACCCCAGTTCCTTATATCAATTTACATTTAGGCATTTGGAAGAGTCTCTTATCCAGAGCGACTTACAATTGAATTGCTGCCCAATATGGCAGCAGTATTAGCTGATACACCACACCAAACCTATTTTCCACTAAATAATGCTCCAGTCAGCTACATGTAGAAAACATCAGCCAAGGTTTTGTATACTCATTGTATAGTCTTACAGATTCTCAAGGATAATACCTTTATATGCCTAATATTACACATACGTACACATACATTGCACACCCTAAATAGTTAAGATTTCCTACTTTTGACAAGCAATATAAAGATATACATAAATTTATGCATAGAAATACATATTCTCAACAAAACGGGTTCTATATATTGTAACAATAGTGGAACCCCTTTTGGTGCTATGTAGAACCATTTTATTAAAAGGTTATTTGAAGAACTATGTACAACAGGTTTTCCTTCATAGAGAAGAACAATTTAACCATGGAAATAACTATTTATGCCTTAAAGTGGTTCTTTGAGTTGTCATGGTTCTACATATCCCTGCTGTTGGAAGAAAACCTTGTATCTCCATTTTTGGCGTTTTTCAGTTTTTGACATAATTTGTGATGAGACCCTTCTTAAGGCTGTACTGTTCAAAATTTTAGAATCACTGTCAGTTTTTGTTGCTTTATATGCAGTTGTGACTTATGTGCTATTAATTTAAATATTATAAAGGTAATATAATGAGAGAATTTTTAGATCATTTTAACATAGTAAGATCATTTTTTAGCATTTAATATTATTTTTATGTGTAACAAGTTTTTTAAAATGAAAATTAATCTTATGTAATTATTTATTTACATTCTTTTTGTCAAGTTATCTTTGTCAATTTTTGGAAAAATTCTGGATATTCATCAAGAATGAGTCATCCTGGAAATGAATTTTATTATAGCTTCATTCTTGATGCTGTACAACTCATTCATCATTCTGGACACAACTAAAGTTTCTGAAGCTGCACAGGACTAGCATACCAGTGGTGAACCATGATTATTAGAGCAAGGCCTTAAATGTCAAATCTTGGTCAAAAACATTGAAAAAACATGACACTGCAAATGTTTGCTCCCCTATGGGATTCTAGTAGTCTGTTAGTGCAAAGGCAACAACGATTCACATGAACATTTTTTAGCTGTTGTAGACTAAACACGGACATTTTAACCTTATTAAAGACTTTCAGCATTTTCTTTTAAGCTTGTAGCAGACATGTTGACATAAGTTTGACCATAGAGCAGCTGCTGTTTTCCATTTCTGACATCTGACTGAAATGCAGTTGGGCTACCACTCTTATTCACAGTCAGTGACATACATAGGACTTCCAGAAGGCCTAGAGTGATGTTTTTTTCTCACCATATTCGTTGCACCCATTGTAAATCAAAACAGGATTGGTTGATTCATCTTTCATTTCCTAAGTATTCTGGTGGTTAATCTAACATATCAGGTCCAGCTCCTGAAGTCCTAACTAATATGAGAGCTTGCTTGACTGTATCAGCATAGAAAAAAATTCTAAATGAACAGCTTTCCATTAGACATTTCAAGGATTTAACCCTTTCATTTCCAAACAAAACATAACCATGAAAGAGCATTAGTATTTGCAGAGTTTCAATGATAATTTATTAAATAATAGTACACTAAAAGTTACAGACATGTATTTTTTTACCTGCAACCAAATTGGTTTAAAATGATATATGTTTAATGTTTGACAATGACCCAAATATTTGAATGGTAGTGTACATGCAAGTGTAATTAAAACATTTCGACCTTTTAAATGCCTTTCCTTCGTCGCACACTGACAGTTCATGAACTCAGGCTTTGGAACTCACTCTGGAGTTTTAGTCAATTCAGTTTTAGGGCATATGTACATATGTATGTATCGGTCAACCACTTTCCTTCCTTTCAGGAGAAAAGGATCTCTAAAAGGCAGAAAATGGAAGTCTATCTTCAATTTAGGTGGGAGACTCCAAGATCCTCGCAAGAAGAACAAGTACACCACCAAGGGTATGAGCTTCACCCTAAGAAGAAAGCATACACTGCAAGACACTTTACTCTGCTCATGCTGACATCTAGATCTTGTTCCAATATTTAATACCAGAATTTAAAGATCACTGCTGCTTTGATGGTATATTCAGTGCCCGATGTCACCTACTATTTCACAATTTAGTTTCATTCATGGCTTCCCATCCCTTCTGTGTTTTCTTTTCTTACCTCATCACCTCTTCACTTATCTACACAGAGAAAGAGAAGACGTCTCTAAGGCCTGCTAAGAGTATGGATTCTCTGAGCTCAGGACCCTATACACTGGAAGGTATATATACAGTAGGAGAGTATGGTGAATACTGCAAGAAGGGCTGCAACTAACGATTGTTTATATATAGTCTGTTGACTATCATTTGATTAATGACTAATTAAATATTATGAGGTTTCCTCTCACTTTGCACTGTCACAGCACCGCCATTATTTAAAGTTCTGTCTGTGCAACAAGCAGTTTCTTCTTTTGTGGTGCATCAAAACAATAGAGACCATCTACACTTCCTGCAGTGATGTACAATTTGACCGAGTGACTGCAAATATCATATGAACGTTGTAGAAACATAATATAGCACTTCTGTTTTTCAGTAAATGGCACCTTAACCATAACTGACATTATCAACTAATCTTTGCAGCCCTAGTAAACTGATAAACACTAGTTCATTTGTGGTTGTGTACATTTTTTTCTATGTAATAACTAGAGCTGTATTATACGGGACAAAATACTAGTGTTGCGATTGTATTACTGTTATGATATGTGATACATTAAAAACAAAGCGGAGAATCAATAGTGGTCAGTCCTGTGGTAGTTACTCAGAAAAATAATCCATTACAAATTACTTCTGGCAAATTCTAATGGGATTATTTATTACTTCCTGGAAAATGTCATTACTCATTATTCATTACTGCATTACCTCTGTGTTTCTCTCTAAGATTTATTAAGAAAGAAACAGCAAATCACATAAAAAATCATGTCGCTATTCTTGCCTTTGAGCAAGAAAAAGTGGTTATGCTGGTTAAAATTTTGAAAATGCTGTTTGAAAACCTAGAAACTAACCTTTAGAAGTAAGATGTTTGGGCTGCCCCATTATTTACTTATTAATTATTTAATTAATGCATTAAAAATTAATTTCAAATAGTAAGTTAACAGTACAAGAAATAATGTCATTTCATTATTTGAAGTTCAAATAACTCAAAAAATCACATTACTATAATGTGTTACTTTGTACTGTGTTACCTCCAACACTGGACATGAATATAGATTGGCCTACATTATTCTGATAAATTTACTTTTGTTGGATTACATGAATTTAATCCACTAGAGCTTGATTAATCAAAACATGCCCTGGAGCTGTGATTGGTCAAAATTCTCAAAGCATTCATTTAATATCTTCCTATGTTTTTCTTAAATTTGTTCTTGAGAAAAGTCCTAAGAAAAAGTCTACATCAGATTCATGATGTGTTCTTAAAAAAACAGAATTGTTCACACCTTTGTGCTCTTGAGTGTGCATAGATTCTGTTCTTGCCTAAGAACTAGGCCTAAATAAGAAAACACTGGTGAATGATAAAATCTTCGTGAAAACTGCTTTGTTCCAACACATCCCTCTTTAATGTGTCAATGTGTACACTGTGCTAACATATTCAATTTGATTTCTCAGATTCCAGGCACCCTTCCTCACATCTTTCTCCTCTAGTCACTCCTTCTGGGACCCCAGAGAGTGGGACTGTGAACAGTGGAGGTGTGGGTAGTGGATATGCAGTGACATACAGGCGCACGGGTGGGGCTAGCGTGAGCATGGTCAGTGGAGGGAGCGGGACCCAGGGCACTTACAAGAGCCTGGACACTGGAAGCACGGCTGGTGCAGACAGATCACCAGCCACATTACACGGGGCAGCCAGCAAAGCAGAACGTCGTGCGGGAATGCACATTTCTGGGCCTTTTTGTGTGACCGTTCCTCTCCACATAACCTCTGGACTGGCACTGGGGGTCCTCCATGGGGGAAGAGCCGAGGAAGAACTGCCCCAGCATGGGGTGACAGAGGAAGAACAGCCAAAAAAAGTGAAGCCAGAAAACACTGGAGAGAAGGAGCAGTCAGCAGAGGGAGAAAAGGAGAAAACAGATCAGAAAACAGAATGCAACCAACAGGATCATGCTAAAGATGAGGTTAAGATGGATAATAATGAGAACAGCCCAAGTGAAGAAGAGGACAAGAATGAAGTTAAAACAGAGGTGGAGGAGGCAGGACTTGAGGAGAGGGAGGAATTCCAAGATGAAGTGGATGATTATTTGAGTGAGGAAGCTGAGTCAAGCGAGACACATCATACAAACAGACCTTCACTCGCTGAAGACCCAGTGGAAAGCGACTATATGGGTAAGACGATAAACTAGTTATAGTAAACAGACAGTAATAATTTATAGGGCAGAGTTATGTTAAAGCAATGGTTCAGCCAAAACCTACACAATTTTCTCCTTAGCCGAACTTCTTCAGTTTTGTTTATTTATTTTGTTTAGTTCTGAATATAAAATGTTAATATAGCTATAGCTATATTAACCACTAGCTACAGCACTGTATGCCCAAAATATCACATCACAGTGTTGGGCTGTTTGGCAAAAAATTTAATTTATACAATTTTACCTCAATTGTAGTCGATCAGATATGTTCGGTGTCAAAATTTTGCTCCTGCAGTTTAGCACTCTAGCTACGAGGCTAACATAGATAACTAAGGCTAGAAGTCAAAAGTCACCCAAATCTTTTTTTTTGTAAATGCGTCCTCATAACTTTTCACAACCTGTTTAAACTGCATCCAGGTCTCTGTTAAGGTCACATAGTGTGGTTCTGGACACAGTATGACTTCCTGTGAACTATACAAATGAACAAACCTTCACTGTAAAGCTGCCACTTTAGACAACAGTTGTTATACCAAATTTACCAATCATACTGAAGTACCAAAGTGAATCCTACTGTGTCCAAAACCACATTACAAGTCTGTGTGACATTAATGAAGATATGCATGCAGTTTGAGTGGGTTGAGAGAAGTTTTGGTGATGTATTTATGGAAAAGATTTGGGTGACTATTGACTTCTAGTGTTTGTTAGCAACACTGACCTTGTAGCTCCAGTGCTAAATTAAAGAAATGTGTACATCAAACATGTTTTGCCAGCACAACTTCATCTGGAACAAGTGGAAAATTGCATATACTTGATTTTTTTTTGCCAAGCCATTCCTTTAAGTAATCTGAAATACTGAATGATGACTCTGAACAATGTACAGCGAGCTTGTTGCATGACTAAAACAGTAGTAGCAACTGCTTTGAGGACTGAATTGTCAAAACCTTTGTCCATCTTTGTAGCTAACATTATCATACAGCACTAGAAGCAACTTAATCAAGCCTATTTGACATCACTTAATTGCTCGATGTGGTCTGAGGCAAATGTGTGATTATTTAGGAATGCAGTTTGCATGATGCTAAACTTAGCTAGATTAACCTTGTAGATGTAATGCAAAACTACAGATGCAAACTTTGCACACCAGTCATGTCTTGGCTTATTGAATACATTTGCAGTAAGCGGGAAAATGTGTAAATTTGATTTTTGGCCAAACTATCGTTTTAAATCCACCTGTACTGTTCCTTCAGATATGAAACCAGGTTTGCTAAAAGGTTCTGCTGCAGCTGTGGGTCAAAGTGAGATGACCCGCCATCCCTTGTCTATAGAAGAAGAGTACCCAGACCAGGAGCTCCCTCTGGATTTTCAGGATACTTTTGGATTCTTGGACTTGATGGACACTTCTGCTCCAAGCCAGGTATATGTTTGATAGAAATTATCCCTTTGATCTGTATCCCCTTAACTGTATCATTCTCACTGTCTTTTTCAAATAATATCCTTGAATCAAAAACAATCTTGTGTTATTTTACCCAGCTAAATGAGTTTTCAGTGGAGCCACCTTGTTTTGAAGAGGAAGAAGAGGAAGACGATGACTACAATCAGAATCAGCCTCCTTGTCCGACACAGAGTCACCTTGATGAAGAAAAACTTTCTGTATCCTGCACAGAGTTTCCTGCTCGCACAAACAGGGCGCAATCAGGCAAATCACACAGCTTACCTTATAAGTCCTGCCCCTTCTTACCAGTCCCATCTTCTTCTTCTGATGAAGACAATTACACAGAGCCTGATGATGATGATGAAGATGAGTCTGATAAAAGTGAATATGAAGACATGTTCTGTAAAAGTCTCCCATCTGCTTGTCACTTCCAGGGGTTGAACTGGACATGTCCCCAGACTGTTACTTCAAACTCTGCTGACTGCAGTGTAGATTCACACTCCAACAACCAATCAGAATGCCTTCATCAAACTAACAACATAGAAGTAACTGAGAGGAGTCAAGATTTGACCCCTGTCAATCAATCAGAGAGTTTAACCCAGACAGATACTGAAATGACCCCCAGTAATGGGATGGACACTCATGCCATTGAGCAATGCCTGAACCAAGGCGATCTCAGTCCACTTCCATTAGAAACTTTAGATAATTTGAGTGTAGATGAGAAGAAGACTGAAGACAAGAGCACAGAGGATGTAAAAGAAGAAAGTGGATCACAGGAGGCTGGGCATATAAGTGAACCCGTGCAAGAAACTAATAAAGAGATGGGAAGTACTGACAACAAAGAAGAGACACACACTTGCGGGTATGTAGCTCAGAAATAAAGACACACAACATATGGTACTGCTAATGGTGTGGTTTAAAACAATAGTTTGGCGAAAAATCAAGTTAAGGGAATGGTTTGGCAAAAAATCAGATTGACCCAGATGTAACTGGTAAGCCAAGACATGTCTGGTGTCCAGATTTTTCTTCTGTAGTTTAGCGCTGGAACTAACATTGCTAACAAATACTAGAAGTCAACAGACACCCAAATCTTTTCCATAAGTACATCCTCAAAGTTTCTTTCAACCCACTCAAACCACATCCAGCTTTTCATTAAGGTCACTCAGTCTTCTTGATGTGGTTTAGAGAACAGTGCAACTTACTATAAAAATAAAGAGAACTTCACAGTGTGGCTTAAAGCCGTGGGCCGCCGTTTTACATCTGGAGTAACTTGAAAATTAAACCATTCCATCAACACAATTTTCCCTTTGTAGTCAAACAGCCAAGGTGTGTTTGGTGTCCAGTGTTTGCTTCTTTAGTGTAGCTATGAGGCTAATATATTTGACTACAAAGGAAAAATTGTGTTGATGGAATGGTTTAATTTTCAAGTTACTCCAGATGTAAAACAAGTAATGGAAGATTATACCACTGGTTAATATTGTGGAAGCTGGCTGTCTAAATCATCAAACACTTGCCTCAAACCATGTCAAACTATTATGCAATCTCAAATAGACTTGTTTATGTGGTTTCTAACATTGCATGACATAGGCATTCATGCAGTGAGACATTAATGCAATGCTTATCCATGCAGTTTGCACAGTGCTAACTAGTGGGGTATAAGCTTTCTTTCCTTGTTAGTGAAATTAGCCTCATAGTTTCCATGCAAAATGACAGATGCAAACTTCAGGCACCAAACATGGCTTGGCTGATTGACTGTTTTTGCTAAAATCTATGGAAATATGCAAGCAAATGCTCTTGATGTAATATCTGACCTGCTGCATGGTTTCAGCCAAGAAGAGAGGCATTCTATGGACAGTGAAGACGAAGAGGATACTTATTTTGGTCCAGATGTGACTTCCATCTCGTCGGAGCCTAGCAGCATTGAGACTTCCTACACCAATGACCAACTTCCTGTCAAAGAGGAACATTCAAGCACGGGTAGTCAGCAAGCTGGTTCTGAAGGTTGCCATGATATCGTTGCAAGTGAGGTGACATTGATAGATGAGCCAGACTTAGCCAGAGAATCTGCATCATCAGGTAGTCAAGATACAGTTGAGACTACTGAACTGTCAATGGAACAAAAATTTACCTTGCATAATGACAAGCAAGACCAAGTTGAGGTAGGAGATAAGCAGAGTGGAACAAGGGAAGTTGATAAAGAGGGAGAAGAAGGGACAGATAAAATTTCAGTAGTAGGGGAGAACGTTATGAAGGAAGAGATCACAGAAATTCCAGAGTCAATGGGAGAGAACAGAGACGAAGAAAGCTCACCAATCAATGAGGAAAACAAAAGTGAGAGCGAACAAGTGAACCCTGTAGAAGCAGCATGCGAGATAAACAAAGAGAGCAAGCAAGAACCTGAAAGGGTTACTGATGAACAGCTAGACAAAAGTGAGAATAAAGATGTTGAGGACGATGCAACACATGAGGTTGCTGAGGATTTGCTCAAAAAGGAAGTAGAAGCAGTTGGAGAAGGGCAGACAGTCTTAGAAAGGAATGAGGAAGATGTGGAAAAACTTACTATCGGAAAGGAGAAGGAGGGAAGAGACAGAGGGGAAGAGAGTGATGGACAGAAGGAGAAGGACAACATAGGGGAGGAAACTGAAGCCAGGAAGGATAGTCATCCTGAATGGGTTACAGAAATAAAAGAGGGGAGTGTTCCTGAAAAGCAGGTGGTGAGAGAAATGAGTGAAGGGGAGGACAGGCTTTCAGATGATAGTGGTGACTCCAGAGATTCTGGGGATCTTCTAGAGGAATGTGAAAGCGAGAGAGAAAATGAAAGAGCAAAGGAGGAGACAAATGCAGAGGCATCCATGGCAGGTGGTAAGAAGCCCTTGAGGCCTCCAAGAATGAAAGAATTAGAAGGAGGAAAGGGGGTGAGACTTGGGCCGGGTGTGGGCAGGACAGTGCTAATATCCAAACAGTCTCCTACTAGAGTGTACCAGGTGAGAGCTGTACCGGTGGTACCCCCCAAACCACAGCATTCCAAAATAACCGCTTTCAAACAACAGTTTCAACAGAAAGACAGTGAGAGACAACCCAGAGAGGCAGAACAGGGAGATCTGAGGCAAAACCATAACCAAGGGAATGGGACAGATGAGCAGAAGGTGGAGGAAAACCAGGCAAAGCTGAAAGATACATCAGGAGAAACGTGCCCTATTTTGGTGTGGGAGCCAGGAAAGGGGGAGGACAAAGAAGGTCAGGGAGAAAGACGAGGGACCTGGGATGGAGGGAGCTGGAGAAAGGATGGGCAGAAGGAGTTAGACAGGGAGACAAAAAGAGCCAGTGGCATCAGTATCTGTTTTGACGAGGCTGTTGCTAGGGCAACGGGTAAACGATGCAGAGAGAAAGAAGACAGGTTCATTGACTTACAATGGGAACGAGGTGACCAGAAAGAGGGATCGATTCAGAGAAAGAGAGAGGAAGAAGGGAAAACTGACTGACATTAAAAAAAGGTGTAAGAAGGTGTAAAATATTGTGTTTGTAGATAAAAAAAAAAAGATTTCACAAATGGACTCGTTCTCTTTGTTTGTAACTGAGCACCTTTAAATGCTACTGAGTTTAGATTTTAGCACACCTTTTGCTTTTTCACCAGTCAGTATGTGTATTTTAGAAAATAATGCTTTTTTACTTGACCATAAGTGGCCTACAGCATTCAAGTGTAATACATTAACATGATTTAAAGATTAAGGTACTGCCTTCCAAAAAACATGGACTCTGAATGGAGTAATAAACAGAACCAACAGATGCTCTGCATGATTTCACTATGAAGAATGAAATAAAAGCCTCTATTTAGCTCCTTATGGCTCATTAGAAATCTACTGTACTTTTAAATATGTACACAAAACTAGGTTTGAATGTGATGCGTATCTCAAAAATAAGACTGCCTTAAATTTTATATGTAAATTTATATGGGTATAGGTGGTGTGCACACATTTGTATAACTATATAGCATGTATAGGACATAATGTTCTATAACATTTTATCAGTATTGACATTTTCCATCTAATAAAATCTTTTCACAATGGAATGCACTTTTTTGTTCAAACAAAGTGTCCTTGCTTTTTAAACATTTTAAAAAGAAGACAAAGTCATTCAGAGAGGTTGAATGTGAAACGCTCTGAGTCAGAATTGTTCACAGTGGTAGTGATAGGAACCAGGCATCCAAAGTGCTTAAAATCCTCCTCACAGACAGTTATTGCATGAAATGATTAAGAATATGCTGTCTGAAGCACAACACATTGTTTTTAATAGCTTTGGTGTATGTTTTTGACCTATAACTTACACTTGTAAATCCATTCATAGTGGAGTGGTGCATGCAGGGCGCTGTAGTAGTAGAGGCAAAGTAGCCCCCCCCCAAAAAAATGGGTAGAACAGAACAAGGATGAATGAGCATGGAAAGATCTTCAAATGCAATGAAGAATCATTCAGAAAGTGCATGCAAAAGCTGGACAATAAACAAGTGAGACAGGATATAGATGTCTTTGAACTTTTAAGAGTACCTTGAACAGCAAAGAAAACAAATTAATCAATCCTTGACCAGATCAAGCCTCACCTCTCACTCGAAACCCAGATAACTAAACTGAATCTTATTCTGGACATGTTCTGAGAAGAATCAATTCATTGGAAAAGACTGTTATGCCTGAAAGAGTTGAAGATAAAAGAGGAAAAGGATGACCAGCTACAAGATGAATGGATACAATCAGAGGAATCATAAACCAGCCATTCAGAAGCTTGGAGGCCCAAACAGAAGACAAGATATTCTGGAGAAACACATTATTATTATTATTATTAGTTGTAGTAGTAGTAACAATAATTATAATAACATACCATTAAACAACATTACATACATACCATTATAAACATTATTCTCAGAAGACATACAATGAATTTGGAAAGTCTTCAGACACTTTCACTTTTTATTTTGAGGCCTTGGGCTGAAATAAAATAAAATCAAGTTTCCCCCCCATCAATCTGCACTCAAAACCCCATAATAAGAAAGTGAAAACAGAATTTTAGACATTTTTGCAAATTTATTAAAAAGGAAAAATTTTGCATGGACATAAGTATTCAGACCTTTTGCTATGACACTTGAAATTTAGCTCTGGGAGCCTCCCATTTCTCTTGATTATCTTTGGAAAGTTTTTCCACCTTGATTGGAGTCCACCTGTGGTATATTCAGTTGATTGGACATGAATTGGAGAGACACACACCTGTCTACATAAGGTCTCACAGCTGACAATGCATATCAGAGCACAACTGCCTGTAGAGGGAGGAGAAGGGCCTTGATAAGAGAGGTGACCAAGAACCCAGTGGTCACTCTTCCTGTGTGCACATGGGAGAAACTTCCAGTAAGTCAACTATCAGTGCAGCACTCCACTAATCTGGGCTTTATGGCAGAGTGGCCAGACAGAAGCCTCTCCTCAGTAAAAGACACATGAAAGCCCACCTGGAGTTTGCAAAAAGGCACCTAAAGGACTCTCAGTCTGTGAGAAACAAGATTCTCTGGTCTGAAGAAACCAAGATTTAACTTTTTGGCCTCAATTCTAGGCGTCATATCCGGAGAAAACCAGGCACTGCTCATCACCTGCCCAATACCATCCCTACAGTGAAGCATGGTGGTGGCAGCATCATGCTGTGGGGTTGTTTTACAGCAGCTGGGAGAGGGAGACTGGTCAATGTTGAGGGAAAGCTGAATGGAGCAAAGTACAGAGATATTCTTAATGAAAACCTGATCCAGAGCGCTTGGGACCTCAGATGGGGCCGAAGGTTCACCTTCCAATAAGACAATGACTCTAAGCACACAGCCAACACAACACAGGAGTGGCTTAGGGACAACTCTGTGAATGTCCTTGAGTGGCCCAGCCAGAGCCCTGACTTGAACATCTCTGGAAAGACCTGAAAAAGGCTGTCTACCAACTGTCCCCATCCAACATGACAGAGCTTGAGAGGATCTGCAGAGAAGAATGGCAGGAAATCCTCAAATCCAAGTGTGCAAACCCTATGGCATCATACCCGGGAAGACTGAAGGCTGTAATCGCTGCCAAGTGTGCTTCAACTGAGTATTGAGTAAAGAGTCTGAATACTTATGTCAATGCAATATTTTTGTTTTTTCTTTTCAATTAATTTGCAAAAATTTCTAAAATTCTGTTTTCACTTTGTCATTATAGGGTACTGAGCGGAGAATGTTTGGGGGCGGGATTGGTAGTCCGAGGACTTTCCGAATGCACTGTAGGAAGGTTCACTTTTGGTTTTGTATAGTAAATAAAATGGCTGCAGTTGTGCTGTAGACATTGTGAATCCTGGTTCCCTTCACCTCCACAATAAAGAAATCTCGGTAAATTTCTCTACGATTAATTATTTCACATCAAAACATGACTTTGTTTACATCGTTTTAATTATGCAAAAAAAAAAGTTTGCAAAAAATTCTCTATCATCATGAAACTTCTGTCTTTACGGTAATCGGCGCTTGCAAACCTATTGGACAGCGCACGGAGTGACGTCATTGGTTCAGGAAGTGGTCACTGACGGTGGAAACTAATGTAAACATTTTCACTGGACGCTCTGAAAAACACCAGCCGTTAGAAGACATGGTTACAATACAGTAGAGTTTATCACGTGTTTTGGGTACAGGACACAGCCATCTTCCACCTGGCGGACTATTGGGGCATGGTTTATTTTACACTCTTCAACAGCCTACAGTTTTAGCGACAAAATCAGTGTTCTGTGTGGGGCAGGTCTTCCAGGCGTACTTACTACACTTGTTAGCACCATGTCCACTTCTGTCGATGTCCACGCACAGCTGGCGTCCATAATAGAGAGGTTTGCCAAATGTGCGCTGGTGGAGATGACTAAAATAATCGATAACGACTCTGCGCTGCTACGCGCGGAGATATCGCGAAGACAAATGGAGATCGAGTCGCTCATGTGTAAACTACAGTTTGCAGAGAGCGAGCTGAGGTCAGCACGACAGGCAGCCCGCCAGCATCCTCCTCCCAGCCTCCGCTCCGTGGGAATTCAAGTTAGCAGCGCCTCTACACTACGAGGTAGGCTCCATCATGGACATTAAAAGGGGGCTCCACTGATTTATCAAATTTTCCGCGTAAATAAGTGGTTAACATGTCAACAAAATCATTCAGAGTGGTTTGGTGTGAAGTGCTTTGTTCTAGAGTAACTTACCGAGTCAGAATTTTTCACAGTGGTGGTGATAGGAACCAGGCGTCTGAGGAGTTTAACGCCTCTTGAAAGCTCCCTCTTACAGAGTTTTACATGCCACGGTTATGAATAAACTACCTAATGTCTGAAACATTGTTTTACAGTAGGTTTGTGATATTATTTAAGTCTAAAACAAAACGTAATCAGTTTGTTTTAATCAAGCCATGGTGAAGGGATACATGAAGGGTGTTATGAGGCAAAATAGTCCCCAAAGAAAACTTATTTTCTCCAATTATTTTGTCATCATCAATGTTACATTAAAAAACTCAGAAGACACGTGTAGGTTCATTGGTGGTTTTGAATATTAAATAGAATGGCTATATTTGTGTCTATTTGTGTAGACACCAGGACCCTTCCTATCGCCACCACTGTAAAGAAAACCAAGTTGGTAGGTTTCTCTGGAAATGAACAATTTCACCATCATTTTCTTTAAACAAAGTCAACAAAAGTCTGTAAACAAAGTCATTCACAGTGATTTCATGTGAAATGGTTCACTGCACAGAAACTCTGATTTCTTTACACTGGTTTTGAAAGGACAGGACCCGGGGGTTGCAATGTTTACAGTTCAAATATAGCCATTTCTTTACTATCCAAAATCTACAAGTCGTTTTATATGTAATGTTGATAATGGTAAAACTGTTTTTACCACAGATTTTCTTTGGGGACTGTTTAGCCTTATAATACATGTATCTCTCTGCCTTGCATGTATTTTAAAAATGTGTATGTTTCAGGCCATATCCTTTTCTGAAAACTACCATAAAACAATGTCTCTAGCATCTCACAGCATATTTGTAAACATTTTGTGTAATGGTTTTCTGTGAGGTAGCTTTTAGAGGCATTGAATGCTTCAGATGTCTGGTTCCTATCACCACCACTGTGAACAATTCCAACTTTTGACTAAGTTTCTCTAGAACAGAGCATTTCACATCAAATCACTCTGAATGACTTTATTTACATCTTAACAGTTTAATTAGGCATCAGTTTTGAAAATGCAGTGGGAATTCAAAATGTAAAGACATCATGAAGGCATCATCTTGAAAGATCTACTTTTTTCTAACTATAGGACACCAAGAAACACACCCAGATAACCCCCCACAGTCTTCCAAAACAAAGGTATACTTTTTGTTTTTTTTAGTCTGTTATCTTCCATCACTGTGATGCTGTATTTAACTCATACATTTTCACATTTCTACAGGAGAGTGGAGTAGAACCGTTCCATGTCAAAGAGGAGAGGACTGAAGTGAAGCCATGGGACAATGGAGAAGGTAAAGCACTGCCCACTTATCTGTAGCAAATCCCCAAAAACTTTCAACCAGCCATCAGTCATTGCCAGACTGTTTTTTCTTGATAGTTCTTGTTTTTCAGATCCACAGGTAGAGGAGAGCCAAGGTTGCTGGGAAGAGGAGAGAGATTCATCCAACAAATCTGGAGATGGTGAAGATCAGACTAACGTTGATATTGTTTAGGGCCCATATTCATAAAGTTTCTTGGAGTAGGTTTAACTTAGGATCAGATGCATGTCTGTGATCTTACTGACTGGAACAGATCCTATATCAGCACTTCTAATATGAGGAGCTTTGTGAATACGGGGCAAGAACATCAAAGGCCATTTCTTAACTTAACCAGATTAAAGTGGTAGTTTGGCAAAAAGAAAACAAATATCACATGTAGTCAACCAGCCAAGACATGTTTACTGTCTGAAGCTTGGACTCAAACTACAAGGCTAATGAAGCTCAAGAGTACTGTAAGCGTATGTACAATATTTAGCATTGTGTAGACTTACATGCTTGCCTTAAAGTACATTGAGTTGTTAGGTAATCACAAATAGACTTGCTTATGTGTAAGTGTGTAACATAATGTTATCTAGCCTGAATTTTGGATAAAGTTTTGGCCATTTTTATACATAATAGTATGGCATCAGCCTTGCAGCTCCAGTTCAAAACTAAAGATCCGAACTAAGACACTTAACATGTGTTGGCTGATTGACTACAGTTGGGGTAAGGGGAAGAATTCCAGAGGATAAATGGGATTTTTCACTGAACTGATGCTGTAAGGCAAGCGTTAGACTATCATTCAGAATAGAACATTAAGAGCTAAACACGTAAGCAACAACAACCAAAAACATACCTTAATTGAGAGATCATGAATTTGCTCTTGAGTGATGCTACAGCCGTCCATGGCTGGGATTCCAAGAGAGCATAATTGGCTCTTCCTCTCGCCTCCATCAGTCAGCGCAATGCCTGCCAATGTGGGCATCTGTTAGCTGACATAACAGAATTAGCAGTTCACGGTCTCCTCCAAGCGCGTTGAGCCATTCAATGGCATCGTGTTAGTTGCAATTCAAAGGATGTGGTGGCGCTTCACGTTTCTCAGAGGAATCACATGCTAGCCTTCGCCCTCCCAGGTTGGTAGGATTATGTGATTCGGGAGACCTAGCTAGTGGGTGGAGTTGGCAACAACTAAATGGAGTTAAAATCCAAAATAAAAAAAATAAAAATTGAACATGAAAAACACCTAACCACTCTAAATCGCTCATATCTTCCCTCATATCTTATGTTCTCATTCTCTCCTAAGACTAGTATAAAAGATATATACTTGCTGTTGCTTCTATTATGTACATTGACTCATAATATTTTCTGTAGGTTGTGATGCATATCTACCTAGCGAAGCCAAACCTGGTGTTGTCTGGGATTCTCCTGAAGTGGGAGATTTTAACATGAACACAGCACAGAGACCAGAGGCATCACAAGAAGCTCCTAATACAAGTCTTGGCCAGCCGAACATGGACATATCCCCAAGCCGAAGAGAGAACAACATCATCCAGTATCATCAAGCCACAGAATGTGATGCCATCACTCAACACAGACTTGGTCGGTCTGCTAATATTGCAGCTGCTCACATCGTTCCTCCAGTTACTGACCAGAGAAGTGATGGGGTGGCAATGGGGGAAAAAAGCTCACGCTGCCCTCAGTGTGGTAAAACGTTCACCACCCGCTTCTACTTGAAGATCCATCAGCGCATCCACACAGGTGAGAGACCGTACACTTGTCTTCAGTGTGGAAAGCGCTTCTATTGCAACTCGCACCTTATCTCTCACCAGCGCTCACATACTGGTGAGAAGCCCTACAGTTGCGAAGAGTGTGGCAAGTCCTACTCGCATTTAAACTCCCTCAAACTGCACCAGCGCAGCCACACAGAGGAGGAGGCGTACGCCTACTGGTGACTGGCAACCAAAGAAGACTGCATTTGGTCTCTTTAAACTGTTTACAAGTTACAACTTTTTCAAGTAATAGTTTAGTCAGGTAAAGCTAATGTTTGAAGAGGAAAGCTCCAGCATTTTTGACCATTTGTTGATCTCTAAGTGCCACATACAGTATTGTGCAAGAGTCAGAGACCACCGTTCATTTATTTAATTTATAGACAAAACAGCCATTAAGTACAAGTTTTCATCTTCAAAATATATTTTCGAGGAGATTAAATATACAAAACCAAATTGAATAAGGATGGGCAAAGTCAAATGAAAGGAAGTTAAAATTCAGTCAAAACTGAAGTTAAAATTGTAAAGATACAGAGAAAATGGGACTCCTATAAACCATGTGAGACCTGGTAGACCACCAAAATTGTCACCATCAGATAAACAGTACTTAAAGTTTTCATCTGTGAGAGAGAGGAGAAAATCACTCCACTCTTGCTTCAGCTCTGAAAAAAAAACACAGGTGTTTCTGTCCATCCTTCTATCATGAGAAGACAACTCTGCATCATTGGGCTGAAAGGCTGTGTAGCTGTGAAAAAGCACTTTACTGAGACAAGAAAATAGACAAAAAAGTGAAATTTTGCAGATCAAAAAAGCTCAGTGTCTACTCAGAGTATCACAGGACCACCCCGGAGTCCACATGTCAGAATTGTTGAGTGTGAATGGGTTTACAACCAACTTCTAAGACTGTATTTTGGAGGTGTGGAAAAATATCCATGCAGTTTTCCTAGAAAAAATGAAAGCCAGTCTACTGAAAAGAACGTGTTATTTTCTGTTAAATATGTTTTCTGCTCTTTTCTTGACACTGAAAAATGAACAACTTGTACTTAATGGCCGAGTTGACTGAAAATTAAATAAATGAAGGGTGGTCTCTGACTTTTGCACAGTACTGTTTGTAGTATACAAGCCAACATGTTTTCTGTTCTTTTACTAAGTACAAGTAAATGTGTTAAAGTTTTTGTCCATAGTAAACACACAACATACGCTACAGATGGGCACATAGAGATTAGGTTGAAAAAATCTTTGGGAGTATTCTTTTAACAATGAATGAAAGTAAATAACCACCAGTTAGCATTATGCAAATATAGTCATGCTAATTGGTGGCTACCACTAGGGATGTAGCGATACACAAAATTCAGAATTTGATTTGATATGATACATTTTTCTTATATTAAATTTTTAATTAAAATATAATAAGATGTATGTTAATACTTGTTTCCATTTTCAGTTTATAAGAGCATTCAACATTATAAAAGTACAGTTTTTTTTAAACAGACGCTGTGCTTCTTAGTGTCCTCGACTAATGTTCTACCCACAAGCTAACACAATAGCCAAAAGGTAACAAGCTAGTCATGATACTAGGGCACAGTAAAACACAATACACTGTACTGTTACATCCCTAGCTACTGTCTTCCATTTGTTGTTAGCCATATTAGCATTTTGGTTGAGCTATTCCTTTGTGTCGCACATTTCTAGAAAAGACATGCGTCCATTGATACAAATGAGTTATTTGTATTTTCTGTTGGACAGAGTGCCTGATACTTATTCAACTTGCCAGTTAACTGGTTCACAAGTTTGAAAATCAAGTGTTACTGTGTGTTATTTTGTCAGTTTAACTTTGTTAATTATTAGTTATTGTAACTTCATAAGTATGTACTTTGATGTAGTTTTTCTGGCAAAAATTTGATTCATTTGATATTTAAATACAAATTGTTACACAAAGGTTAATTTGGTATCATGGATTTATTCTAAAGATATTTAGGGATTCGTAATGCATAGTTACTGACACATTCCATCTAACTAGTCAAAATAGTCAAAAGTACAGAAACATGTTATCATATAATCACAAAGGCCTGCCACAAATGTTTATACATTTCAATTCATTTTTAAAGACAACAGAAACAGATTCTGACATGGCACGAGTTTCTGCAGTTTTTGCTTTATAATTACTAAAACCCTTTGACGGGAAACTGGGTGTATTATCCCTGCCAGAATTAGTTCCAAGTTCAAGAGGCTTTATTGTCATTTCGGCTATATACAAGCACACAGTGAAACAAAACAACATTCCTCCAGGACCAACACAGGAACACAAGTGCAAAACAATACAATATACACAGTGCAGACAATACAGTACAATTAACAAATACGAAAGACAATAAATACAAAACAGAACACAGGCTGCACACGGTACTAAGAAAATAGATTGTGCAAAGCAGGATGTAACATACTATGACATATTAGCAGCTAGCCTAGCATATATGAGCACAGCAGTCCCTGTGGTATCAACCAGAACAACAGCAAAGGACATACAGTGTTTAGATGATAACAGTATTCCAGCAGCCAATAAATAAAATGTGCAAAAATGCAAGTAGTCAGATATATGAATTATATTAAGTGAAGTATTTGTGTGGTGTCATATTGTTAAGTGTGTGTGTGTGTGTGTGTGTGTGTGTGTGTGTGTGTCCGTCAATTCAGTCCATGGGAGCTGAGGAATCTGATGGCTTGTGGAAAGAAACACAGTCTGGCTGTGAGGGCCCGAATGCTGCGGTATTAGAACATTTAGGCCCATAAAAACAATTTTCAAAAGATATTAGGTAAATTAGATAAAAACTATTCTTGGAACACAACATTTTGAACCCGCATGGCTCAATTTGCATCTCCATACTTTTGTCTGATACTAAGACAAGGTTTGAACTATTTCTTTGAAGAAACTGGAAACATTAAGACTTGTGCACAAAAGCCTATTTAAGCCTATTAAGTCCTTAAACTAAGTGTATAAGAGTGGAAAGTAGTTAGCATGTTATAACACAAGAGTTGCTGTTTAACACTAGGTGTCTTCACCTGACTAAGTGGAATAGTATCATGTAAAGAAATGACTGGGTCTTATAAATTGCTTTAAAGAATTGTACACAATAAAGAAAATAAATGTCTAAACTTTGACAAAATGGAAATTATAGGTAATTATAAACTATTATAAATCAGAAAGTGTACAAATATATGACTTACACAACTCAGCAGATTCCACCACAGTGCTCTCTGCATGTCCTAACATTTGTAGACACCTGCTTATGCAACATTTGTTCCCCTTTGCTTCAGTAAGAGCCCTTACTCTTCTGGAAAGCCTTTAAGCTACATTAAGAACATTGCTATGAGGATTTGGTTGCATCCAGTCATGAACATTGGTGACAGATACTTATATTCATCCCAAAGGTCCATCAATCCAGAGAATGCAGTTCCACTGCTCCTCATTCGAATGCTGGGGGACTTTGTACTCCAAGCTTGGCATCAGGCATAGTGACCTTCGGCTTGTGTAAGCCGCTCCAAAGCATCCCATTCTGTTGCCAATGCTTTTGCATGGAAATTATACATACATATGTGTGCACACAACTGAAGACCTGTGTCATCAATGGGTATGCATTAAAGTAGACTGGATTAGATTGGACTAACGATAAAGGAAATTTGCTTTGGTCCACTGCTATACAAAGACCAGTATACATAATCAGACAAACACAGACTATACAATTCAATACATACATATATTCCCCAGTAAGTGGATTTTTTATACCTCACATCAGCTTCTTACCTAAATAATTCTTTGACATAGGGTTGAATGAGTGATTGGATCAATGTGTTCAACACATTGGTGTTCAAAAGCATCTACATGATGGAAGAAGCAGAAATTCCTAATGTAAAACATGAGTGCCCTGCTGAAAAAAAATCATATAAACCATCAGTGGTGGACAGTAACGAAGTAAATGTAATTTGTTACTGTACTTAAGTAGTTTTTTCGCACATCTGTACTTTACTGAAGTATTTCCATTTTGGGCGACTTTTTACTTTCACTCCACTACATTTCAAAGTCAAATATCTTACTTTTTACTCCACTACATTATGCAAAATCTGTCGTTCCTTTTGGCTTATGTGTGTATAAAAACGTAACATGTCAAAACGAAATAAGTGTGAAGCAAGTACACCAATCAGGGCATAGCGTGAACTTTGTTTTGAGCTTGTTTTGACCTGTTGGACACACCTACCTAGTGCAAGCAGACGGTTCAACGTCAGTGCAGCAGTGTAAAATTTTGGTCTAATCCAACATAAATGATGAAACTAACCTAACTTTGTGTAAATAGACCACAATATAGAATTATGTACACATATGCAGTTGTGACTGGCATATGTCTGAATTTATACAAACACTATTTCATTCTGTAGTAAACTTGTTTTTGCTAGTTTATGTTTATGAACAGAGACCTACAGATGCAATATAGTGAAGGAAAACACATTTGTGAACCTGTGTTTAAAGCAAGTTTTTATTAAACTTAAACTGGTAACTAAGTTGCAAATAAATCTTAAACTGAAACTTTGCTTGTTTGCAAAAAGTTATTTCACAGCCACTCGGTTCTACCTCATGGAAATTGTTTGCATTCAGTGTTTTGTGCTTTTAATAGACATTATTATTAATAGACATTTTAATAGACATCAGTGTATTTTCACCTAAAATGAGCAAGAGTCTTGTTACAAAAATGGTAATAGGACATTAGAGTCATAATTAATCTTTTAGTGCTTTTACTTTCGATACTTAAGTACATTTGAAGGCAAATACTTTTGTACTTTTACTCAAGTGGAGGTCTAAAAGGAGGACTTCTACTTTCACTGGAGTAATATTTTACCTTGGATATCTCTACTTTAACTCAAGTACATGATTTGTGTACTTCGTCCACCACTGTAAACCATTAAAAATGGATGTTGGTTTCTGGTGGTGTCCAGTACTAACTAATGGTATTGCATGTTTTCCTGATAGGTTGATATCACAGCCGTACTGAAAAAAAGACCACTATAATTTCTCATCGCGATTAATCAGTCGAGAATGAGCGCAGGAAACAAAATCACTGGTTTCAGTAGGTGGCGGTAAAGCTGGACTGCGGCCCATCAAAACACAGCTTGTAAAGAGAGGAAGATCAGATTTCCCATCGTTCTACGCGGATTCACAGATCTTCAAATAATGTCCTCACAGGAACCGCTGCCGCGTATGATATATACATCGCAAAACGTGCACAGCGCCCTGCAAGAATAAGTTGAACGTACCGACCGACTGGGGATGTTTTACTAAATTCTGGTCGAAACGTTCGTTCTGGAGACACGATATGGTTTTGCTGTCACTCAAAGAAGCTTACAGGAAATATAAGAACTGATACCGGCTTTGTGTATCTGCCCGACCTCCAAACGCCTCGTTAATGCGTTTGCCGCTGTTAGTTAACCCAGCTGTGGCTAACCGTTAAGTCGCGAACTTGCTAACGGTATTATCGCTTTAAAACAGTGTTTCGCGCGAAAATTTCCTGCAAGTATTTTGCGATCAAACAAATCCCCAGTTCACGTTAGAAGAGAGTGTTCAGTCAAACTGTGAAATGTTTATATGTCTGAGACGTTAGCTTAATTGCTAACGTAGGTTATCTGCCTGTTTTTTGCAAAGACCGGTATTGAAATAACGCCAAAGTATGGTAACTCTGCAACATCACGTGTCGAGTATTCTGGACAAATCAGCCAGAGCCGCGGCCGAGGAGATCATCAAACTTTTCGACAGCAGTTTCGAAGCTTTCAGTGAAGAGCTTCATAAAAGACAGGAGGAAATCGACACCCTTAGAAGGAAGCTCGAAGTGGCTGAGACCGAACTTAACCATGAAGACAGATCTGGACCAGCTTACTTATGCGCACAGTGTGGGGTCAGCCTGAACACTATGATCCCACTTGAGGAGAATCACAAAGCTCCTGACTCTGACAGCAATCTGCCGCAGGATTTAGAAGCAGATCTGAATGACCAAACGATGGATCATGGTGAGGAATCATTTGTGATGAAATGAAATATTTTCCCATTGCATTTGATTCAGAGCTATCAGTGGGATTTTCCATGATAACTGACAAAGAAATACAGTCTGAGCAACAGGATGTCAATACAGTAAAATAGGGAAAATGGATGAAAACTATAGACTTTTAAAAGCCTGAGGATCTCTCATTTGCTGCCCTTAGTGGGAACCACTGTCAGTAATAAAAAAAAAATGTATTCTGTATGTTTTTATATTGTCTATTGTTGGTATTTGGTAAGATCACTATTTTGCACAAAGACCTGTAAATTGTTTTGGATGGATCATTTTAGCAAATTGGTTCCAAGTCATAGTTGAAAACACACGTCAGACTTATAACTGACTTTAACTTGCATCATTTTGCTTTGAATGTCTATATTTTTGAAGGCCTATATTTTAGTTATTATCTAATAATTATTAAAATGAACGATAGAACATTACATTCCATCACTACTAATACAATAATGATGCCTCTGAAACTTCACCAGATGTTTCAGTAGTGACAATTATAGCTAGTTGTGAGCATAACCTAAAAACACTAGCCAGTACATGACTAGCAAACACAGTACACACATAAAATCATAATATTTTTCCAGGTTATTTAAGTTTACTTAAGTTTACTTAAGTAGTGACAGTTCTTAAGGTTACACACCGATCTTCAGACTTTGGGTCACATTTACTCAATAACAACTACTCAGAACTGCTCACCATCTGGCCATGCGGGACAGGGATGCAGTCTTACTTTCTGCTGGGGTGTGGCTAAAATAAGGCCCTGCCTATGGACTAAAACTCTATGGACTAAAACTCTAAAGTAATTTCTCGAAGCTAAGGATGCAGTCGAGGTAGGAGAGACCTTTCTAGCGCTGGTATACGAAAGCTTGTCTTCATTGTTCACTCACATTTGAGACGGTCTGAGCAGGCTGTACTGACACATCACAGTTTACTGACATAAGTGACACTTTTAGTACAAACTTTCAGTACAAACTCTGGTGCCACAGCATCCACTTGTGGCTCTTTAAGCCATTTTTCATATCCTTTTGAGCTGCACATGAAGGTTGTTAGGAGACTGAAGGTCTTGAAGCATATCAAAACTGAAAGACTAACCGCAATCTTCGATTCTCACAAATGAAGGATGCATTTCTCAGGTGCGTTCAAAGGATTGTACAAAATGAAACAGACTTCAGTGACATAATGGCTGAGAAATGCTGCCTTTCTCAGCTGCATCTCTTAGCTTTGAGAAACAGCTATTATATTATAAAAAACCATGAGACAGCGTTGAATAGTTTTTGATTATAAGTTTTTTATTTAGACATTAAACTCATGATAAATCGAAATCTTTTAAAAAAAAAAACAAAAGATCTTTTTGATGAAAAAATATATATATTATTTTCAGGAATGTAGGGGTTAAGGTTTGGGACAGCCACCTCCTAAAAGAAATTACCCAATATGTGATGATTTTGTATACTTACCTTATTACTGTCTCTGTTAATTCATTGGGTTTAAGTAGATCATAACCCTGTGGGACCACACTGAACTAATTCAGCAGAATGGTCCATATAGTTTAAAACAGTATATATTTACAGCTCTGTAGGATTAACACATTTTACTACATGAAATATCTAAAGCTGAATTGAATCTTGAACTCAGAATGAGAAAAGTGCACACATTGGCCACTTTATTAGATTATCTACACTCATTGGCAGTTTTTTCATTGCCTTTGTCAGTTTCACTGGAGTCCTAAGATTGATCCACCACATACATAATACCTGCTCCGAGGTGGTACTGTGGGGATCCTGATTATTAAAGAAGGCCTAACAAATTATACAGAGAAACAAATGGACTACAGTCTAATTGATGAATTACAAAAAAATGGACAATGAATGTAGAAACAAACGAATACCTATACCTACTAATGTACCTAAAATAGTGGCCATGTGCATGTGCGATTCATCACATGTATCATCACCTGGAATTAAATAGGTATATATCATGTAGCATAATAGTTAACATATGTAAATACTAATATGTTTGCAACTACTTTTCTTTTTTGCAGCACCCATTGAGGAGATTGAAGCTGAGGATTGCATTGAGTTTGAACTGCCCCCTGAGGAGGATGACAGTTATTCACAGCTAATCCAGAAGGATGAGAGCACACGCCACACAGAGACAACACACCAGGAAGGACCTGCACGCAAGGAGGAGAGTGCCCCACATGAGATGACTCAGAAAAGAGGCAGAGGACGACCTAGAAAACAGCTAGTTGCTCCTGATTGCAAGGTTTCAAAAAGGGGGAGAGGAAGACCCAGGAAAGCAGAGGTGTCAGTTAGCTTAAAAAGTTCCAAAATATTCTCAGCTCAAGAACAACCGAAGAAAGCACAAATAAAAAAGGAAAGCGCAAATAAGCTGCAGGCAACACAGCTCAGTCACAATCAGACCTCATTAAATCACAAAGTGTCTACGGCTGAATCGCAGAGTACATCAACAATTGGATTACAGACAAATAAGAGAGGAAGGCCTAGAAAAATTCTAGACCCATTGCTTATACCTTTTGGGGAGGCCAAGTCCATTTTAAATGGCCAAGAAAATCATGTACATGGACCAGAACCATTGAAAAACAAACTTCAAGATGAGTTTTTATCCAAGACAGAAGAACATCTACCACTAAAAACCAGTCAGAAGGACCAGGCTGACAAAAGACTACAACAAAAACCAAGAAGCTGGATAGTTTGCCCCAAGTGTCCGAGGCAATTTCCTAGCAAGACAAAACTGCAGGCCCACGCGAAATTTCATCTCAAGAAAGGTGAAATAAAGTGCAAGGTTTGCGGAATGACATTTATAGGGCAAAGTCAAATGAATAATCATGAGAGAGTGCACACTGGTGAGAAGCCGTATAGCTGTAGCTTCTGCCCTAGACGTTTCCCCAATTTGTCTCAATATAAAAAACACATGCTGAATCATGCCGCCCCCGATTATGCCTGTGAGGTGTGTGGACTGAGATCCTCACAGGTGTGTAAGGACACATTCCGGAAAGCACACCTGCGCAGTAAGGCTCCCTGTTCAAACTGCGCATCGATTTATACTTGAGTCTGACATTTGTTTTTATGGTCCTGCTGTTTGACACTTGGATACCGTTCAGGAGGGTTGGGGTGGCAGTAAATTTGTCACTGCTGCCCTGACTTTTGGTATACAAAGTCTTCAAAGTAGTTCAGCTTCATTTGTTTGGACAGATAATCAGTTGCTTTTTTGGAGGTATAGTTTTCAGTGATGTCTTTTGTTTTGATTTCCAGTGGAAAATGTTTTTGCATCAATCAAAGAATTTGTATAGCTTGCTCCGGAAAAATTATTAGCTTTTAGTTGTACTTCAGACCTTTATTTGAAGGGACTTAAATGTAACTGTGTTGGTATTCAGTTGCACTTACCAAATATGACGTTATTGCTTTGGGTAAAAGGGCCCATATTGTGGAAAACTGTATCACTTAAAGAATTTGATGTATCATGTAAACATGAACGTTAAAGAAGTACCATTTTCCCTGCAGTCCATATATGGGAACTAAAACCCTATTCAGGCTGGATAAGTTTTATCTAGGGAGATACTGTAATATGATGACAGATCCATAATTTTAATCCAGAACGAATCTACCATGTCCATAGTCTGCTACGTAATAATTCCAGAGCAAATTATTTCCTATAATTTGTTACACTCTGAGCTCTTTCAGCAATAGCAGTCCTGTTTGAATCAATGATAATGTAATGACAATTCCTGGTAAGAGACATCAGTATCTCTGCTTTTTGGAGACTGCGAGCAAGGCTAACTGCTAAAATTTAGTTTTTGACACACTTCTTATATCCCTAAGTTCAAAATGGGACTACTGTAATCTAAAACATTCTTGTTGATGTTCTAATCAGAAGGCAAAGGAAAATTAAATATTTGAAGGTAGAGTGATTTCTCTTATGTTGGGCAGCGTTTGTTAAGTAAAATGACCTCACTACTAGTCTAACGCTCTTCTGTCTATTATTAACTTGAAGTTAATGTTTATAGTATGTTTGGATCCATTTAATTCTAGACTTAATGCTGAAGTGAACGTCCAGCGAACATTTTGAACTGGGCTTTTTAAAGTAGTTCGGGGAAATTACACAGATACTTCATCCCATACGAACCGACCAGTTGAGTCTTATACAAGTAACATTGCCAGACCTTCTCTGGTAAAATGCATCGAGCCTGAATTTGGTTTAAGCTGCATTTTTTTAAATTCATTTTGCAATGTCAAAAAAAACTTTTGCATATTTACATATTTGCCTATTTAGCCAAATTTAGCCCTGCCCACTCATATTGAAGTTAGGATTATAAGAAGTGTTGCAGTCCAGACTGGATAGCTCATGACGCACAACATGGCGGCTGTATTGTGGACGTCCCGCCTTTCAATAAAAAGTGCCATTCATTTGGAAAAAAGCCTGTGCAAAAGCCAAAACCACCTAAAAAAGCACATCTTATTTGAGCCAAACTCTACAAACTATGTATGGTGTTATTTGTCTGATTTTACCAGTGATTTTAAATGTTTGTGAAATGTTAGTGTGGCTGTCTGTTTCAGATTTATGAGTGAACCAATTTTCCTATAAGGACTTTTTGAATGTGGCACAATCAGAAAAGAGGTCATTTACATATATCACAAAGGCACAGTGAAAAAATAGCCAATTGAAGAGTTTAAATTGATAAAGAGAGGTTGGCCATGTGACACTGATTAACTATATATGACTTATGACTGACAAACGCACAGAAATGCAAGTCGACCTCGGGAAAAGAAAAATATTGGATGTTGCCCCTTTAAACTGTCTGTTTTTTGCAGTACATTTACCTGGTTTATTTGATCCGTTATGTTGATATTGTGTGTTGATATACAGTCAGCTTTTCGCATGACTGTTTGTACTGAACAGTATTCCATGAGTGCAATAAAAAGGCACCTTGGTCATAATTGGGCCAGCTTGAATTGAATTTCATTGATTCTCTTAGTTTACTGAAATATGGTGTTTATTTGAAAAAGAACAAAGAAAACCAAATAGGATGTAAAAAGGGTTTCATTCCAAAAGTGTTTTATGTTTTACAAGAAATATCAAGGCTATATTATGATGAATGCCACCTTTATTATAGAAGTAACAATGCTTTTCTCTTAATTCAGACTTAACCCTAAACCTAATACTGTTTTAATCACTCGAGTTTTATTAGATAGTTTGTTGATGATATGAGTAGATAATCTATATGAGAGGGTTCATATTCTATTTGTATGCTAGTTGTTTATTCTGGAGAAGAATGATTAAGTTTTGTCCCTGCCCATCTTACCATTTTTGTCTAGATGTATCTTAAAGAGAAATCCAGTTTAAGGTACCAAAACTAAAATTGAAGAAGAGTCATTAGTGCATGAATTTTAGTGTATAGTGTCTGCTGCAGGTTCAAGACCTTAGTTTGATCAATTTTTTACTCAAGCCATTACATTGAGGCCTATCAAGCATAAGCTGACATGATCCACCAATAAATGGCCCTCTTATTTATTCCTTCTATTTTTCTTGATCAAAACATTACCCTCATGTCTTGTGCACCACAAAGTACCTAGTAACCTTTACTACATTAACGAAATGGTTTACAAAAATGTTCATACCCCAAGAGTGGTCAATTGGATAACTCGTTTAATGTCTGAATCTGCATCTTTAGCTACAAGCCAAAAAGTAATGGAAGTCTAATTTCTGGGAGACACCTTGTTAAAAATACCATAAAAAAACAGTAAAACATGGCTGCAGTTGCTTGTAGAAAATGTAAATAACAATTTATGTCTGTAAATATAATTACATAAATTATATTTTTATATTACACGGTCCGTTTCCCACCCACTCCTTGAATGCATGATGCTGCCGCTAACACATGGTCTCACTAGGATTCAGACTCACAACCTTCCACAATGGGGTGAACCTTTAGACCAGTGGTCACCAACCCTCCTCCTAGAGATCTGCTTACCTGCAGAGTTTAGTTCTGCCTCTAACATGCTGCTCCTCCCCTTACACAACACTAATGCATCTGATCCAGCCAATCAAGCACTTCTGTAGAAGTTAATTAGCTGAAACAGGTGTGGCAGATTGTAGTGGGGACTAGATTCAACAGGAAGGTAGATCTCCAGGACCAGGGTTGGCGACCACTGCTTCAGACAGGTGTTCCACTCAGGAACATGAATGCTTTTATTGGGAGCTGTTATTTCAATGATATTGACAGATATTTCTGCAAATTGATATAAGGATTTATTGATGCAGATTATCAGTCAATATATATTTTCTAACTGAACAACTGTGCACATGTTTGTAACTTTATCTAAATGCATGCATAAAAGTAATTGCAAAATAAGGGGACTTAGTAGTTGTTCATGTGATTTAAACAGTAAACAAGCAGGAGCATTTGAAGGATCAGCTTGCAAAACATGTAGCAGTGATGTTAGCATGTTAGCACCACATATCAAAAAATGTTTACCATAAACTGATTTCTGTTTGATGGATTAGCAGTTGTATGGTTAAACATCCTGTTTTTTTAGACAATACATGGATGTCTTCTATGAGCTTCGTAGAAAAAATTAATATTACATTTCTTACCTTTTCAATACTGTTAATTGACAGCAAAAGACTTTTTTACATTTACACTTTTCAAAAATAATGCTTTACTTAATTTTGTATTTTAACACATCTTTTACGGGGAACAAACCATGGTATTTTTCTGCAAATTTTCAAACACAATTTCCACTTATTTGCAAAGTTTAACATATTGGAAAAAATAAAACAAAACGTAAAATGTGCCATAACTTTTGCACAGGCCACATTTTATGTTTTAATATTTTTCCAATATGTTAAGTTCAACAACAGTAAATATGCATTAAATTGTGGATTTTGAGATTACAAAGTCTATGCAGAGACAGTTAGTGTCCAGAAGGTGGAGGTAGTGCGTGTTCATTTGCCTCATTAAAGCAGGAGCAGTCAGGAAGTGCCTGTGGAGTAAAGCGGTAGTAAACAATGCAGCGTGGTGGAGGCGGTGCTGTGGCTTTGTGTGGCCAGAAGAGACAGTAAAACCAGTAAAACACATGTTCCTCAGAACTACTGATTAACAAGAGCACCGCTGGATCAAGACTATAAACATGGATTCCCGTGTTAGGGTCCAGTCACAGATAGCTGGCATTATGGACGTCCTGGTGAGAGCTGCGGTGCTGGAGGACGCGGCGGTGTTAGAGAGGAGAATCACCACTCTGCAATGTCTTCCGGTTTTCTCAAACGCTAGAGGGCGCTCCCGAGTGCCATTCATTGAGGACTCACTCGCGGGCGCCCTCTGCTGTTTTTTATATTACTTGGGGGGGGGGGTTGGCAGCCTGTTCACCCGCCTCCAGACCACTATAGCATTAGAGCCACAGTGAAGCTAGCAGCTCCTGATAAATGCTCAGTCGCTGTTCAGGTCCAAAACTAAAAACGTAGGTCTTTCAGGATTAAGGATTAAGTAAGGTTTTTTAGTATAAAGCATTTTTATTCGCAAAAAATATGAAATTCTTAAAAAAATCTCTGTCTAAAGTGTCTGAAGTGGAAACTAAGTAATTTAAACAAAACCCATAAATGTATCAATAGAAAAAGAGTAACATTTCCACATTTCCCTCAAACACGTGAAGCTACGTCTTTATAATGCATTTCTATGTTGTAATAATAATATAATATTAATAATGATAAAATAATAACAATAGTAATAGAAAAGTTATTATTATTATTACATTGATCATCTTTTTATTTTTATTCTAATAATAATAAAAGTAATAATAATATTAATGTATTGATATATAATTACTATTATGATTATTATTTGTATGAATACATTTTCTTGTCTTTATTTTTTTGCCTCTGAATTTTCTTCTTATCATTCTTTGAATAATAATAATAATAATAGTGATAGTGATAATAATCATTGTTGTTATTTTTTATTTCTTCATGTTTATATTTATTTACTTATTTATTTTTCTCTGTTACTTATTTCATTTTTGTACTTGACTTATTAATTTTATGTAATAATAAGAAGAAGAAGGAGAATTTTTATATGAATAATGAATGTTTATCAATTTATTATTATTGCATTTCAGTATTATTATTATTTTGGCATATTTTGCTGCTACTGTATTTATTTATCTATGTACATATGTATGTATGTATGTATGTATGTATGTATATACATACATATATTTACATTTTTAATTTACAGTTTTTATTCAGCCTACAGCAGTTTCACCCTGCCATTGACACTGAAGTTAGGAGTGTTTCAGCCTGGACTGCTTTTTGAACGAGGCACAATATTGGGCAGCCAATCAGAACAGAGATCATTTACATACATACATACATATGCCTTAAATGCACAGCATAACAAAATCAGCCTGTGCAATTCTAATGGAAGGAAAGGAGGTTGGAAAATCGTAATGTAAAAATTAATTATGACTTCTTGGTGCAAAAAACTACAAAACTACATAAATGTCATGAGTGAACCTCAGAAAAAATAAATGACAGACAAATATAGGATGTGAGTGACTCAGCTTTAATTCTAGCAGAGAAAAAAGGAAGCAGCCAAACTCCGGACAAAAACCTTTATAAAAGGATTTGCAGTCTTTCTCTGTGTTGTAATTAGACGACTACTAACACATTTAATCAAGAAATGCAAGTTACACATTCACATTTTTGTAACAAAGCTGTGACCTGACAGTTAATAAAAGCCATATGAGTGTATTATTACGTTTTCATGTACAAACATACACATTGAACTTATTTTTGCTCCAAAGCTGAAATATATAATAATATTAATAAGATATATCACTACATAGTCATATAATATACAGAAATTTTTTTTCACTTTCACAGTTTTGCAAAAAACTAATATATAATAAAAGCTGGCATTATTAATATATTATTATATATCCATGCAATATACAGAAATATGTTTTTAAAACATTTCCACATAAAAAAAAGCAGGCATTATTAATATTATCGTATTTTTATACGGAATTACTATTCTATAGGGGACTTTTAAAAGACATGGAAATTGGGTTTACTATTATTCAGAGGACAAAATAAGAAACCCTGTATGAGATTCACTACTCTCATAGGTACTGTGTAAGTCTGCTATAGTTGCACACAGTTTACTTCAACATTTTTCTTTATGAGCAATCCTAAATGTTTTTGAACAAATCCTCAAACTAGACCGTGAAAGGCTTGTATTTTGGCGGGGGTTTGCCCATGATCCAAGTGTGGCGGATGTCACGTGAGCTGTCGTGGCTGCTGTGTTGTTTCACTACGGTATAAACAGCTGTAGTGTTAATGTCACACATGAGGCGCGGAGGAACAGTGGATGTGGATTTTACAGCAGCAGCTCGATCGTGTTTATGAACCGTGTCTTTAATAGTCGAGATGGCCTCCGCGGTCGTGTTACAGACGCAGATTTCTGCGATAATGGACGTGTTGACAAAAGCAGCGGTGGCAGAAATCAGTCAGCTCATTCAGGACGACAGTGTTGTTTTACATTTGGAGATAAAGCGGAGAGAGGAGGAGATTGAAGGCCTGAAGAAGCGTCTACAGGTCACCGAGAAAGAACTGAAGAAAGCGCAGGCTGCTCCTGACCGATGTTCAGTCGGAGTTCAGGTCGAAATGGCTGAAATGCCGGAGACAGGTCAGTGTCTAAAAAAGCTTCGACTGTGTCTCAGTCTGCTTACTAACGTTACCGCACTACGTAGTAAGTTATTTTCAAAATAATAAAGCCACCACTGGTGACGTACCAGTTTGACGTGCCTTTTAGTACCACATGTGCTGTTTGTAAAGCAGGCTATCCCTGCTGAAAAAAGACCATTGGCCTTATAGTTACCGTTGAGATCCCTATTAGGGATCATCAACTGCCTCTATAACCAGTCCCAGAACTGAGTTTTTTTTCTTCCCTTACTGGTCATAAGCAGTCCCTGACTGGCTGCCAGAAGAATTCCCCCATCATGCATAAACAACAATGTTCCAAGGTTGTTGTTTTAGTTTTACTGCATCCTTATAATGTGTTTCCATAGAAAGAATAAAGGGCCAATAGCGTACACTTTTTTATTTTTGTTTTTTTAGAATCAGAATCTTTATTCGCCAAGTACCAAGTGTACATTAAATTAAATCCAGTAAAATAGATATAGAAACGATTTTCTACATGAAAACATAAAATAGGCATTATACAAAAACCTGCAAGTATAAGGATGTACAATGAGAGATAAGTATAGCTACAATCAAGTACTGAAATACTGAGATACATAAATACAGGATGTGCAGGTTAGAAAACTGAGCAGCAAATATAAATATAAATGTAAATATAAACATATAAAGAATGTGTATTGCAACACGTTAAAGTGTTTATGTGCACTGACTACGGTAGCAGAAAGTGGGAAAGATGCTTATTCAGTAATATTATGGTATGGGACAGATGTGAGAGGAGTCTTTGTCACATCTTTTCTGAGCTCCATTTATGACATTTGTGTGTTGTTGCATACCAAAACCAGCCGTAATTCATTTTTGCATAATAATTTTTCATTCTCTCTGGATCCCTTAGAAGGCTGTTTTTTGTTGTGCCTTTGAAGTAGTATTCAGGCAGGACTAGTTTTACATAGGTAGGTAGGCTAAAGCAGTTTTGATCTGTAATGTTTATGAATGATTCACACAAGGAAAACATGTAAAAACATTTTAATTGTTATTTCATTTACCCTTTCAATCTATGTAGCTGTCTTAGGTGAAAGCAATGTGTCATTTGTGTAATCATTAGGAATTACATAAAAATCATTATCACATAAAATCTTTTTTTCAATCATTTTGCATGTTGTAACGTTTAGAGTCATGCACTTGAGGAAGTACGATACATATCAGCTTGATTTGCACCATAAAGAACACAAGGAGGTGCTTGTTTGAGTGCCTCCATACTTATGAGAAAATGTGAAAGTTCAATTTGCACAGGATATAATTTTACCGATATGTCAGTTTACAGTGAACTAGTATGAGCTGGGGTTATTTCTACAGTTTGTTTTGTAGTAGGTAAAATATAGCGGAATCTTTCCTAATGCAGGAGCGTGTAGTGCATAAAAAAATGACTGATCTGGTGGATTCAGATATCATTGAGAAACGCCAGTAATGAATGGCATTACCCAACGTCACCACTGAAAACGACTCCCATCCAAATTTAGTACTCAAGACTGATATATGAAAATTACCTCTGTACTGATTGGCTGCTCTGTTTCGCAAGCAGTAACTGAAACACTTCTTATAACTTCAGCATGAATGGCTAGAGCTAAATTGTTGTAGGCTAGATACACAGATACATTTTCAGTTTTGTTCTTTTGGCATTAGACACTCTATGTGATCAGTAAGATGCAGTGTTCCTAGGTCATTCTTTATTACATTAACCCATAAACCTTCAAGCTTTTTTCAGTCTTCTTTTTAGAATTTACCTACAATGATCATTTAATCAAAGCCAAACTTTCCCTCTTCATCTAGGAGATTCAATGGCCCACGGAAAGGGATCCTCACATGGAAGCCATCTTCAAATATTTAATACGAGTTTAGTGCAAGAACTCAAAGAAGAGAAACCACAGTTGTCTCACAAAATGGTACCAACTTCGCAAAACATATTGAAAGAGCCAAATGCAGCTCAGGCTTATGCAACCAAGCCAAGCGAACAACAAGACCAGGCATGTGAGGAAGATGAGTTTAGCGGTCTGGAGTTTGAAATGAAGATTGAGCAAGTGGAGGAGCTTGTGGATCAGGAGCTCAACCTGCCGAGAGTGGATTACAGGATGGTGCAGCCAGACGCTGCATCTGACGATAAGACAGACCAGAGAGACGCTCAGTTGTGGTCACCTGTTGAAGATGATGCAGCGGATGATTTTGGTGTACCTGGAGGCTGTACTGGCTTAGAGCAATACCAACAGCTTCCAACAGAACAATGTATAGAACCTGTGTTGAAGGTTCCTCAGAACTCCGAGAGCATTGCCAACAAACCCATTGACTCCTTTGGTCCTACACATGTTAGAATGGAGAGAGAGGTGCGTTATGAAGGGGGAACATTATCAAATGATGCTCAGTATGGGCAGCTAGGTAACAGTCTAAATCATGTGACACCACAAAGACAACAAGGTCAAAGCTCCTCCCATTCACCACCGAACACAAACGCAAAGCACAGACATTCATTCGGTACAGTTCACCGCCCACAAACACACTTACCTGCCAACACTCACCCCCTAGCAAACATGCTTCCTCTGCGGGGAAGAGCGCCAGCAAGCCACGCAGGCTCAAAGCCTTTCCGTTGTGAGGAATGCGGGAAAGGCTTTACACAGAGGACCCGACTGATAACGCACAAGCGAATCCACACAGGAGAGAAACCGTACCACTGCCAGCTCTGTGGTAAAATGTTCTCCAGACAGGATAACTGCCTAAGACATGTACGCCTCCACAGTGGACAGAGATGGTAAAGCCCCCAAGGCTGTATTTCAAACAGTTTAAATTACTTTAAAGGGGAATTCTTCTAGGGTTGCACTGATACCATATCGGTATCAGTTCCAATACTGGCACTTAAACACAGTATCAGTATTGGCGAAAGAGAATACTGATACCACAAAACAAGCAATTGCTGTCACACACCCTACTAAGTGACATGCATGCACGCCTATAGAAAATCTGTAACACCAGTATTTCACAGGAGACAATAGTAGTAGGTGATATACTGGTTGTGTCCAATAGTCCCATCTGTGGTGCGCCTCAGTCGGTCAGCTGCATCTGACAACACCATGGTCTCATGGGCCGGTGCTTCCATCAAGCTGAGAAATCAGCTAAAAACAGCTGCTGCTGATAGACTCTAATACTGATTACTGTAATATGCATAAACTCCAGCAGAGCGTGTTGCTCGTAGATGTAGTGCTAGTGTACAGGGCACATGTATGAGACTTTGACATGACCTTGAGAGAAATGAGAGATTCAGGTGTGAATGAGCATTTGGCTTTGTTTTTGCTGAGCCAGACAAACTGCTGCGTGCTCATGTGTATGTGCCACAGGTTTATCTATATATATATGGTTCAGTTTTATTTTTAGCGTTTTGCACAATATAATGTTTTCATTTTACTTCAGTTGTTAAATATGGTTATTATTAAGTATATGATTGCAAATACTAATTAGATATAGAAAATGAACAGAAATAAGTTTTTCTTCAAACTAGTTAGTTTAAGTAGAGTTAGTATTGATACTCAGTATCCACAGATACTTAAAGATTGGTATCAGTTTCAGCATCAGAGTGGTATCGGTGCACCCCTAAATTCTACCAGTTTTTCAGAATTTCTGCATTGTTAAATTATCATTTAGAGTGGTTTGATGTGCAATGCTCCATTCTAGAGAATCTTACCAGAAGCCAGAATTATTCACTGTGGTAGTGATAGGAACCGGATGTCTGAAGCCTTTAATGCGTCTAAAACTGCAGTTCTCAGTGTGAGGGCAGCCGAAAAATCTCTGAAATTAGTAATTTTAAAATTAGTTTATTAAATTTGTTTTGGTCATGTCTAAAAAAATGATGCTTGTTTAAGCAAATAAACATTGCTGAGGGGGGCATGAAGGGAGGGCACATTGGCACTTACTGACCTTAGGGGGGCATTAGACTGAAAAAGAACTGCTGCTCTAAAAGCTACCTCACAGAAAGCTGTTACATGAAATGGTTACTAGCACGCTGCCTGAGGTATTAAGACATTGTTTTACGATAGTTTTAAGAGACGCCTTTGACGTCAAATGTATTATTTAAATCCAGTAATGGCAGAGAGGTCAATGCAGTGTGTTGTAAGGAAAAAAACCTACCCTTTTCCCATAATCAACATTATCTATAAAAACTCAGAAGACACTGCTAGTTTCACTGGTCATTTTGAACAGTTAATAAAACTACTCTATTTGTGCTGTAGACACTGTGACCCCTGGTTCCTGTCACCACCACTGTAGAAAAATACAAGTTGATAGGTTTCTCTACAGTGCACCATTTCACATCAAACCGCTGTGGATGAATTTATTTACATTTTTTTGAAAGTTTTGAAAAAAGTCAGTGGTGTTCCTCTTTAAAAGGATCGCTATTCTATTACTTAAAGAAATACTGCAGCATTTTTCCTGTACTTAGAAAAGAACACATTTATAATAGAAGCCAATAGACAGATGCTGTAATATGTTTTTGTAGAACACTTTCATTCTGCAGTATTCATTAAGGTATTTGGACATTAACCTGTAAATCCACATAATTCAGAGGTGGGACTGTTTGTCCAGTGGGAAGAATTTGTGGCAATTTGTTACAAGCATTGTGATGTAGGCATCGATTTCAAAGGTATCGTAGGGAAAGTCAAAGTGGTAAGGCATTCTCTCGTATTTGTATTATTTTAAGATGTGTATTGTTAAAGTGTAACTGTTGTGTTTTTAAAAAAATGTTGTATGTTCAGGGATTTCAAACATTTATTCACAGAATTCAGCTACTGTCCAATGGTTTCTATTATAGGTGAGTTCAGAGTTGAGTTGCTTTTCTGTTCTTTTCAGAGCAAAGAGTACAGGAAAACATGTTGAAATTTGTCTGTGGTGATCAACAACACGAGATGCAGCAGATAAAAAAAAGCTGAAACATTCCTTTAAGGCAAACGTTAGGACTTTCTGATGGATCTGTTAGAGCAGGAAAATGCTATGTTGCTCCTGGAACAATTCTCTGACCCCCAAAAGTCTCTGTAGTTGCACACTTCTAGTGCATTTGGTGCCATTGAAGTACCGTCTCAATATGCAAGTATGAAAACTGAAGAAAAAAAAAATTATAAGTATAGAGAGCACTGGCATGTTGTATTCCTTATATTTGTCAGTGTCATTATGTACAGAGTGGTCTACTTTTTGTGTTCATGTAAGAGTGGCTCTTAGTGGGGGCTGATGGCAAATGGGACAGTGTCTTCTCACTTCAGCAAGTCAACAGGCAACTTAACATTCCTCAACTGCTTTCTCTTGATTCGTTTCGTCATACAACAGTGTTATTGTCACTCCATTCATTGTACTTCTACTTGACATGTGACATGAATATAACAATATAACAAGCCACCAAAATTTGACGTCAGTTGTGACATGCTGACATGATGAGATGTTAAACTCTTGTGACATGCAGTCCATCAGCTTTATCAGTGCCATTTTTTTTAAAAGAATTGAATGACATTTCATAAAATAAAAGAGCCTTGAATGAGTCTTGAAATGTGTTATTTTCTGAACTTGACTTTATAGTAGTATACAAAAGTACACCCACAGTCAAATTACATGTTTAGTTGGTTTTCTAAGTGAAAATAAGTTAATACATCCTCTACAGAGAGCACACTTATTAAATATTATTAAATGGCATTCTAATTTAAATGCACAATTTCTATTTATCTGCTGAGTTTAATATTAGAAAAAAGAAAACATAAAATATAAAATGTGCCATAACTTTTGCGTTTTGCTTTTATGTTTTTTTCTTTCTCCAATATGTTACATTGAGCAAACAAACACTAATTATGCTTTAAATGTGCAGATGTGTGTTCTCTGTGGAGGATGTGTTAACTTATTTTCACTTGTGTATTTTATTTCTTCCACTATGTGTATTTTATGTTGATTAAAGTCAATCTACAGTGTACATTGAAACATCACATGCATAAACTAGACAGCAGAAGGTATTTTAGATGTTTTATTCTATATTTCAAAGTTGAAGCTATTAAATGATGCATAATATACTGTTATTTTCTATTTATAGTTGTTTCCTTTCGGTAGTCTGTGTTGTGATTTGATCACTATTTTTAAATATGAGAGCTTTTTGATCTTAATTTTATCACAGCTTAATTCTCAATGTTCTACAGCTTTCACAGTCATAATGGAATCATCTACAGCTCTTACCATCATTCTGAGCTCATCTAACAATTCTTCATTTGTCTTCCTACAAATTATATGAAACCTTTGAAGTTCTACAGGGCTAACATTGTTGGAATCAGTTTATCAGTTTAATATTATTGAAATCAAAGTGTATGTAAACTATTCCTTCTGAGCTTCATATTTCATAGGATGAAGAGTATCTCCTCCGTACTGCCCTCCTGACTCATCTGTTCCAGCTGAATGGAGTGGCGGCGTGTAGGTCTTCGGCTCCTTGAACCACCCTGCCTTTGCGCTTGGGTCTCTTCAGCTCTGGCGGTGGGGCTAGGCTCTCCAGGGCAGGAACATGTGGATGTGTTCGCAACTGGGAGAGGGGGCAAGAAGCTACCACTACGTATTTGAGTCCTTAAACTCAGCTGCTCCTGAGGCTTCCACTTCCTCATGCTGTTAAATTCACGAGGAGCAGCAGGGGGCGCCAGAGAAAGAGAGCTGGTGCTACTAGAGCAATGGTGGAGGTTCCTGCTGATAGGAACCGGCGGTAGTGTTAGAGTGGTGGGCTGGTCATTTAAGCGGGTGTCTGAGCTAGATAGATTGAGAGAAAGGGTGGGCAGCTGAAGTAAATTCTGTCCGGTGAGAGCAGGTAGAGTGTTTCTTCGGCTGTGTAGACGTTCCGGGACGGCCAGACACTCCAGGCTATGCTTGTCCACATAACTTCTGGACACCACTCGCCCAGAGTGTTTGTGGTCAGCTGCCTGTGGCCCATCACTCTGATCTAACTGATGAACAAGCAAGCTTGTTCCTGCCACCCCTTCCTCTTCTTCTTGCACTGTTCCTTGCCTCACCGTTTCCTCATAAGTGCGGCTGAGGTGAGCCAGGTTTTGGATGGCCACCCAAGGCTCGGAATGCAGTCTCTGGCGATTCACTGTCTCTGTCTCCTGAGGCAGAGGCGAGCCCACTCTGCTTCCTCTCTTCCCTGAAGCCCTGAAGTTAAAGATATTCTCTCCCTCTGTCTCTGAGTTTGGGGAACTGGTCTTCAGTTCGATGTCAGAGGGTGACATGCATGAGACAGGTGAGGTGTTGGGCGAAGGAGGCACATTCAGGTAGCGGCGGGTCACTGTGGCCCCGTCGGAGCTTAGATCCGTAGCAATGATGATAATATCTCGGCCCTTGGCCTTGCAGGCGTCCAGCAGCACCTGATAAGAAGTGTAGTTTATGTTATATGCTGGTATACAGCATAGGAAACTACTAAGGCTTTCATATATCCACATAAAAATACAAAATGAAAAGGTAAGAGATTAGCATATTTGGCTAATACTAATGCTGTATGTGAAATTTTGATACATAAAAGAAAAGTAACATTACAAAAAAGAGTTTTGCCCTTGCTAGGCTAGTTGCCTGGGGCAGAAACATCACTGGGTCAATGTCTTTAGCGTCTCAATTTCACAGATCCTGGTGAGTTAACTACCGACAGCTATTATAACTAGCCTTGTAATTTGCCCCATAGAGAATATTATTAGGAATTTAAGGGAACACCCTCCCTTAATTGAATTTAACCATCGCTTGCTGTGAACATGCTTACTAGCGTCTGCTATAAAGACTAAGGAACCTGAAATATCTTGAAGGCGGGTGGAACTTCTCTAAAACTAGAACTACTTTGAGTGACTTTCTGGGGACAGGCTATTTGAAAGATTTTTAATTTTTTCGTTAGGGGGTTAATGCAGAAGGAAGACAGCATCAACATTACTGTTTGCAAGATGAATATATTACTGCAGCCATATAACTGTAGTAACTTCTTCAAAGCATGATTACAATGGAGAGCATGGATTATACCTATTACACTTATGTCAAATAAGGAGGAAAAATGCTAAAAGCTAAAGTTAAGTTAGCAAACTGGCTATATAGATATTGTACTTCAATTTGGTATCTTTTCTCTGACTGAAAGGATAAAAAAAACACATCTTTGATGTAAGTTTTGAGCTGAATGAAGATAGGATTCAGGTTTTCTTTATGATTTGGTTCAATGACCAAGATAAGTCTTACACTAATGCTAGTTTGATTGTTTTTTTTAGCCCATAGATCAATGTCTAGGCTAGCTGTTAGAATTGGGTGACATCACAGGGATTCCCAATGGTCGTATGATGTTTTTGCGTAATGCATGTTGGGCATTGTAGCGAGAGAACAGTGATAAATGGAAACATAATAAACATCTTTCAAACCGGGCTGAGAGATATAATGTTGCTTTACAGAATACTGCATAACATGACAACTAACAAACTCTTCTTAGGATGGCATGAATATAGCAATAACGTGATATATATATATATATATATATATATTATATATATATATATATATATATATATATATATATATATATATATATGTGACTAGCTAACTAGGGTAGTCATACTATCCACAGTCAACATTTTGATACATGTACATTTACATGCATAAAAGTATATATGGTCACAGTATGCCCAGGGCTTCAAACTAGTCTACACCACTGACCTGAATAGTGTCCTGGTCATGGGCGTTGATGGCATAAACTAGAGCTGATGCGCCTGCATAATCCTCCATGCTGGGATCGGCACCGGCAGAGATGAGGGCCGCAGCCACCTCAGCGCCGGCCCGCTCCATGCAGGCATACATCAGGGCGGTCCGGCCAGCCTTGTCCTGGACGTTGGGGTCAGCCTGGTTCTTGATGAGGAAGCGGATGAGCCTCAGCATGGTGCTTCCCGACTGATTGCCCCTCATGGCCCGACATGCGGCCAGCAGCGGGGTCTCTCCTCGCTGATTGCGCTCATTGACATGCGCACCCCCCTCCACCAGCAACCGAACCAGACGGAGCTTGCCCAGCTGGGCCGCTGTGATGAGTGGGCTTCCATCCACCAGATACTCCTGTGTTTCTGCCATAGCTGGAGCTCTGATGGGGATATTTCTTATAGGATTTTCTTATGAGTGATTAGACAGAAATACTTTAGTATTTTAGTCCTTTAGTCCTTTGAGCTAAATGCATAAAGGAAAATGGACCAAAAAAGAGAAAGCAGATTACCAATTCACCTATATATTTTTTCTTTCTCTCAACGCATTTTGGGCAGCATATTAATATATCACAAATAGTAGAGAGTATTCTTAATCATTTATTGAAAATAAAAGGCTTTGTAAAGTGTAAAGACCCCCATTCAAGATTCTGGTACTTTAATTTTAGTAACAGCATAGATGATCTGAATAAGATACTGAAATCTATGTTGTTTCTCCACTGAAAGTGGCTAGTAATGATTTCGAGCTTGAAATGTCAAGCAGTCCAGGCAGCATTATAAAAGAGTTTGACCCGTTTGAATGTAGGCTGCTTTGAAATGCCTTCATCTCAGTAGGAAAGCAGCCCGAGTTAAAAGGGAAAAAGAGGTCAGCGGTGTTGGACCAGCATTCAAAAGCATTGCATAACTGACCGAGTCCTCCACAGCCAGTTATAGCACAAAATTTTTCCACGATTTCAGTATATTTTTATTAGGAAACATGAATTTGAATTGTTTTCCATTTCTAATATACTAATCATTTTATGTATTAGGAAGTGTTTACCAGTTTGACTGAGGTACAAATTGCCACTGTCAGGAGAATAAAAAACCTTTACAAGAGAAGGAAAGAATGTAATGTATGTTAATATAAAGAGATTTTGGACCATTATATTTGTCAACTCGTCATAAAACGTTCCCACAAGTAGGGATGCACCAATATTGGGAATTTTGGGCCGGTGCCAACACCTGATATTTTTCATGTACAAATCTGCCGGTGCTGATGCATAAACATTTACAAAATGTAGAAACGGAGACTAACTCTACCTGGATTAGCATTACGGAGAAGTATAACTTACCTGTAGAGAATTACAAATGCAGTGAAATAAATAGAATTCAGTCATTTTGCATAGCTAAAAAAACATTCTGCCCATCCAGAGTACAATAAATATGTTATCAAATGTCGATATGAAATATTCATCAAGCCTAAATGTCTGTCTGACGCTGATACATTTTTTAAAGAAATTATCTATATGATTCTAATATTACCTTGCATTCCGACACACAATGTAGGCCCAAAGGGAGCTAGCATTTTTCAATGGTGCACATTTCATCATGAGTTTTTTAATGTCAGTGACAAAATGTACAAGAAAACATGCAGAGAAATGCATGAAGTGGTCATTATTCCCTCAAACAATAGTGCATACACTCTTCAGACAGAAAATTCTGCAGTTGTAAAGAGGATCAGTAACGTATTTGCACAACAGCGAACTTATAGTATAATTTGAGAAATGTATAATTGTGAGAAAATTGCAACTGACCTTCTGTTTCCTTCGACACGACATGATACAGGCTGCAAATAGTTCCTCTTCAGGGTCTTTCCAGTACCTGATGTGCTGTAGGTGGAGTGGTCGAGAGGAGTGTGTATCTTTGAGAGGGACCCAGAGTGCATGTGTGGGAGGATGACATCCTGCGATAAGTGTGTGCGCATGTATGCTTACTAGGAATATTATGTATGCTGTGCCATGAAAAAGTATTTTCTTTTTATTGTGGCATAGTGTGCTTTTTGTTGAGAACCTTTAACTGTCCGCATTGCTGGAAAGTTTCAGCTTAAGTGATGTTTCGATTCAACAGGGCTGATAGTAATCAAGCCTTAATTGATCCCAGTTAGCACCTAAAATTTGTTAATTGGTTGATTGAGTAACTAAGGGGCAATTACTTTTTCACACGTGGCCAAGTGGTGTTGGATAAGTTTTTTCTTTCAAAAAATGATCATTTAAAAAGTATATTGTGTTTACTCAGGTTGCTTTTGTCTTCTGAAATAATTAAGTGCAACATGCAAAAATTAAAGAAATCAAGAGGGGATAAATACTTTTTCACAGCATAGGGTTTTTCAACTATAGAGTAAACAGTCATATATATACTGAAGTCTCATCGAATTCTCAATCTGTGTTTGGAAAACTACTGTAGTAGTCTTGAATTAAAACCCATGATAGTTCTGCCCACTAATGTTCAAATGGTTATCAAAGGATTTTAGTGGAAAAATAGTTCATTTTGGGACTAAAATGTTCATACAGCACTGACCTCATGAAAGATACTTTTCAACCTAACATTGGAAGCACTATATAGAAGTTGATGAATTATGAATGTTGTGTGAGATCATTCCTTCAACCCACTGTTGGGTAAAAGATAAAAATTTAGAAATGTATGACAAACACTTCTGTGAAGTGGTATATCCCAAAAAGCAAAAACGAGAAGACCTTTATTTATAATTCAAACAGAAAGGCTGTAAAAATAAATAGAAAAAGCACTTCAGAATTACAGGAACAAAAAAGGGAAATGTAAAACACAAATGAAAGAATGAATAAAAATGGAGAAAAATTCTTTCAACAGGTCAGCACGTTTGCACAAACACACAACCTCACACGCAAAGGCGTGACTACGGTAAAAGAACCGAAAGCCAAATTAGAGAGAGAGAGAGAGATAAGCAAGAAGGGTTGTGAGAGCACCCTCAGGTGCCCCCCCCCCAACATCCCTAACACAGACTTGGACAAAGCAGTTATATCTTTAGGCCTTTATACTACCATATTGTGCCATCCTGTGTTTTTACAGACTCATGAAACCCACTACAGTTTCTTTTTCCATGTGCTGTGCAGCCAAATCAGGACCAGGAAATACTGAAGTAAAACTAGGCAGGTCAGTGGCTCAGCAATGGCTAACAGGCTTCTCACACAGAGCACACATTTATTTCCAGTTGTCATGCCAACACCAGTCACTCGTCTTTATCCTCTAAACATGTGGTTTTTGAGTATGAGCTACCTAAAACTGAACCTGTACTGTGGTGTGTGCCACCTTTAGCCTGCTAAATCAGCTAGTGTTAGGTTAGCCTAACAGACTACGTTTCAACAGGTTTGATTTCACCTTTGTGTTACTCCAGCACCAGTCACTCCACTTTGCTCTCTCAGACGTGAGTTATTTATCATCTACACTTGTAAAAGCAGAGCACCAGATTGGAATTGAGCCTGTGCTGTGGTGTTTGGAGCTGTGGTCCGCTAGCTAAGTTAAGTAGAAGTGCTGTTAACTTGGGGAGAGGAGCCAGCTAGCATTAGCCTAGCTAGTGAGGTACAGATCAAAACACCATAGAATAGGTTTAATTTCGGCTTTCTGTTACTCCAACGCCAGCAGCTCAACTATGCCCTCAGATTTGTGTCATTATTATCTAAACTTGGGTCAGTGTAGCTATTGTTAGCTCGAATCGACCAGCTCTGATCTATAGTAGCAGAACTGTTTAGCTCTAGCAGTTGTTGTTAGACTGTCTGTTTGATGTTTATTGTATGATGGATAGAAAATTGTGAACAGCTTTCATTTAGTTGGTGACTATGTAAGCGAACTGAACTTGTTTTTGGTTGTGAACCAGTGAACCAGTGAATCAGTTACTAACAGTCAAGGCCCAAGACTTTGAAGGTTCCTGATTAATCTCCACATAGTCACCTTTTACCCACTTTCACAATGATGGAAATACCCAGTTCCTTCCAGCTTCCGTACCACAAAAAGCACCACCATGTCTGGTAGGGTAGATTGGAGATTGGCATAAACAAGTCCTTATCTCATGTTACAATAACTTTTTCAAGGAACAATCACTCCGCAAGCACCCTGACATCCATGAAGCAAACAAACATCCCACACATACTACAGATATCATTAAAACAAAAGCCAAAGGAATATATTTCTAGGTATAAAAATACATTGTGCATTAAAAACATGCAAAGTTGATTACGTGGATAATCCACACCCCTTAACCAGATTTTATAGATTTTTTAAAATTATATCATTCAGAGTAAGTATTTTTGAGTGGTTTAATGTAAAATGCTTCATTCTAGGAAAACTTACGAAACCCAAGTTACTCACAGTGGTGAAGATAGGAATCTAACAAGTTTAATGTGTCTGAAATCTACCTCGAGTTATTACATGAAATGATTATGATGCACAGCCTGATGTCTCAGACACTGTCATGCAGTGGTTTTGAGATGATGTTTTGGCTTAAAACATTATTTATTTACATGCATGGTGGAGAGGTACAATACATAAAGGGCAATGAGAGGCAAAATAGTACCTAAAGACAACTTATTTTTCAGAATACCTTTTTTTTTTTAACATTATCAATATTACATATAAGATTCAAAAGACAAATGGAGATCATTTTGGTAATTAAATGTTTAATTATTACTAATTATTATTAATTTGGCAATTAAAATGTCTCTATTTGCGTTTTTCCAGTAAGCACCACTGTAAACGTTTCTGAATTGCACTGTAAAAAATGGCTCATCAGATGAGTGAGTGAATTAGCTTGATTCAACTCAAAAATCACATTGATTGAAAGAATCGTTCATTCAGAGTATTTATTTAGGCTGAATACAACTATTTAATTTACTTATTACTACATGAAGTAATTTATTCAGGGTGGTCTGAGTTTGTTTACATCTCAACCATTTAATTATGCAGAAATTTCAAACCGTTAGTGGACCTCCTCTTTAGAAGGAATAGTCCAGCATTTTCCAGCCTGGTGATGAAAGTCACCTCTCGGGACTCGATCAACACACAAGAGCAAGTTACTCCTCAGTGAATCTCTGTTTTATTGTTAAACAAAGGCAATGATGTTGAATTGGGAGCAGTGTACAGAGCCAAATGCAGGTATCTGTAACATCTATCAACTTTTCTCCTCTATATAAGGCCTCTAAAGTGTTGTAAGACTCTGGAAATTTCCATTAGCGAGCAAGCTAAGACAAAACAAAGAGTTTTGTTTCCAGAGATAGGACAGAAACTTAACCTTGATACTTTAAGCAACATGTTGAGGCCCACAATAAGAGGAACGAATAGAAATTCTGCAGAGATGCAGTAATT